TGAATCGGGCCGTTCTCCGCTTACCGCTGAGGAACGACGTAAGCATTCATATCGGGTCACGGTGGAGTCGATTTAAATAATCTGGGTTTGGTAGATTTGAGATACGTAGATGGTTCCTAGGGTTTTGACCATCTCCTCTAATGAAAAAAGAAATGGCAGAATCAAGACTAATTCAAAGCTCACATGTGATGTGTATGTACATACAGTTGGGAGAAGGGTGATGAACATGTGTGAGGTGGTGACCAATTTAGACAGGCAATACTGGTGCATGAAAAGTGAACAATATGTTGCCTCAAATAGACCCAAAACACCGGTGCACTGCCATCAATATCTCTTCAAGAATTGACCAAAAAAAATGTTCTTCTTTTTATTTTTATTTTCGTGGGTGATTAGCTTTGAGATATGCATGATATGATATGATGCTTGAGCAAATTGCAGGAATAAACATGGACATGTACAGATCCTTCTTTCGGAAAAGGCTATGGCTGCTTGACAAGTGAGGCCTATATGCCCCAAAGAGCAATATTCAAGAGGGAAGAAAGATTCCATGCGGCTTACCCCTCCTCATTTATGGACATTATCACATTGACCCCAATGTCAATGTCTCTCGAAGAATCTCCTATGCAACAAACAGTAAACAAAAGATCTCGACCCCTATGCCCCTACATATAAAAATCAGGAAGATAGAAATGTATTTCGAATTTACGACTTTTTTTTTTTGTAGCCCATCGAGTTGATAGAGCGATCGAGACTTTTCATTTTAAGAGGCCAAACGACGAGATACTGGATCTAGGTCCCACACAGCAGAACCCGTCATGACCGCGAGAAAGTGATCCTCAACATTTCTTAATCCCGACGGGCAGGTATCCTTTGATAGGACGGAAGCAGGGAGTGGGTATAGTTTAGTACACAAAATGTAACATGAGAGAGATCATTTGGTCACTAAAGAAACTGGCTGTAGTTGTAACTTGTAAGCACTCTTTGTCTTTTAGAAACCAAAGAGATAAAGATGGTTGTGTCGTATGCCTATGAAGGAAGGAACTGGTTACAACCTCCACCAGATACGCATACACGAGTCGACATAGACAGAAAAAAGAAACAACAATAATTCCTTAATTTGGATTATTAACTTCCAATTGGAGTGGAAATATATCCACTACACTGAAGAGATATAAGAAATAAAAGCCAAAGGAGGAGGACAAGTGCGGCAACCTGTACTTTGTTGAGGCCACTGTGGCTCTGGAGGATCCTGAAAGGCCAAATTTTTTTCCTGTGGAAAAAGCTTAATGGGTTTGGATTGAAGTGGGGATCACCAAACCCTACCTGGCCAACAACTTAGGAGTTGTGGGGAGAGAGTGAAACGTTCTTGATCTGTGTACTTGCTGATAGTACCATGAGATCATTGTGTTCTTTAGCATTACAGGGGAAGCAACAAAACAAAACTGTTGAATTGGTGTCAATTTAGTCTTAAATCTTTGTATCTATGGCCAATTCAATCATTCCAACTAATTTTGACAAGATATTGCTGATATGGACATCGGCCGACCTACATGATACAGCCGGCGTTAATATGAACATTTATTTAATAATATTTTAATTTTATTTATTTATTTATTCTTTTTTTTTTCTTTTCCTTCCCTTCCTTCTTCCTCTAGCCGGTCGCCGGACCTCAGGAACCGGCCAAAGATGAGGGCCGGCGAGGTCGACCTCACCGGATCCGGGCAAGCCTTGCAAGCCCAGTGCGAGGCCGCCATTGTGGCCTCTGTTGCCCTCGTAGAGGTTCGGCGACTGGCTTGAGGAAGACAAAAGGGAAGGAAAAAAGAGAGAAAAAGAAAATTAAATTTGAAAAAATATTAAAATATTATTTGAAATTGTCTTCATCAGCGTCGGCCATATTAAGTTAGCCCGATCGACGTCCACGTCAGCAATATCCGGCTAGGACTGAATTGGCTGTAGATCAAAAGGTTTAGGACTAAATTGGAACCATTAAAAGGTTTAGGTGTAAATTAGCACCAATGCAATAGGTTTAAAACTTTTCTGACACGTTTCCTGCACTGAAACGGTCGATAAGTGTAACCTTCCAATAGCGCCGCAAAGGTAATCGAGAAAAGGCGATCACCAGGCTGATGCCCGACTCGAGCGTCCAATGCCGGGTTCGCGATCGAAACATCGAATCGAGAAATTGGGTTCGCGCAATATTCGAAGAGAAACCGAGAAGGTACTAACACGCCCTAGCTGATCATCAAAAATTCTGTCTCCATGAACCTTTCTGGTCCATGACGTAGTTGGCATTGCAGAGTTGCTATCCATCGCCGTACCCTTTTTGATGGAGAGAATCCAAGAGTGATGGGCGCACACGTGTGATTGCGGGGGGGTGTGATGACCGCACCAAGAGAAAGAACCACCACCAATCATCACCACCTTTGCGCCCTTTCCGCCTTCCATTTCCGTCCTTCAATTCCGAGTCCTAATTTCAGAATCCCTGAGTCGGCGGGCTCGATCCCGCAATGTTTCGGCTCGCGCGCGGCGTCAGCTCGGCTCGGGTCGGGATCGATTGTAATCTCGATTTTCCCTTCCCTCGCGTTCCGCGCTCTGAATGAACAGTAGTCTTTGCTCGGACCCTACACCCCGACCGCGGATGCCAAGCTCCCACAACGACGTCCTGGGCGGATTGCCGACGCTAATCGCCCCGGGAAGACCAGCAGTACGAGTGCATCGGATTTGCCTTATGTTGGGGACATCATGGTATGTTTTACTAAGAACCTAGACAACAGTAGTTGTGCATGGTTCTGAAAACGACGGAGAAAGTTGCACAGTAGTCGTTCGAAAGAGCACTTTGGTGTTGGATCCTCCTCCCACCTCGCCCTGCAACTTGCCCATCCACGACCTCATCGTCCCCTCATTCCTCCTCCCCCCACTTTCTAGTCAATTCCCAACGGTGACATCAATTTCCACTATTTCGGACAAACAAGAATCGAGTCTATTCGTCCCGGTGCGCTCATTCGTCGGTCTATACAAAAATAGGAATGAGTGCATTGAAAATCCTAAAACTCATCGTGAAAGTGCAATCGAGTCCCGAAACTTTCAAAAAGTACAATTGAATCCTAAAAATTTGGTAAATTGGTATAATCAAGTCATGAAAGTTGTTATCATTTTCTATTTGTCAAGTTGGGCGGAGTCAATGGAATGACTTTATTACACAAACTTGATATGTTTTAGGACTTGATTGCACTTTCGTAACGAGTTTTAGGACTTGACTGCACTTTTTGAAAGTTTCATAACCCCGTTTGCACTTTCGTGATAAGTTTTAATACTTTAGAAAATATGGGATGCGTAGCTGAGTTACGCACACGGCTCTTTTTTGTGAATTCGCGGGGAATCGCACGACGATCTACTACCAGATTGAAGAAGCATTCGATTAACTGATTTGACCGCTCGATGGGTCACGAAGAAATTCCACCGTAAAGATCCATGGCACCAAACAAATATGGTATGCATGGTCACCATTTTATAAATATACATATTTATTTATTGATTTATTTTGACCAGACTACACGGATTAACTTGCTAGCTTTCTTTCCTGAAAAAACCTACGAATATAATTATTCCTTTTTTCCTGGAATAATAGATAAAAATTGACCGAGACATCAAGCCAAAAGACCAATGCGCGCCAAGATGCGTGTCGCCACTCGCTCGCCTCGAGCTGCAAAGCGTCGAAGCGGCAGGAGCATTCAAACCGCCATGCGCGGCGGCCGGTGGAATCTCGGGCGCCACCTCACGCGCCTCCGTCGCGCGCGCGCCCCGGCCCTCCGGACCACCCTACTTGGGCGGCAGCCTTTTGGCCAGATTTCGGCAACAGCCGCTAGATAAAGCAGGTGTTTCTTTCCTTCCACACCACCGTAGGTAGAGACAATAATTTTTCGCGTAGCCGTAGGATTTTGACCGCATGCACTTTCCTAGGAAAATTTCCAAATTCAAACATTTTCTAGTTTTTTGTCGAACTAATCTTATTTTCATTTTCAATACATTTTCATTCACTTCCATTATATATATAGACACACACAATGGATCGAAATATAAATAAAAATTTTCAAACAAAATCCGATTAGCCAAAAGACCGATTTTCACGATCAGTCTTTTGGGAAGGAAATCGCTATACCGATCGGCTTTCTAATCTTGAAATTGATAAGCACTTGGATACTAATTTCTTTTCATGCTTTATTAGGTAATAAAATATAGATAGTAGATTTACGACGTTAAATTTTTATATTCGGCTTTAGCCCTTTTTCATATAAAAATAATAATTCGTATGCCGTGGTGTAGGCATTCGATAATAGAACTCTTGTAGAGAGCCTAACAATTCAAATTTCACCGGTGCCTTGAGACGAGTTTCGAGTCGTGCGATTCGAATTAATGGTCCCTGAACTTTGGTCCAACATGCAGTGTGTATTAGCAGACGATATCTATATAGGCCCATCATCTCCGAACTTTTTATTTATTCAATGTAGTCCATAAACTCTGACCTGATGTGCAGTGTCATCCCTGGACTTTTAATCTGCTCAACATGTTCCTCGAACTTTGGTCCAATGTTCCATACAATCCCTGAACTTTTAAACATTTTCGTATAATCTAAGCACTACATCGAGCATTTATTCGCAGTTTAGATCACATTAAACAGATTAAAAATTTTGATATGACATTACAAGTTCATGGACCGCATCACAAAATTAAAAATTGATATTGCATATTAGATTAAAATTCATAACCTTCATTCAAATCGAGTTCGAGCTCGGCCCGGGGGCTTGTACATCCGGCCGTACTTAATAATAATGCCGCCTTGATCGGGACGGCGGGGTTGGGGGGGTGGCGCAGGTTAAGGAGGGGGTCTACTGGGGTGCGCACAATAGCGGGGTGGTGGTGGAGCATGAGTGTATCTTTGACTCTGTAGCGCACACTAGCTAATGTAATGCAAACACAATGATAAAAGTCCCTCCAATTATAATAATCCAAGAACAGCGAAAAGGAAGGGAAGAAAATGAAAACGAAAAAGAAAAAGTGGGAGGAGAAATAAAGAAGGATTTGTGCGTGCTGTGTGCGAAGTGTGATGGATATCAACAAACAGAGCGTTGATAATGATGATATATTTATCTTAATGGAACGCAAAGAGAAGGAAGAGAAGCAAATGAAGGGAAAAGAGAGAGAGAGAGAGATAGAGAGAGAAAGGAATTCAGACACTGCAACGTTTGGAAAGGACCGGGCTTCAAAGGTTCTCCTTCTCTCTTTTAAGCGGTGAGGAGGTGAGGGGAGGGGAGGTGGGGTGTGGTGTGGTGCAAATTCTCATTCCGGACGATGACTCTGGTTCGAGGTCGTGTGGGGTGAGGAGGAAGGCTTCCCTGGCTCGAGTGGTCATCTGGGTCATCTGGGTCTTCTTCTCCTTCTTCTTCCAATGATTTGATCGAAGTACAGAGAGCCACAGAGAGAGAGAGAGAGAGAGAGAGAGAGAGAGAGAGAGAGAGAGAGAGAGAGAGAGAGAGAGAGGATAGGAGGGAGGGAGAGGGAGCTTGGAGGCGGTTCGAGCTTGTTAGCTTCCGAAGGAGAAGGACCCGGGTTGAGTGAAAGTAAGTATGGAGTGAAATTGTTTGGGCTTCTGAAGCAGTTGGTCTTCCGTTCTTGTGTGTTGTGGTGACATATGTCCGTCCCTACAACTCATGAAACATCTGTTTGTTCCGTAGAAGATGACGAGAAATCGTGGGTTTAAGTGAATATCATTGATCATAAGAAAGTTCATTAGTTGGTTTGATGATGCTTCTGTGGTTTACGCAAGCCTGCTCTTTGATTCTGTCTTCGTACTTATTTGAGCTCTGCGCGTGTCTGTGTATGTGTTTGTGCGTGCGTGCGTGCGTGCGTGTCGGGTTGAGCTGTTCTTGGGGAATCGCAGGTTTCTAGACTGTCATCATTGATGAGCCTTTTCATTCGTGAGTTGATCGCCATGCTGATTATGGTTTTCGATGTCTGAGTTCGCAGTAAATACAACTGTTGGGGGACTTATCGTTTGGTTTTTTTTTTTCCCTTCCTTTTTCCATTTGCAGTTTGGAGAGGTCATGAATTCGACGTCCACTCAGTTCGTGTCTTCTAGAAGGATGGGGATGTACGACCACATTCACCAAATGGGAATGTGGGATGAGAACTTCAAGCCGAATGGAAATCCTATTGCGCCGGCAGGTCTGATTGTACCGGTGCACGCGAATTTGGACAACCAGGTGCGCCTTCTTGCTTTTCCAATTTCGATGAATCCGGTTGCTGCGATTCGTGCTGCTCGTTATAGTTGTCGTGTCTGAATCAGCCTGTCTTGTTCAAATTTTGTCTAGTCGGAGGATACTTCTCATGGATCATTGGATACTCCTGGCAAGTATGAGCAAGAAACCTCGAGACCTTTTGATAAGGTATGAGCAATCTGGCGCCAAGCGCTTCTCTGTTCGAATCTCGCTCTTGTCGGACACCAGTTTTTCTATCGTAAGCACGTCATCCTCTACTCACTTGGAGGCTCCTGCCTCTGTTTTCTATGTTTTGAGTCTCCTCTTGCATGTTGCAGTATATCCATGAAGTAAATCTTCCTTTTGCTGGTCTTAATTCTTTGATTTGGTTTCGGAGCTCCCTAATGATGGAGTTGCCTAACTTCTGTTTTTTTCTTTTTTTGGTACTTTTTGCTTAATGCGGTTCACTTATCTTGATTCACCGTCTGCACACTCAAAATACAATGGCCTTAAGCGAAACTGCACTTACATTTCAAGTTTACATCATAATACTTCAGGTGCAAAGACGTCTTGCACAAAACCGTGAGGCTGCGCGCAAAAGCCGTCTGCGGAAAAAGGTAACAGCAGTTGCGGTTGGTATTGCCATGCTGCTTTGGCCAATTGATTCGACCTGAATTTCCGTCTGTGAATGTTCTATAGGCTTATGTTCAGCAGCTAGAAGCAAGTCGTTTGAAGCTTATGCAGTTAGAACAAGAGGTTGAACGAGCTAGGCAACAGGTATGAGAGATTTTTTCCCGTGTGTGTTCCCTTTCATTCCTTGCACTGACCATGGAAGTCATAAATGCTCCAATACAGGGTCACTATGTGGGTGCAGGAATAGATGCAGCTTATCCAGGATATGGTGAATCTTTAAATTCAGGTACTAAAGTTATAGATGCCTCAGTGATACAGTCGAGACTATTGGCTTCTTACTGTCATTTTTACGTAGCTGATGTAATCTATTTTCGATAATCAGTCATTATGTTACATTCATTAATCCTGAATTTAAATGCTATGGCTTTCTATTTAGGACTTGTCTTCTTATCTTCTCTTAAATAAAAAAGGCTGGATATGTTTTGGCAGTGGCGCACCGATTCTTGATTAAGCTTACTTGCATCAATAAAAGTTTCTTAAAGATCTCCATGGGATCTGCTTGACATTTTTTGGCATGCTCAGTGAATCGGGCATAACTCTATTTGAGCCCCCGCATACAACTGGTTACTCTTTTCCTGTTTCTCTGACACCATCCATGCTCGGATTGCTGTAGGAATCGTTGCATTTGATATGAAGTACAGGCACTGGATTGAGGAACAAAATAGACAAATATGTGAGCTGAGGGCTGCTTTGAATGCTCATAGAAGTGACGTAGAGCTTCGCATCCTCGTGGAAAGTGGCATGAACCATTATTCTGAACTTTTTCGCATGAAAACAGCTGCATCAAAGGCCGATGTTTTCTATGTGATGTCTGGAATGTGGAGATCGTCGTCGGAGCGATTCTTCCTGTGGATTGGGGGATTTCGTCCTTCAGAACTTCTTAAGGTAATATAGGGTTCAATTTGAACAAGAAATCTTATTTTACATTGCACACAAGTCTAAAAATTGTCTACATCTCCTAGTAACTATGTCTTGACCTCATAGATATAGCTAATCACTAAATGCTATTGAGAAGCACAACATTTCCCAACCTGTTAATGCATTTCTTTTTTCTCAACAAAAATTTGATGGTCTTTACTTGTTGGACTATGCACAATCATGGCGGTGCACATCTTCTTTCTTATAGTAGCAGACCTTGATTAGCATCACATGTTGTGGGTGGTGCATGTGCATCCTCCAAAGTGGCAGATCTATCGTGTAGACAATATATTCAAATCCAATCTTCAACTGAATTTCTGACTCGCACGTTATTTTTGCCAGTATCTCTTACTAGAAAATTGTTCCCACTCCAGGTTCTCATGCCTCAGCTCGACCCCTTGACGGAACCACAATTGGCGTTTGTTTACAGCCTCAAGCAAGCTTGTCAACAGGCTGAAGATGCCCTAAAGCAGGGTCTGGATAAGCTCCAGCACACTCTGTCCGAGGCCGTGGCCGGTGGTCGACTCGGTGAAGGGAATTACATCCCGCAGGTGGCTACCGCGATGGAGAAATTGGAAGCTCTGGTCAGCTTTGTGAATCAGGTACTTAAGTACAAGACTATGTTTAGAATGTACTTCCAATTCTTTGTTGATTTAGACCCGAAAACACGGGAATGACCTTGACTTTGATGATTTTTTTTTTTTTTTTGGTAGCAGACTTTGATGATACTTGTTTCAAAACGGAAAGTATGTAGACATTTTTATCGCATTCTCTGAAAAATAAGGACTTTACACCAAATAACACCAGAATGACCCAATTGAACTACTTGTTCAAATGAATGATCCCACAGCATAATCATTTTATTTTTGCAATGAAAGTAAACGAAGCTTCTTTGTTCAATTAGGCAGACCATCTACGTCAGGAAACGCTGCAGCAAATGTCCCACCACCTAACGACACGGCAAGCCGCTCGGGGCCTGCTTGCCTTGGGGGAGTACTTCCAACGCCTCCGAGCTTTAAGTACACTCTGGACTACACGTCCCCGCGAACCCGCTTAATTTCACTTCATCAAGTCGACATGGATATTTGCAGGATGAAATCTCTCGTAGAGCCATAATAAGCAAAGCCAAAGGTGCCGTTTTGTATGTCAGCTATAGACATCATGTGGAAAGTTTCTAGTGCCGATCATTTTTTCTTGGCGGCGTCTGAAAAATGAAGTTGTAAATACCAACATTTATCTTGGAGTTGTAATCTCTACCTTCTTTCGGGCGTGCTGTAGTCGATGTTTCGGGTAGTTCTCGAGTTTAGGTTTACGACAGTTGCTTTGTGAACCGAGTTATTCTGTACTTGATAAGTTTGACAGAACATAGTTGTGTATAGAGGAGTTGTGCTGTGAATTTTTGCGCTGCTTATTGATCGCTCTGTAAGTAACAGATGCTCATGTTGGAGTCGCTAGACAGTTGATTCGTCAGCCAGAGTTATATTGATTTTGAGATGATTGACAAACGTAGGTGTGTAGAGATGAAACGTGCCTTTTTACTCGGGCTTCTAGTTTATCTCGCTGTAAATAATGGATCGGGGTCTTCGTTAAACATAATACGCATTAAGTCCGTCGTGCATGCAGAATGTAAATTTTCTGGCAATTGTTATCATCAGATTTGCAAAAACTCTTCAAGTCAAATTTTGCGGGCGGTGTCGATACCGAACGCATCAGGATTACTTGTCTGTTAAATGAAAGGGATGAGATATTAGCGTAAGAACGGGGATAAGAACACTAGAAGTGCCATAATTTTCGTACGACGCTCGCTTAAGTATAATAACTTTTTTTTCGCTCACATGAGTGCCACAAATTTGAAAAATTGATCACTTGAGTGCCATCAGCGATTTGCCTCGCCGGAAAATCCGACGTGGACGCCGGTCATCATACGTAGCTTCACCGAAGCTGATGTGAATAATTTTTGAATTTTTGAATTTTTTTCTTTTTCTTTTTCTTTTTCGATGCCGGCGAGGGTCACCGGCGACCCTCGCCGGCTGTGAAGGCCTTGCCCAGATTGGACAAGGGCCGCCTTGCCCTTGGCAGCGAAGGCCTTGGGCGAGGCCGTCGCGGCCTCCCCCACCGCCGGTGAGACCGTGAAGGCCATCGCCAGATCTGGGTGGGCGCGGGCAAGGCGGCCTCGCTAGATCTGGTGAGAGCCTTCGCCGTCTCACCTGCGACCGGCGAGGCCGTGATGGCCTCGCCAAGGGCTTTCGCGACCACAGGCGAGGTAGCCTCGCCAGATCTGGTGAGAGCCTTCGTCGCCTTGCTCACGGTCGGTGAGGCCGCAATGGCCTTGCCTAGGGCTTTCGCGGCCACGGGCGAGGCAGCCTCGCCAAATTTGGCGAGAGCCTTTGCCGCCTCGCTCGCGGCCAGCGAGACCGCAATGGCCTCACCAAAGGCCTTCGCGGCCATACCGGCCGATGGTGAGGCAGCCCTTGCCCAGTTTGGCCGAGGGCAAGGCCTCCGGCGAGGGTCACCAGTGACCCTCGCCAACCTTGAAAAAAAAAGGAAAAATAAGAAAGAAAAAGAAAAAATATATAAAGAAAAAAAATCAATAAAATAACATTAAAAAAATTCACGTAGAATTATTTGCCGGAAATGACACTCAAATAATCCATTTTACTCCGACGTGGCACTTAAGTAAGCACTGTACGAAAGTTATGACACTCCAGTGTCCTTATCCCCGTAAGAACGCATATAAAATCAAGCACGGACAAAAAAGAGTGGGTGAATCCGAGACTGCACCCAAATGAAATTGGAGAGGCAAAAGAAGATGCACAAGTTCTATCAGTATTAAGAAGTTGCCTCAAAACATCAGCCGATCTGGTCCTTGAACTAGTACCGTCTGACTATTTTACTCTGTAATCACACTGACTACTAAGTATCAATTACTCCAAAAAGAGCGGGAAGCGGGACGACGTTGATTTTCAAATGTTACATGATGCTTTCATCATTCCCATAGTCTTATTCTCTGATAGGAGGCTTGATGTTTTCATTTATGATTTACTATTAGATTAGTCTCTAGTCATGTTGATGGATTGACAAAAAAATGATTCCCTTATGAACAGAATTACCAATTACCGAAAGAAGCCTTTAAATATAACGATCGAAGAGACGAACGAAAAGGGTATAAAATCTGCTACATAACAATTACAGTTAAGGCCAACGGTGCCAGTAAATGGATCGACGAACGAGCTTAACATTCTTGAAATTAACATTGCAAGATTAGGATTGAGCAGAAACAGGAAAAACTGGCAGCATCCGAAGCAGTGCTACAGCTGAGAATGTTTCTTCACTGATGGGTCGGCGGAACTAAGGCCATCTCAGATTGTGGACCATTCCAACAGCTCACAGTTTGGAGAGGGCATAATCAAAAGCATCGACGAGGAAATCTGAAACTCACCAAAACGCAAGTACACCGTGACTGTTATAGAACTGACACTGAGCGTAATTCGTAGACTAATTGATAAAGACTATCACCCATTGTGTCCCAGGGGAAATAAAATAGTACCCGCATCATCTTTGTTAAAGCACATGGGGGGCTTTATCCTGAAGACGTTTCCATGCAAACCACCTTTACCGACCAGTACTCCAAGCTCTTGAATCAGGAATTAAGAAGACAGAGAAAAAGGATTAGTACGATGGGTAAAAGTCCGCAGAATTCCAACTAGATTTGGGACGGGGATATTACGGTTCAATATACCTCTGAGTTTCTCAAATAGGACCGCAGTTTCTGCTTTAGCGGGCGTCTTCTCTTTTCTGTCCGTGACGAGCTCGATGCCCAGCATTAAGCCCCTGCCTCTTACATCTCCAATGACTGTAAAGAAATGTTCCGGCATCATGAACATGTCAGACACGCTACTTCACTTACTCAACCTGCGTTGCAGCTATTTTGAATCTTTGTTTTCGTTTTAGAATGACAACCAGAAAAATTTCGCAGATTGCTTTCAACAGTCACCTTTGCCACCAGATTTAGGAAGTAGTACAATGCTTGGAAAAATATAGAGACCATAATCATATCTTAGTACACTAAAAATTCGGTAGACTGCCCACACCCAATCAAATGGTTGTTGACGCCACTCTCAAAGGTTGAAGGGACTACCAAGTTCCAAAAGTAAGATTAGCGATCTGTCGAAAGAAGCTAAGCACTGAGAACAGCTCCAACATCTATTCAAAAAGACTCAGGCCCAGCGTAATAATCCTTTCCTCGTATCTACTCCTCGCCTTTCCTCGCAATCACAAATATTATACAGTAAGCACCCTCTCCCTCTCCTCTTTCCCTTCCCTCACTTTTTCCAAACACTCCAAAAGCTGCACTGGATCTAGCCTCTAAGACATATCCTACCAATATATTCCGAATCCTATAAAAGAGGGAACAAACCTCCTCTTAGAAAACCAAGTTTCCTAACCGACATGACTGAGTCATAACTTATAAGACTCAAAACTATCATCTTTCTTACAAATTAGGCCAAGACACAACAATCAACAGCTCAAAGGTATTACTACATATATCATCATAACCAGTATCCTTTTTCAAATAAAAAAAAAACATAAATACACTCTGATAATTGTTATGAGAACACGTGAGCTTAGCTTCTCTAGGTTCTTGATGCACCCATCCAAACCAATACGATTTCAGAATAGTGATATCATCAGCGATCACCAGTTAGGGGATAGAAAGTTTAAGCATCTGGTTCAGAATTATGTAGTCAGCAAATTTTAGGAAAGTATACTTAGCTTAAAATATAACGGGATATGTTCACTAGAAGTCCTAAACTTGTCATGAAAGTGCAATTGAGTCCTAAAACTTGCAAAAAGTGCAATCGAGTCCTAAAACTTGTCAAATTGGTTCAAATGAATCCTAAAATTAACACCATCCAATTTGACTAACGGAAAATGCTGACATGGCTTTTTTATTATTTTTTATCCTACGTGGTGATGACGTGACTTATTATTATTATTATTATTATTATTATTATTAAATTATGTTTAAAAAATAAGCCAAATTTATAAAATAAAAAAAATTGTGGAGGAGGAGGATAGGCGGGGAGGGAGGGCTTGCCCTCCCCGCCGCTGCCGCTGCCGCCGCCCCACCATCGCCGGGAGGGGCCGGCGACCCTCACCGACAGCAGGCTAGGGCCGGCGAGGGTCGCCGGCCCCTCCCGGCGATGGTAGGGCAGCAACGGCGGCAGGGAGGGCAAGCCCTCCCTCCCCGCCTATCCTCCTCCCTTTTTTAAAAAATTTTTGAAATTTTAAATTTTGCTTATTTTTATATTTAATTTAAATAAAATTAGTATTAAAAATCAAATTTGGTCAAAATTTTAGCCACATAGGAGAGAGAAAATATTTAAATAAGCCACATCTGCGCCACGTCAACATTTTCCGTTAGTAAATTTGACGATGTTAATTTTAGGACTCATTTGAACCAATTTGACAAATTTTAGGACTTGATTGCCCTTTTTGCAAGCTTTAGAATTCAATTGCAGTTTCATGATAAGTTTTAGGACTTCCAGTGAACATATCCCAAATATAACACACACATGCTTTTGAGAGTAAATGGGCAGGGGAAAATCTTCCAAAGCAAAGTTGGAGATTCCTTACTATCATATCTCTCCTGAAGATCCCTTAAACGAGCAGTCAAGTGGGAGCCAACATCTGCACAATGTTCTTGGCGTTTCTCCTTATCTATAACTCTAAGCACTGCATGTCCACCAGCAGAGCAGACTGGATTACCGCCAAAAGTGTTGAATTGAATTTTCTGTGCCATCACGCTTGCAATCTCAGGTGTCGTTACCACTGCTCCTAATGGCAAACCATTGCCAATTCCCTGGCGATTGCAATTGAAAAATACGAAAACAACAATGTGATGACTCGCTGCACATGAACTTTGATACTTAAAAGTATTCTGATCTATGTACACTATATTAATGGGATGTAACATTTTTGCTTTCGTCAGCTGAGGCCTTGAGCACAGTTGTTATCCTTAGCAAATTTGTAATTTCAATTACTGAAAATTCAAAAAGTGCGCTACATTCACACATCAGTAGAATTTTCAACACAAAACTTACATTTTCTTCATATTCAAAGCACATTTACTACTTCGTGAAGAAACCACGAGATCTTACTAATCTTTTCTCGCAATAAGATGGAAAATGGAAATGCACGATTTTGGAAGGATCAACCAGAAAAGTTGAAAATAACTAGGAGACTTTGCAGACCTTTGCCATGGTGACTATGTCTGGAATGACACCCTGGGTTTCAAATCCCCAGTAGTGGCTCCCAGTGCGACCAAATCCAGTTTGCACTTCATCTGCTATGCAAAGACCACCAGCCTTGCTTACCATGTCATACACCAGTTTTAAGTAACCAGGGGCCAATTCCACAGCTCCCCCAACTCCCTGAAGAGGCAATTTTATTGTAAAACAAATCTAAGTCCAGGAGCAGTTGCATTGATGACTGGTTAGGAGTATAACGTGAAATTTTTTATGCTGACCTGAATGGTTTCAGCTATAAAACCAGCAACTTTTCCTGAGGTACCATAATCAATATGATCTTGCACATCTTTTGCATAGATACTGGCATCAGAGCCAAAGATTCCATGATATGGATCTGGATTCACAACATGATGAATTTCTCCCTGCAAAGCAAGAAATTGTATTTTGACTAGATAAGAGAAGAAGATCACTAAAGTAAGAAAGAAATGTATCATGCCCAAGTGATAATTGCTACTGTCAATGCCAAGTTTTCCACAGTAATATTTTGGCAGCAGTGATCCAGCGGCTCCTGAAGAAGACATACTGATGACCACTTGACCTTGATCATTACATCTCTTGCTTGTTGAGAAGCAAACAAGCATTTAAAATATCCGCATTTATTATGACTAGTTTACTCATTTATACTCCTTCGCATCATTGTTATTGATAATAAACTAAAGCGCGTATCAAGATGAGGAATACATGATGTTCAAACCTGCGGGATTGAGTACTTCCATGTGTTTAGTGCCGTGAGGCCTATTGTTCCAGAACTGCCACCGTGGTATGCGTTTCTCAAGGAGATCATTTCAAGATTACCACTATATAGTCGAGCCATCAGCATTGCCAGTTCATTTGCTTCTGAACCAGAATTCACAAAATATACAACCTGCATCATATGAACATTCCAGCCAAAAAGAATCAATATAATCCGGGATTATAAAACTCCAAGATCTCAGAATAGAATTTGCATGTTACTCAAAGAAATAAACCTTTAGGTTTCCCGGCATTTTCGATGCTAATGCCTCGGCAAAATCGGCAATCGCGTGGTGCAAATATATTGTTGTGGCATGCTGCAGAAGCTTGCTTTGCTCCACAATAGCATTCAGAACTTCAGGATGGCAATGTCCACAAGATACAGTAACAATCCCAGCAAAAGCATCGAGATACCGCTTGCCGTTCTCATCAAACAGATATTGCATTTTCCCTTCAACAATATTAAGCTGTACAAACAACAACAGATATTTGTAAGAAATTGCGAAGACCCGGAGCATAAACAGCACATTGGAGAATCGCATCTAGTTACGCACCCACACGCGCAGAGCAAGGAACAAGAGGGTGTCCAAAAGTCTCGTTTTTTACATACCACGGCTGCAAATACATATGACCAAACCCATAACCACCAATTGGGCCATAGACTAGACAAACTTTCCAGACACACTAGCTGATCAGAGACTCTGAATTAGAATTTGATCAATTACCTCAGACACAACCCACGTCGATCACGTCACACATATCAAACTCAGCTAGCAGAATTTCTTCATACTATTGTGCAATACGCTTTCGCTTTTCAACAACTTCTTGGCCTTGGAGCCCAGAAGTTCATCGATAGGAAGAATCTCTCCAACATCATATTTCTAGAGGATACCAAGAAAGTCTTTTTTGGGCAGTCATCTTTTAGGAAAAGAAAATGAACGAAGCAAAATCATCTTCTTTTTTCCCCTACTTTAGTACCCATCAAACAGATAGTTTCCTGTATGGAACAATACATGATGATCAGCTCTGCCAATTAAAGCGTAGACGATTCACTTACAAGTGAAAAAGCTGCAAGAATGAGCCACTTCCAAGCAGAAAACCAGAAAAGCAATCTAAATCCAAACAAAAATCTAAAAAAGAAAACGCCACATGCATCAGAGGCAAAAGCAAAGATTACAACAGACTTTGCATGCACAGAAGGCCCACGCTCGTCACACACGGACAACTTACGGGCTTCTGGTAGTAGTAGAAGAGAGAAGGGCCCAGGAACTTCTTGCGCTTCTCAAGAATCTCATCGCCCGAAGGCCCTTTGTACGGCTTCGGCACATAGTCGAACCTCGGTAACTGAGGCCGAGCATCGGCGGCAGGCGACGACGACGGGGCCGTCGAGAAAGAACCGCGGAGCGACAACCCATTTCGAGGGACAAGGCGGCGGTGCTGGTCACGGGCTCTCAGAACGCTGCTCCGCCACGCCATCTCCTCGCTCGCTCGTCGCTGATCAAGAACTTTCAAAAGCAAGCAAGAGAGACAAGAGAACCGAAGAGGGTGCGTTAAAGTTCCGACCTTTGCGCAAACGACAAAAGTAGCGAGCGCTTAAAGGCAAGCGAGGGAGTGACTCAGCAGTAGTGATGATGGGTGGCTGGGCTTTGGTGGGCCTTGAAAAGTTGGCAGTGATTAGCCTTAAATCTTAAATTAATTACCATAATCTCTGCATTATTCCCCTTTTGAAGGAATCTCAGCTGCTTCGTGACGTGGAATTTGCCATTTTTAAAAGTCATCCCTTTTGGATTATTATGGTAAGGAATTGGGTGAGGATCAAGATGGTAGCTGACAAGGAAAGATTTGAATGTCTTAGCTGCCTAATTAAATAATCTCCATAAAAAATAAACGGAAATTGTCAAATAAGGACCAAAGTGGGTGTTTTTTTTCAAAAGAGGACCCCAAGTGGACAAAGTATCAATTAAGGACCCAAATGCCCAAACCAGTATCAAATAAGGACTGAGCTCGCCGGCCGGCCAAATGTTCGCCGGCCGGCGAACGGCCGACATTTCCGGCACCGGAATAGGGGCAATTTTGTCCAAAATTTTTTTTCTTTTCTTTTCCTTTTCTTTTCTTCTTCCCCGGTCGCCGGTCCGGCGACCGGCGGGCCAGAGCTGAGGCCGGCGAGAGCTCGAGCTCGCCGGCCATCTGGGCGAGCTCGGCCGGCGAGCTCTGCCCAGATCTGGGCGAGCTCGAGCTCGCCGGCCATGGCGAGCTGCCGGCGAGCTCCGCCCAGATCTGGGCGAGCTCGAGCTCGCCGGCCATGGCGAGCTGCCGGCGAGCTCCGCCCAGATCTGGGCGAGCTCGAGCTCGCCGGCCATGGCGAGCTCCGCCCAGATCTGGGCGAGCTCGAGGAGGCCGGCCTCGCCCGGATCGCGTAGTCGAGGGCCTTGGCGGGGCCGTCGCCGGAGGCGATGGTGTCGCGCGCGAGCTTCAGGAGGAAGGGCCCGAGATCCGGGTTGTCGAGGGCCGTATCGGGCGGGGCGGGGCTGGCGGCGGAGCCCGGGGACTCCGGCGGGGGCTTCCGTGGGGAGAACTTGGAGCGGGAAGGGGAGGGGGAGGGTGCCATGGCCGGCGAGCTCGAGCTCGCCGTCGCACAGCCATGGCGAGGGCCGGTGAGCTCGAGCTCGCCCAGATCTGGGCAGAGCTCGCCCAGATGGCCGACGAGCTCGAGCTCATGCCGGCCCTCGCCAAGGCTGTGCGCCGGCGAGCTCGAGCTCGCCGGCCATGGTACCCTCCCCCCTCCCCTTCCCGCTCCAAGTTCTCCCCACGGAAGCCCCCGTCGGAGTCCCGGGCTCTGCCGCCAGCCCCGCCCCGCCCGATGCGGCCCTCGACTACGCGATCCGGGCGAGGCCGGCCTCCTCGAGCTCGCCCAGATCTGGGCGGAGCTCGCCGGCAGCTCGCCATGGCCGGCGAGCTCGAGCTCGCCCAGATGGCCGGCGAGCTCGAGCTCTTGCTGGCCTCAGCTCTGGCCCGGTCGCCGGACCGGCGACCGGGGAAGAAGAAAAGAAAAGGAAAAGAAAATAAAAAAAAATTTGGACAAAATTGCCCCTATTCCCAAGTGCCGGAAATGTCGGCGTTCACGTACGAACATTATACCCGGCGAGCTCAGTCCTTATTTGATACTAGCTTGGGCATTTGGGTCCTTAATCGATACTTTGTCCACTTGGGGTCCTCTTTTGAAAAAAGGCACTCACTTTGGGTCCTTATTTGACAATTTCCCATAAAAATATGAAGGCAACAAGTAGCAAAAACCCAAAACTTTTTTTTTTCACACCGTAAATCTCAAACTTATACTTGTATGACACTTTCAACCTAAACTTTTTTCTAATAATATTAAAAATCCCGACTTATATCCGTACGACACATTTTCTCCAAACTTATGCCCGTATGACGCATTTACCTTCTATCAAAATTCCATTAATGAACGCCGCTAAAAATCTTATGTGTATGACGGAAAGAAAACAGTGCTGCATGGCGCTCACATGGCAAAATTATGTCAACTCGTACGTTTTTTTTTTCTTGTTTTCTTTTCTCTTTTTTTAACTTCCTCCTTCGTTTTCTTCCTTGATTTGGCAACGATGAGGACGATGGCAATGGTGACGGCAATGGTAATGGCGGCGGCAATGGTAGCGGCAGCGGCAGAGAAGGAGGAAGGAAAAAAAATATTGACATAGGGTAAATGTGCAGGTCCAAGTTTAGGAATTTTTGTACCATAAAAAAAGTTTGGGATAAATGTGTCACGTCAATACAAGTCTGGGATTTTTTGTGTCGCAAAAAGAATTTTGGGTCAATATGTCGCTTGGATACAAGTTTGGGATAAATATGTAACATGGATACAAGTTTTGGGTTTTTGGTGTTACAAAAAAACTTTGGTGTAAATGTATCATAGTGGGCATAATTTGAGATTTTTTATGGCTTTTACCCGAACTTAAAACAAGAAAATTTATAATTCACAAATCGCTGATTACAGTAGGTTAAATTCTCATAAAGGCGCAGAAATAATCCTTGAAATATTCTCAATTTTGCAAATCGAACAAAAAGGAAATTGTGGACCCGATTTAATATCCATGAATTACATTGGAGATTTGATTGGAAACCCAGGCGGACCGAACCAAAATTTATTTCTGCTTCAAATTTTTATTAATTTTTTTTCAATTGTTATATCCTAAGAGATGATTAATCAGTTACACAATTTATTTCTTATTCAATTAAGTACCTAATGCTTAGCTAAATGTATTTTAGACCAAAAATTTAGTTTACTTCTGAGGTCGGTTTGGACACCAAACCGGACTGATGCTCAACCCAAAAAGTCTCTGCCGTTTTCTAGAACTCACTTCCACGACCTCTTGTCACAAACCGATGTTTGAGATTAAGATCGCGATTGCGCGGCAACTTAGGCTTTCTTTGGCTCGTTTGGCTCTTACTTGGATTGCCCATGCTCAGCCTTTCATGAAGAATCGATCACTTGCTCATTCGGATTGTGGAGAGAGAAGCTTTTGGAAAGAATGTAATTGCTCAAATGTAGGATGATACAAATGAGGAAGAGGGCTCCCTTATATATACAAGAGTCCCTCTAATTACAACTGTAACAGTAAAGATTTATTCTCATTTAACGATCAAACGGTAGAGAGATTCAATCCTCATCTCGACCAATCATATAATAGAGATACATCTTGATGGATACGAATTCTGATCTCATGATTCAATGGTGGAAGTCAAGTTCCACTACCAATGCTAACAGCTCTTGTTTCTCCGGATTGATGACTTGGCAATCCGTCTATGACACGCAAATGTTGTCGGTGCCCCCGTTCGTGCCAGGTCACCTCTCGCCACCAAGGGCATGTGTGGCTGGTCCCCTGCCAATGGTTGTTGCCTACAAAATTTTATGCATAAGGATTACTTTCATTGTCTGTATACAGTATACACCATTCTTTGCTCATACATTGTCTCCATACACCAACAGTTGTAAACAGGTCATCATAAATGTATTTTATAAACAAGTTTTCTTGTGAAAACATTTTTCATCGACCATCTCTCCCCCACATTAATCAATGTATAAGGGGAGACTGAGAATTAAAAATTGGACAGGTTGCTGAGAGTTACATTAGAAACCCACATGAGCTCAGCAGTTTAACTTTGATTTACAATCTGCTTTAAGCTGTTAGGACCATCCAGCTAACAATAATTAGACCTCTGCACATCATTCAGCTGGGTTTTGAAACTCCCAGGAACAAGACCATTACAAAATTTGGCACCATAAAATGAGCAGGAAAGTTGCGCAGCCTTATATAGATTCTGCACTTATGTTCAGCTGCCTCATTCTTATTCTCTTGTCCCTTTAATTTCCTTCTTGTCCCAACTTAATGAGCACTAAAAATGAATCTCGTCATAATCAGAAGAGCTGAAAACTTACTACCATAGCATTTGAAGCGCCAGCACTATTTTAACGGAAAGCGATAGATACAAGAATTCCTACGAAACCGATTAATGTCGAGCGCAGTTCACTTGCACATCGAGATCCGTTCCCCAACAATGTGTCGGAAAAACCAGTGCAGCATAATGTCATTTATACCGTTTCAGTATATAACTCTGACTCCACACGAGTAAACAGACACCTGCCAAAATTGTTGTTTGTCCAAAAATGTCCTCAATGCAGTTACAGCATCAGCATAAATCAGACCCCCTCCTCTGTTCCTGCCACCTTACATGGCAACACATGGTAGAAGCAGGGTTTTACAGCATGATAGAATTACCCATCAGCCATAGATCTGCCTAACATCTTGAAAGATCATTCAGACATCTTACACAAGTCCTTTTACATCAGAACTCTTATCGACAATCTCCTTCTACCAGTAGTCCCGACAAGAACACATACCATCTTGGAAATGGTGGAAACGAGTAGAGTCCCTCACAATGATTTCTCTGCCAACTAGCTTAGCTATATACTTAATGGCTGAGTGGCAATCATTACAGACCCTTAGGTTCTTCATGATCCTTAATGTAGTGTTCTCCGGAGTGTTCAGTAACCCGAAGGCAATTGCAAGTTTCTCACTGTGATGTCTGAGAATCTGCTCCTTCACCTCTTCCTCAAGGTCATGCATTACTGATTCGGTGTCTGGAACAAAACCCATCTTCTTTATCTCCCTCCAGATCTTATCAATGGTCTGGTAGATTGCATCTTTCTGTGGGTGAAGCCCATCTTCGACACCAAAGACATGAACCTCGTTCCTTAGTTGAACCCAACTGGTTCCTTGTTCCTTTTTAACTCCTCTCTCCTTCATGGACTTCCTAACTTTAGCAGCATCCTCCCATTTTCTGCAGACCATATACACATTCGCCAAAGCTGAGTATGCGCCACTGTTATCTGGATCAATGATAAGCAGCTTTTCTGCAGCAAACTTTGCCAGTTCCACATTTTTATACACTCTACATGAAGCCAGAAGTGAACCCCAGGCGACAACATCTGGTTCAATAGGCATGTTCTCAATAAACCTTTGGGCCTCGTGTAGCAATCCAGCACGCGCATATAGGTCAATCATGCAGGCATAATGACTTGGGGTGGGTTTAATTTTGTCCGTATGTCGCATCCTGTCATAATAACTGCGTCCCTGTTCAACCAATCCAATATGCGTACAGGCAGATAAAACACCAACATAAGTTATATGGTCCGGTTTTATCCCTAAAGCGAGCATCTTCTCAAACAGTTCTAGAGCATCTTCTCCAAGACCATGTTGAGCCAAAGCAATAACCATGGAAGTCCAAGAGACTGTGTCCCTGTTGTCATGTACCAACCCAAATACTTTTCTTGCGTCATTGATGTTTCCAGATTTTGCGTACATGTTTATCAGCGCGTTACTCACAGATACAGAAGAAGATTCACGTGTTCTTATGGCATTAGCATGGATCTGTTTTCCATAATTTAAAGAAGCCACACGTGCACTTACACTCAACATAACTGCTAAAGTATAGCTGTTAGGTCTGGGGCCTTCTCTAAGCATTTGTTTGAAAATCTCTATTGCGTCATCATTCAACCCATTCTGCACATAACCTACAATCATAGCTGTCCATGTAACCACATCCCGCTCCATCTGTAAGTCAAATATTTGTCTGGCAGGATGTATATCTCCAAGCTTAACATACCCATCCAACAATGCTGTAAAAGCTATTATATCCAGATTTGAAGTCTTACATTTTTCAACAATTTTTCTTGCTGTTTCAACTTCACCAGACTTCGCATACATCGAGATCAAAGCATTTTCAACTGCGTTGGACGTATCAAACACACTTTTCACCATGTAAGCATGAATTTCTTTCCCTAGCCTTAAGTTTTCAAGATTAGCACAGGCGGACAAAACACTTGCCAAAGTAAATTTATCAGGCTTCAGAGAACAATCTTTAAGCATCCTAGAGAAAAAATCCAGTGCTTCAGTATCATGCCCATGCTGATTGAAACCAGCAATCATTGAATTCCAAGAGACAATATCTCTTTCGTCCATCCTATCAAACTGGGCAAGAGCAAGGTCAACATGGCCAGAAAGCATATGCATTGAAAGCATGACATTCCAGCTTGATGTGTTCTTCAACTTTATTCTATCAAATACCATCTTGGCTGTCATCTTATCAACTGACTTTGCATACATGTTAAGGAGAGAATTCGCCACAGAAACACAGCTACTCAACCCAAGTTTAACTACTGAAGAATGAATCTTTCTACCTACAATCAAAGCTTTAACAGCCGCGCAAGATGCAAGGACATTAGTCAAAGTATACTGGGTAGGCAAAACTCTCTCCGACAACATATCTACAAACAATTGAACTGCATCTACGAAACGACGAGTCCGATTATATCCCACGATCATCGCCGTCCAAGAAACAGAGTCACGTTCAGGAATCTCCCTGAACAAGCGATGTGCTGCGTCGACAGAACCCCGCTTCGCATACATGGAGAGGATCGTGTTCCAAGAAGACGTGTTCTTCTCGGGCATTTCATCGAACACGCGGCGGGCATCGTCCGCAAACTCAGATTTCGCGTAGAAATTCATGAGATTATTCATCAGGAACAGCCCGAAATGTAGGCCCGACTTGATTATCTGAGCATGGACCGATCTTGCGGCGAACGGGTCCCTGTTCTTGAGGCTGGTCTGAAGCAGATAGGCGTAAGATTCCGAAGGGGAAGGAACGGGAGGTGGGTTTGGCAGTTCCATCATCAAAGAATGCTTCTTTAAGGACAAATCACCGACGCATGAAGTGTACCGACATCCACATCCGCGTTCGGATGGTCGAATGAAACTGTGTCTGAGAATGCAGTTGGAGTTCCAATTCCAACCGACAGAAGTTGGCGCGAAATAAGTCCACCAACGAACATAAAATTTTGGGCATAAAAAAGATAAACATAATTTGAGGAGTGAACAAAAAATTAATTTGATACTTGCATTTGTTTCGCGTAAGTTAAGCCTATTAAACGGGTGGGTCTGGTCGAAAATGACCCGATCCATATTGACTCATTTAACCAATTTTGATCAATTTCCATATAACACAATTATAGTGATCATACATCGAAAATGAATGATTTAAAAAGCAATTTCCTTAAAATGATCGCTTGTCTTGCTTGTAAAAATTTTAGGCATGAATTATTATCGATAATGAGAATATTTTTTATTGACTAATTATTTCAAGTTATATGATCTATATTTCAAAATTCACATGGTGTTTAGATTGAGCATGTATCATATTTAAGTATCCACCTGTTTACAAGTTCTGGAAATGATTTTCAATTCCATTTATTCCTATCTGCCCAAGGAAAAAAATTCAATATCTTCTTAGAATCTCTCTCTTGGTTGGCCTTTTTTCTAAAATATATTGTAAAACTAGAAAAAAAAAAAGTGACTATATTTAACGTTTGAGTTTATAGATGAAGCGGGACGAAGGAGTTTATAACCCCGTACACAAGCAAACTAATTATGAATTTGACAAACAAGATGTCACACGCGCGAAATAAACTGAAGTAGAACTCGACTCTAATACCGTGTTCGTAAATTCAATGCAAAAGCTTAAACTTACAGTTGGAGGAAGACGACGTATATAAAAAGAACGCATAAACCTGTAAAACAAGCGATATGAGATATCGACGAATACCATGCAGCTTCTCGTGCACGTCGAATTACTATGACGCCCCGGATAATTCGAATGCTAATGTGTAAAAGTGATTGGAAATTAATGTGATGAATTTTATGCAGGCATCTCAATATGCTCCACAGGTCTGAATACCATTTCAATTTACCAAAAATTTATAAACTTTATATCCCTAACACTATTCTCCGGAGCTTTTGCTGCAAACCGTGTGAGATATCCCTTTCATTGTTAGCAGAAGTCCAGCAAAGTGTCAATTATTAGCTTTGTGGCTTACAATAATTCCTTTTACTAGTCAACTTCTTTAAATTAATGGCCATAGTAGGGTACACGTCGGCCCTCTATTCTCAAATTATGCATGAAAATTCAAGCAAACTGCTCATTCATAGAGATAAGTCCCCCTCAACCATCATTCTTAGAAAATAATAATCAACTACACAACCATACAGAGTTTGAGGACGTGAAGAGCAACAAGTCATCATCTAGAAAGTGCAATTCAACTTCAACCCCCATACAAGAACGGCATCTTATGGCCTTGCTTCATGGTCATCATATTTGAGAAACTGGCCTCCTCCTTGAGAAGGGGGGTTCACATAATCAAACACATGATCAGGCTTTTCTTAGACGCATACCCTGGTGTTGTCTCTTCATGGGCGTCGCTAGATGCTACTTAGTCCGAGTCGAGATGACGTACGACGCGATCATTGCAAGAAGCTTTGGCAGGTTCGAGCGGAAGAAGTTGGTGAACGGAGCATTTGTCGTTTGCTTGTTCCTGCTGTTGAGCTTTTGCGCTGTCTTCAGGTTCAGGCCTTACTTGGGTCCTTCACCAACGTGTGAGTAATCCACCTTGTTTCTTGCAAGAACTGAAAGGGTCACAAGACAAAGTGTTAAGTTCTCAATCGAAGCTCCTAACATGCCATAATACTGACCGCATGCTCCAGAAAATGATGTATTATCAGATGCTGCACTTTCAGCGTTTTGGCAAATTTTCTGAAGCAATTCTTTAGGATACATGAACTTTACTTGCTTTTCCAGTGATTTTGCGGTTGTCAATTGGAAAGGGTCATCAATTGTGTCCATACCTCTTGCAGTTGTAGAAAACTCTATGGCAAAACAGGAGCAACGATCCAATTCCACAACTTTCCAGAGTACTTCATCTTCAATGACCGATCAGCTGAGTACGTAATCGTCCTAAATGTATATATCGAGGGTTTTTCTCATTCGATTAGACTTTGTCTTGTGTTGGAGGTTCTGATTATTTCGCTAATAATCTTGTAGTGGCAGAAAATGTGATGAAGCAAAGAGAGCCACCGTGCCATGTTATGGACCTAAGATCAGATTTATACAACATAACTGGTGACGTAAGGATCCATGCCAAGTCCTCCACAGTTTTCATCCCTTTCCCTGAAAAAATAAATTTGTCTCGAGGACACAATTCCTGGAAAATAAGACCATATGCAAGAAATAAAGACTTACGAGCAATGAATCGTGTCAGAGAATGGTTGGTAATACCTGCAGTTTCAGATGTACAAGTTCCTCAGTGCACCCAAAATCATACCATCGCATCCATTCTCTTCTCCACAGGAGGATATGCAGGAAACCATTTCCATGACTTCAGTGATATCATAATTCCATTGTACTTAACGTCCAGGCCCTTTAATGGAAAAGTGCAGTTCCTCATTTCAGATAACCGCTCTTGGTGGGTCACGAAGTTCCGAGCAATTTTACAAAATCTTTCTTACTACCCAATTATCGATATTGATCAAGAAGAAGATGTTCATTGTTTCCCAAGCATCATCATGGGTCTTCGGCGCCATGGAGAGCTAGATATAGATCCTTCCAAGTCTCCATACACGATCAGAGACTTCAAAGAGTTTTTGAGAAGCACCTACTCATTGAAAAGGAGAAATGCAGTTAGACTAAGACATGGTGACACTAGAAAGCCTCGTCTTTTGGTAATATCAAGGAAAAGGACTCGATCATTCACTAATTCTACGAATATTGCAGAGACAGCACAAAGTATGGGGTTTGAAGTGATTGTCGCTGAGGCGGACATGCACGTGGCTAGATTTGCAGAGATAGTGAATTCTTGTGATGTGGTGATGGGAATACATGGAGCTGGACTTACTAATGTTCTCTTCCTTCCCGAGGGTGCGGTTATGATACAAGTAGTTCCATTAGGTGGTGTAGAACTGGTTGCAAAAACATACTTTGGAGACCCTTCGAAGGAAATGAACATAAGGTATCTGGAGTATAAGATAGGGACAAAAGAGAGCACTCTGATAGAGCACTTCCCACTAGACCATGTGGCCTTGAAGAATCCATATTCATTCCATAGATGTAACTTAGAAGCTTTTAAGTCGGCTTACTTAGACAAGCAGAATGTCACGATCAATGTTAGGAGGTTTAAACCCACTTTGCTTAAAGCCCTTGAACTTTTGCACGAGTAATGGTCAATGGTCACACACACAACATTAAGCTCATCACCTGTATAAGCTGAACTTTTACGAGGCACTGTTCATCAGTGAGATGTAGACAATGATCAAAAGATTATGTTTTTCAAGGGCAGAATTCTAGAATGAAAAGAAATTAAACAAGAAAAATCTCAGACTGGGATAGAAGGAAGAAAAACAAGGAGAAAGATATAAAAAAGCACAAAATAAAGGTGCAAACAGTACCATACGAGAAAAGGGTCACATAAAGAATTAAGATAAAATGAAAATCCCTATATTTATTGGGCAAGGAGAAAAAAAGAATGCAAAGCGACATCTAGACAGAAGTAGGATAAAAATCTAATGACCCGCGTGATGATGTCCCAGACTCGTACTTAGTTAGGAAAGTAACATCTCGTCCATTGGACTACCTATTCAGACTACTTTATGTAAAGAAATAGCGACTCTTGAGGGCTCGAGACAGAACATGCAGCAATCGGGGGCAAAAGTTAGTTCCTAACAGCTGACATTAAACAAAACAGGTTATTTCCTCCAAGCAATTTGTTAGATTATGCATGCCATATTCCGATCAAAATAAGATAATTGAAAAAACGTAAAAAGGAACTGTTCATTTACAGTAATATCGAAACTTAGGAATCTACAGTGACTACTGAGGAATTTAAAAAGTACTGTAAACCTGGTCACGCCTAGTGCAATAAAAAAATCGCGATTCAATTGGAAATAAATGATAGTAATATTCTAAAAAAAAAATGCTAGTAATATGATTGAATTTACGTTGAACCTTTAAAAGAGAAACGACTATCCATGAACGCGTACCATGAATGGTTTGGACTCAACTCTTTTTCTTCCAGTATAGCATCAAGCAGTAACACTTACCATTAAACCGAGCCATCTTTCTCTGTAGACTCCAAGACTCCAGCAGTAAAACAAATGCTTTACCACTTACCAGTCAGCATAGAAACCTCGTTGCAGTTTCTACTTGGAATGTCTATACCCTGATAATTTTGCATTCTTTATGAAAAGAGCATCCATCAAGCGATGAGGACAAATTAGCCATTGTGGCTTATCAAAAGCCAAAAGAAGAATGGCCAGCTATTGAACACAAGTTCTTTTTATTTTTTGGTCGGACATTGAACACAAGTTTGAAAGGGTAAACAGTGGTCACCATGTTGAGATTAGCAGGGATGAAGAAAACCCCCTCATGAAGTATTAACTCTCGAACAAATTAGCCCTCCTACATGGCGTAACATATTACAAGGCTTCAATTAGATGTCCACTCATCCTATACGTCTAGAATATGACCTTTGTAAGCTATAAGCAACTGGTCTGTATCATCTATAAACCGTGATATGAATCTCTCTACGAATGCTTCCTCGTTTAATTCCAGCATTGTGGTGAAACTCGGATCCTTCTTCATTAGCCCCCTTAACTTAACGACCTGCAAAACTCTGCATCGAGGGACCACGCGATCCTCCATGCTGTGCATCAGACAAGAGGGTCTACCGACTATCAAAGTCCTTTTGCACTTCATGACGTTGAGCAAAAAATCAATTCCAAACTTTAGTTTCTCCTCAGAGACCCTGAGCAGAGCTGGTGCCCTTCTTAACATTACAACGACATCCTCCTCTGAAAACCCAAAGTCTGCAAACAGTTTCACCTTTTTCCCTAAGGTCTTGACACTGATGCAACTGACTGAATAGAGCGCATAAACTAGCATCCCAGAATTTAGTGAAAATCCCATCTTGAGAACACGCGAAACAAGATCGTTAAGTCTCGACTCTTTCGCAACAAAGAGACTTGGCTGCCTCTTCAATAACATTCTTTGCTGATACCCAGTAACCCCACAACTCTCCAAGTAGGCAATGTTACGTATGAGAACTGATTCAGGGTCCTTAGAGACTATCCACTTGCACCTTCGCAGAACCACAATCAAATCTCTATTATCCTTATCATCGAATAATATTCTTTTCAGAATCTGGACATTGGGAACCAATCTCTTGTTCAAACTCACTGACAAAACTGACGCGCCCTTGGAAATGTAGTTCCCTAAATCAACGCCCACAAGACCCAGCCCTTGGAAAAAATCGAGCTTCGGTTCGAGGGTTTTCCCAATATCAGCAAACAAAATCTGTGGACAGACAATAATGGAAGACCGAATCTGAGAATCGGAAAACCCGAGTTCCGAAAAGTACTTTATCACAGCTCGAGGATTCTCCAGGGAGTTGGAAGTGGCCCAAGGGCACCGGTTCGAGACAACAAGCGCTCGGGACCGGGACAAATTCATGCTTCTCATCAGGAAGCTACTGAGACCATCCCTTACATCTGGACTTTCAGCGGAGAAACAACGTGTGCAGGCCTTCGTTGGGTTCAACGAAAGGCGGCGAAAGACAGAGAAAAGGCACAGAGAATTGAACGTGCGCATATGGGATCAAAGAGCAGGGTGAGCGAAACTAAGGTAAAGACATGAACCGAAATCCCAACTTTTTCAACCAGATCCACATACAAACCACCAAGACACCACAAATTCTCTCTTAACCTTCTCCAAGATACAGACCAAAAAAAAAACCTTCTCCAAGATCGTCTTCAGATGGAACAAACTGCATTCAGAAGAGAACAAGCTGGAAAAGTTTGGACAAGTTCACCTGAAAACGAAGTGAAGAAGCCCCATTTTTGTCGCCAATGAACAGATTTTCCGGATGGAATGAAACCCAGAAGATGCGATGAATCGTGGGTCGTGCAGCATCCAAAGCGGCGGCGACGATGCCGAGCGATTCATTGCTCGCTAGAGTACCCCCGGCGGAGGTCAGAGTACAGTGAAAAACCCTCTGTAAACCCAAGTGATATCGTGCTCTCTCGCTCTCGTGTTACAACTTACAAGTAACTCCGAATTTGTAAAAAAGTGTAATTAGTCCTATAATTTTTTAAAAATACAATTTAGTCCTAAAATTTTTAAAAATTACAATTAAGTCATAAAACTTATCATAAAAACGCAATTAAGTCTTAAAACTTTCAAAAGTTCAATCAAATCCGAAAACTTATTAAAAAAAACTATTTGGGAACTAAAAAAACGACAAATATCCATTGAATATAGGATTCTCTTTTATTTGTAAAATAAATATAATATTATAAATTTCTTTAGGATCTCATATCATGGCTAACGGGAGTAAAGAAAAGTTACTTGGTTTTTCATTATTCAAGTCATAATACAAAGGAAAAACAAAAGACGGGAAATTACACAAAGCTCTCCCGAATTTAGGATACATATTTACTCATAAACTTTCAAGTGCTAAATTTTACCCACCCGAGCTTTCATTTTGTTACATCCGTCAACCCTCCGATATATTTTGGTTAGCATATACACTACATGTGATTTTGAAGGGGAAAACGTGTAATTTCATATGTTTTTTATATATAAAAATATCTCTCTCATCCTTAATTTATGTAGAAAAATGAAAATATAAAGAAAATAATATACAAAAAATAAATTTCAATAATATTAAAAAAATTATCACTAGTAATGGATGAAAATAGTAATTGAAGTAATAAGAAGTAATAAAATATTTTAAGAAAAATTTTAACACAACTAAGCGAAAAGGAAATAGGCCTCAATATAGAAAGGTTGGAAACTCATTATGTATTTTATAATGGTTAATTAGTGCAAAAGGTTATTGATCATTAAAAATATTTTTAAAAAGCATATTAGATATCGGATAGTCATTTCATTTATGAGTTGAGAACATCATTTCCTTTTATAATTTCATTAAAAAAATTTATTCATCAAAAAACCTTTAAATACAAATTATAAGTAACCAATATTTGTCGTTTGACATATTTTTTTATGGAGGCATTTTCTCTCTCTTTTTATTTATTTCGTGTTTATTTTTTTCGAAAATATCTTACTTAGTTCTAATGAAGTGGCTACATGGATGAAATTTTCATAAATTTTTATTATTTGTGTTATCATTGATATCTATTTTCTCCTTTAATAGTAATTTTAGTTAATTTAATCTTCTCCCATTGTCTATCTTTTTCTTTTTTCTTTTTTTACATCAATTAAAGATAAAATAGATGTTTCCTTCAAAAAATGAAATGATAATATACTCTCTCCTTTAAAAGGATTGTGGGTTGCACATGCTAACTAAGAAATAAATGAACGTTAGCGACTCTAATAAAATGAAAGTTTTAAGTATTCAGTAACAGTTGAAGATTTTGAAGGCAAATATGTGCTACCTCCGAAGTTGAGCGGGGTTTTGTGTAATTCTTTACAAAAAAAAAAAAAAAGGAACAAATTTTCATGGATCGCTGGGATGACAAGTCCCACCTCATGAATTTTTTTTTGGGATTGTGTTGGTTTAGCCTTATTCCCTATCAATCCGGGGAGAAAAATTCGCCCGCAAGACCCACACATTGTTGATGTGAAGGTTCATAGTTCGTTATTGCCGATCCAATTGTAATTATAATCGGAATTTTGTCAACGAGTATTTAATCAATCGACGAAAGATATTTTGTTGTTTTTGATACACTAGGTCTTCATATCACACAAGAAGAAAAAAAATAATGTTTTTAAAATTGAGTTATTTTAAAGGATTCTTTTGTTTCACGGAAAAATAAATGATTTGAAAAATATTTTCCTAAAAACAATCGTTGGTATCGCTTGAAATAATGAGTCAATAAATAATATTTTATTATCGACAATAATTTATATCTAGACATTTTCATGGACGATGAAAATACTTTTTATTAATTCGTTTTTGCAAGTCATACAAGCGAATGTTAAGATTAGGCATACAAACAATGCAAAGTAGAGAGTAAAGACGAAAAAGAGAAATCGAGACACAAGATTTCATCATAACTCATCCTTTACATCTAGCAAGTGATTTTACTATAATTAGCATTTCCCATCTCTTTGCTATGTATAAGCAGCGGTTATTCATTGGCATAAACCCAAACTACTTATAAAATACATAGCCCAAATTATAAAAGCCCTCTGGCGACTCGGGGTGTTGCCCCATGACCTTTGCTGGGGAGGCCCCCAAATCCCCACCCATTCACTAGTGAGCGGGATCCCTATGCCTTACTATCGATAGAGAGTATGAATCACACCCTAATAATTTTTTGAAAAAATATTTTCTAAATCTTTTATTTTTTGCGAAACAACGAAGTTTATCAAAAAAATTCGAAAATTGTAGGGTGACTTAGGCTCCATTTGGTAACATTTCTATTTTTTTTATTTTTCTATTGTTTTATTCCCCAGAATATAAAAGGAATTAAAATCCGTTTGGTAACTTCAATTAATTTTTCCATTTCTTTAAAAAGAAAAGTAGCTAGGAAATAGATACGAAACAGAAATAAGAAGTAAAAAAAATCAACTTTTATATTTTCAGGAACAAAAAGAAAAACAAGGCAAACATGAACGAAAAAATCTCCACCATCCACGCCACCTACACCACCACCCATGCCTACTCCCACTACCTCCACCCCCACCTCCAACGCCTCCTATACCTCCTCCAACACCACCACCACCCACGCCTTCTCCACCATCGCCACCACCATCATCACCGCCCAAGTCACAACCTCCTCCGACACCTCCACCACCAATGCTGTGACATCCAGAATTTTCATAATAATGTTTTGTGACATTAGGAATTTTCGTGTCCGATAATAATGCTTAGATTGTAAAACTAAGTATTATTTAGCTTATAATTCAGGTGAACACGTAGAAATCTTAGATGGTTCGTAAATCTTGTGAGATGCAAAGGATGATTTTCCGCGAACGTAATCGTTCCGAATTCAATATGTGGGAATTAAATTGGTAGATATTAACGAATGCTTTGGCGATATGGAATTTTGATAAATTAAATTAAAATTATCTTAGTTATTGAAGGTGTCAAACGTTCTTCAAATTATTCGTTTAATGATTTTTGAGTTTTAAATTTACTAAATTGAGATTTTCCTATTGTCCGGTTTTGTTGCAAATAATTTTGATGGATTCAAAATATTTTGGACTTATTCGTATTTAGAGTGGACATTGGATTTCTTGTTCTATGTGTTAAATCCTCTCTTTATTTTTCTATTAATCATCTCAACTCATATGCCCTTAATTCGAGACAAGAAATTTAATCACTAATGATGTTAAGGGTATATTATCTATATTCACTTTAGTAAATATTGGTGAAGATTTACTCACTAATGTTGCCAAAGGAGAATAAGTTCTCCCCCCAAGTGATATTTTTAATTAATCTCATAAGCTACTTGTTTTACTTAGGAACTGGGACATTCCAAGTGTCAAAACTTATATACGGCGCTCATTTTAGTGCCAAAAGTTTTCGCCGGATCACTTAAGTGCCAAACTTTTTGAAAAACGATCACTTAGGTGCGCGTGACAACGATTCGTGCCCAGGAGCGGTTCTGCGCCCGGGAGCAGTCTGCTTTCGAAATGATTCTTTTTGATTAATGCCGGAATTGATTAGCATTTTAAGGCGTTTGTTAACGGCCCAAAATTCCATCCCTGGAATAGAAAAAGAACAAATGCGTTTGGTAACGCCAAAAAATTTCTTTTTATTAATAATATTTTTAAATATTTTAATATTTCTTTCTTTTTTTCTTTTCTTTTTTCTTTTCCTCCTTCTTGGCCATAGCTTGCTCGCCGGCCATATAGTAAAATATTTTTTTATTAATAATATTTTTATTAAAAATATTTTTCTTTTTTGGCCATGACCGGTAAAATATTTTTTTATTAATAATATTTATATTAAAAATATATTTTTTTATTTTTTTGGCCATGGCACGGTTCTGCCGGCCATGGCCGTAAAATTTTTTTTATTAATAATATTTTTATTAAAATATTTTTATTAAAAATATATATTTTTCTTTTTTTGCCATGGCAGTCAGCCATGGCGAGTAAATATTTTTTTATTAATAATATTTTTATTAAAAATATATTTTTTCTTTTTATGGCCACTGCAGTCGGCCATGGCTTAATAATATTTTTTATTAATAATATTTTATTCTCGTCAAATCCGGAGGCGGTCCTCGGGCCGGACATTAGAAGCTAAATTAAAAACCAAGAAAAGGAAGAAGAAAAAAAAATTGATTCTCAAAATTGTTCCCGAATCAAAAGCTACTTTTTGATTCTGCTCAAAACGATTAGGAACAATTTTTGACAAAATTGTGCCGAATCAAAAAATTAAACAAACGCATTTCCCAAGGCGATTGGAAACAAAAAACGAGAATCAAACACTTGTTTGGCAAGTTGTCATGCGCGGCCTTAAGTGCTAAATCGTCGGTTGGCAGAATCCGACGTGGCATTTTTATTAATTTCTGAAGCCGATGTGGCTGGCTGGACGATGAGTCAGCATTTTTTATTTTAAATAATTTTTTTTCCTTTTCTTTCTTTTTTCCTTTCTTTTCTTTTCTCCCCTTGCTAGCTGATTGCCGAGCTGGCCACTGGCGAAGCCCGGGAAGGGCCGGGCGAGGGCGACGAGGGGTGGCCTGGCCTGTTGCCGGCGAGGGTCACCTTGTCAGTTGTCGGCGAAGGCCGACCTCGCCCAGATCTGACGAGGACTGGCCTTTCCCATGGCCGACGAGGGGCGGCCTCGCCTATTGCCGGTGAGGGATGGCCTCGCCAGATCTGGCGAGGCCATCCCTCACCGGCAATAGGCGAGGCCGCCCCTCGTCGGCCATGGGCGAGGGTGGCCTTGCCTGTCGCAGGCGAGGGTCGCCTTGCCTAGATCTGGCAAGGCCATCCCTCGCCGGCAAGGGCAGCCTCGCCCAAATTAGGCGAGGGCGACCCTTGCCCAGCCCTTCCCGAGCTTCGTCAGTGGCCGAGCTGGCCACCGACAACCGGCCGGTGAGGGGAGAAAAGGAAAAAAATATTTAAAATAAAAAATGCTGACTGTACATGTTGACTCATCCTCCGACGAGCCACATCGGCTTAAAAAATTAATAAAAAATACCACGTCGGATTTCCGGTCAAACTGACCGGAGTTAGCACTTAAGTATCGTTTTTCAAAAAGTTTTGCACTTAAGTGATTCGGCGGAAACTTTTAGCACTAAAGTGAGCGCCGTACGCAAGTTTTGACACTTGGAGTGTCCCAGTTCCGTTTTACTTAGATAGCACGAGAGCCACTTGTTTTACCTTTGCATGTCAAGACTCTTTTAGTCTTGACACTTAATGCTCACATGGCCTTCTAAGGATACATGCAAAGTCATGTCTCTCCCAAAGTGAGACTCTTGCTAACTTGATACCTAAAAACGAAGTGTCATCACCACAAGGAATTAGTCATCAAATTCTTCACCCATTTGATCATCCACTACGTGAGACCTGGCCACATGTTCTCTTCTAATCTTGCATGAATGGATTAGTTGTCTTCTTAAGGTGAAGACACTTACACATATAGGCTGGGCATCATTTCATCTACTATTAGCTAATCCATTCTTATGTTCTATTTGTACAACACATGGTAATGAAAAGATGAGAGTTTTGTGAGCTTATCACACGTAGCCTTCCTTCTACGTGCAAGTTTACACTTGTTTTCTTTCACTTCAGAGTTAGCACATTAATTCTAAGGAGAGGAAGCATAACCCTTACCGTAGTATAACCCTTTTTATCAAAAAGACTTCAAGTGGAAATGCTTCACTACTTTTGAAATTCTAAGTATGAAAGGAATAATTTCATCTTTCAAGAGAAAACTCAAGGTGATTGGAGCTTTGAATTATTCAAGTTCCGTTTGAGGTAAGTGAAGACTCTAGAGTTAAGTTAATTTAATCTACTTGACACTTTTAAATCTGGATGGTTGTATACTATTTTGATGTGATATAATATTGTGGATTTGGTGGTTGTTAGATTTGTTTTGCTGGATTTGCACGTGTTCAAAATGTGTGCGAATTGTTTTCTTAAAGTGTGGTATTATTAACAAGTGAAATTGTTAAATCTAAACTTGGAAATGTCATCTCGAGGTGATTGTTGAATTCATCTTGCCAGTCTTATGTATGTTTAAAGGGTAGTTAATCATTTTACTTAGGCTCCGTTCGTTTGGCGGAAAATATTCTTCCGGAAAATATTTTCCGGGTTTTCCGGTGTTCGGGGCGGAAAACGTTTCCGTGGGAAAATATTTTCCTTCCCCTCACAAAATAGCCTAAGTCTACGGAAAATGACTTCCGCTTCTTCAAAAGCGGAAATCATTTTCCGAGCTTCTTCTTCTTCTTCTTCACTAAGGTCGCAGTGCGCGCCGCACTGGCCGCCAGCCGCCGCTCCTTCCCGGACGCCGCGTCGGTCGCCGGCCGCGCCGCCGATCGCAGCTGCCGCGCGCAGCCCGCGCGCCGCCGGACGCCGGACGTTGGCCGTCGGTCGCCGGCCGCCACCGCCCGGACGTTAGCCATCGTGCCGCCGCAGCCCGCCGAACGCCGGACGTTGCCCGTCGGTCGCCGGCCGCCGGCCGCCGGCGCGCGCTGATTCTTGGCGAAAAATATTTTCCGAAACTTTTTCATATTGGTCGACGAACACTGGAAAATTATGTTCGGAAAACATTTTCTATGAAAATGACTTCCGGAAAATATTTTCCAAAGGAGAATATTTTCCGCCAAAGGAACGGAAAGTGGAGTATATTTGGTAAGTGGAAATGATGAATCTGAATCTCGACATATTGATTTTTGAATTCGAGTAGACTTTACTCTTTAAATCTAGATATATATATATATTTCTGAACCAAGTAGATATATTGATTTCTGAACTTGAGTAGACTTTACTCTTTAAATTTGGATATATGTATTTCTGAACCGAGTAGATTTTACCCTCAAAATCTGGATATGTATATTTTCTGAACCAAGTAGACTTTACTCTTTAAATTTGGATATATGTATTTCTGAACCTGAGTAAATTTTACTTTCAAATTTTGGATTTATGTATTTTTGAACTCGAGTAAACTTTACTCTGTAAATTTGGATATATGTATAGATTTTACCCTCAAAATCTGGATGGGTATTTTCTGAACCTAGTAGATTTTACTCTTTAAATCTGGACATATTTATTTCTGAACTCGATTAGACTTTACTTTTCAAAATCTGAATATGAGATTTTACTCTTAAAATTTGGATATATGTATTTTCGAACCGAGTAGATTTTACTCTCAAAATCTGAATATATGTATTTTTGAACCCAAGTAAATTTTACTTTCTAAATCTTGATATAACTATTTCTAAATCTAAATCTGGTTATATCTATTTTTGAACCCGAGTAAATTTTACTTTTGAACCAAAATATATTTACTTCATAAACTTGAGTATATTTACTTTCTAAATTTGAATAGATTTATCTTATGAATCGAGTAGATTTACTTTCTGAACTTGAGTAGATTTTTTCCTTTTAAGTCTGATCACATAACACATATTGCTTCTTACTTAATTGTTTGAATAATGCATTTATTGCTTTAGGGGATATATGATGTAAAAAGAATGTGAGTATATGCATGCAAATACTTATTTATCATCACTTGCATGAGAATAATATATTTTCCGTCACCTACAAAAAAATCAATGATGACAATGTCCCGTGTGTCGGGATGCCCCAGAGGTTGGGATATCTCAGAGGGTGTAATGAGATGTCTCGAGAGTCGAGATGTCCCATAGGTTGGGATGCCCCGGAGGGTGTACCGGGATGCCTTAGAGTTAAGATGCCCTGTCGGTTGGGATGCCTCGGGAGTGTTTGAGAGGTAAAGTAACGAACCTAATGTATGTGTATGAGTGTTATATATCATATGCTTGCATCTGAACTAAAATATTGTGGAATGGTAAAGTGATTTGATTAGTGTGGCATATCTAAATAGGAAATGTATAACATTTATTCAAGTTCTATGCATACTTATTGATTGTTATGCATTGACGTTGTTTGTGCCAGGTGAAATGGTAAGATGATTTTCTTAACTTAAAGCTAGAGATTTCATTTATTAAGCCTCGACTCATTTCTTTATTTTTCAGTTTGTAAGATGGTTCCCCTGAATATAACAATGAAGGAGATATGATTATGTCTGAGGCCATCAACCCCTGAATTGGATAATGGTTAGCTTTTGGATTATTATGGGAGTAGTGGCGCTAGTTGACCAACCTTATTCCCATAACTTTTGTATTTTATATATTTGCTCGATTGATGTGTCAAAATTGTAAAACTATCATTTCATATAAATAAGGTTAACATCCATGCTCAACTCGTGTAATTTTCTTGTACGGGATTTTTTTAAGGAAAAATTTTATTGAGCTTCCGTATGCTATTACTGAATGAATGATATAATTAGAAAGGTCACGTATCTGGGGCTTCACACATGCCTCCTTCACAGCCACCTCCTCCAACACCACCACCACCCACACCTTTTCAACCACCTCCAATGCCTCCACCACCCACGCCACCTCCTCCAACACCATTGCCACCCACGCCGCCTCTATTGCCACCTCCTCCAACACCACTACCACCCGCGCCTCCACTCCCACCTCCAATGCCTCCTCCACCCATGCATCTCCACCGCTACCTCCTCCAACACCACCGCCACCTCCACTACTTGAGTCATCACCTCCTCCGACACCTGAATCACCCATGCCTCTCCATCGCCACCCACACCTCCTCCACCACCTCCACCCCTACCTCCAACACCTCCTCCAGCAAGATCTCCTCCACCATCGTCCCAGGCACTGCCCCAATCGCCACCTCCTCCTACACCTCCACCACCCACGCTTCCATTGACATTTTTACAATTAAATGAAAAAAGATTAGGAATCGAAATTTTCAAGGTCAAGTACCAAACGCATTTATGTCATTTTTCTAATTTTGTGCAATTATCAAGCACGTTTTTCTACTAAAAAATCAGTTTAGGAATATCAATAAAAAAACTATTTATGAACATAAATTATTTCGAGAAACATAAACGTTACCCAACGTATCCTTAATTTGCAATTTTGCGATTTCTTTTTTCCCCCGATAATAATGATATCCAGCCGTTGACCCGACGCCCACTCTCTCAAATTCAAAAATGATGACTTTTTCGTTTTTTTTTTTATTGGTTGGGGGCCAAATCATTTCAATCTCCAGACAGACGCCAAAACCTCGCGCCTCTCCCTCTCCATTGAACCGCGTTGTTTTCACGCCCCCACACAAGCAGCAACAACACCACCCCCCCTGTGCTATCTCCCAAATCCCAAATCCCAAATTCCCACCCCAAAAAGAAACCCTAAATTCTCTCCCTCCCTCCCTCTCTCAATCTCTCTCTAGCGGTCCGCTGTTGAATCCCCAATCCCTCAAACCATGAGGAAGCGAGCGAAGCGAACCGCCAGCCAGCGCGGCGACGCCCCGTCCTCTTCTCAGGAGCAGCCGCCGCAGCCGCAGCAGCAGCAGCAATCCACCAAGACGACGACTTCCCGGGCCAACAAGCGCGTCAAGGCCGCGAAGCCCGAGTCCGACCCCGAGTACTTCGAGGACAAGCGCAACTTGGTGAATCCCCGCTCCCCTGTTTTTCTTCTCTCTCTCGGGTCGCTTGTCTTGCGTGTTTCGCAAGCGGGGAGAGTTTTGTTCGGATTCGATTCGTTTCGGCGGAGGTTTCGGCCCGCCGAGCGTTTCTTAGGGTTCGGGAATGGGGCCGAGCGTATTTGCGTGCTGTAAGCTTAGTAGCAGGTGGAGGATTCGGAATATGTGTGCACTTTGTGATGATAGGCGAGTATCTGGTTTGGAGCTCGTTATTGGAACGTGGGTTTCGGATTGTGGTGTTTTGAAAATCAGTGTAGGTTTTGGGGGACTGTTGAGCGGCTGATGCTTGAATTCGGCTGAATGTAACTGTTTTTGTGTCCTCCTCGAATTTTTGTCAGTGTTTAACTATGCGCTTTTGTTTCCGTTCGTCGCCATATGATTTTGATTGTTGGGCAGATGTAGTTCTGGAATTTTGCTTCTCTCACTGCTTAGTTAACTTGAGTGTTGTTGGGATGGGTGAAGAAAATTGGATTCTTGGGTGTAGCTTCCGTCCCTGCTCCGTCAAGTTGGTCTTCTTTTGAATGGATGAAACATCATGAAAGAACATTATCTGGGACTGATTGCCATGCATGGGTAGCTTGTGGAAGTTTATTCCTTTTAATAAGAGAAAGGTGGTAGATTTATACACAACAGAAGCCTGCTGGTTCCTATTGTCGTGCCGAGTTTCTTGTGTTGCTCCTCCAGATTTTGGGGTTTTGAGTATTTGTGGCCGTGTTTTGTTTGGTGAGCTGAGTATATGTGGTTTTGGATATGTATGCGCTTATGACAGTACGCAAGTGTTTGATTTATATTTTGTAATGGGATCGCGGGTTTCGGATTTTAATGTTTGAAAACAGTAAGGTCATGGAGACTATTTAGCATCTGACACTTGAAGTTGGCGAATTCTTCTGCTTTCCCCAAATGTAAATATTGTTTCCCTTATAACTAAATGTCATTTTAGATGGGCGAAAAATTGGAGTTATTGAATGTGGCATCTATCCTTGCCTACTCAACTAGATGTTATTTTAAACGGGTGAAATGTCGACAAAGAACATGATGTCCACAAATGGACTACTTTGAGCAAGTGTTTTCCTTTCATATTCATGCAAAGTTTCTTGTGGTCCCACCGAAAGTGTCTTGTCATGCATTGGTCCAAGGGCCTCTTTGATAAGCCAATTAGGTGCCGAAAATTAAAAGGTTCAACACTTAACTTGTACGACAATCATAACTAACATTGGCCTATACGATTTGATTATGTCTAAAAAAACGCACTTGATGGGGTAAGTAACAATGGTGTTACTTAATTCATCAAGTGGAAAAGAAAAAAGTTACGGATGGTAATTAGAATGCTGCCAATTACATTGTTAAAACCTACCAATGGTAATCACCATTTCGTGTATGCTAAGGAATTATAATATTTCGTGATCAATTTTTCATTGTTGTCAAACAACTATTTATTTTTGTTTTCAGCACTTAAAATTGTTAATACTTAGAATTCTGTACTTATATTGCAGCCCTTATTCTTAAATTTTGTCAAACAAGCCGTAAGTTGAAGTTTCTAAATTTGCTTTGCAGGAAGATTTGTGGAAAGCTGTCTTTCCTGTGGGCACAGAGGTTTGCAATGGAATGTTTTTACTCTTTGGTTTATTTGCGCGGCATTTCCTTGTCGCTGACATGCACTGATATTGTTATGGCAGTGGGATCAATTGGACACAGTCTACCAAATAAACTGGGATTTCTCTAATCTTGAAGTGAGTTTTTGATCAGCCTTTTTTAGTCTTCATTCAGTGTTATGTTCAAAACTTGGATCGGAAAAGAGACTGAAAGTCTAATTTGTTGTCATTGCTTATATTATAAACATTTATGCTAATTGTGACTTCTGCAGAATGCTTTTGAGGAGGGTGGGAAGCTGTATGGCAAGAAAGTTTATCTCTTTGGATGTACAGAACGTATGTGGTTCTTGGACTCCCTTACTGATAACTGCATGGAGACTTTGAAAAGGGAAACAGATGTTTTCCAACCTCAATTATAATTGTAGCCTGTTTTGCATCTGGAGTGTCCTCAGTTCACTGCTATGTTTCTCACTGTGTCCTGACGAACGAATTTTTGTTACTGCAGCTCAGTTGGTCTTTTTTAAGGGCCAGTCCAAGATTATGTATATCCCTGCCGTTGTGGCTGTAAGTTTTGTACTCGAACACTATGTCATGTATATTGAACAACACAAGTTAAATAATGGCCAAATATATAAATTTTCTTTGATTGTGTGAGGTGTTTAATTTTCTGATATATAACTATTCCTATTGAAATTTATTAGAAGCACACATCTGACAGATTTAGTTCTTTCAAACTCTGAAATTTAGGTTGCCTGACAAAACTTTCTCACCTTTAAATTATTGGAAGAATCAACTTGTATTGACCACTTTTTTAAGGTAGTGACATGTCCCTTGCTTGCAGGTTGTATCCCCTTTTCCGCCATCTGATAAGATTGGAATTAAGTCGGTTCAAAGGGAGTCTGAAGAAATAATTCCAATGAAGCAGATGAAAATGGATTGGGTCCCATATATTCCTTTGGAGAATAGGTATTCTAATTGACTTCAGTCTGTCCTTTTATTCTTGGATTCTAATATGTCATATTTTGCATTGCAGAGACAGCCAAGTTGATAGGTTGAAATCTCAAATATTTATTTTGAGCTGCACACAGCGAAGGTACCTAAACACGCCCGCCGCCCCCCCCCCCACCCCCAAGCCCTTCCTCTCTTTTGTGCACATAGATACTCCCATCTACAATCTCATGGAGCAATCAAACAAAAGGGAAGACAAACATGCATCGCAAGTTCATGGTTTTCCTTGATTTAATTATCATATAATATACATTTTATATGTCATTTTGAGTCCTTGGCTCCATCATACAATTGTTCAGGTATCAATATGTATTCTTTTAGTATACCATTATGTTAGATCATGTGGTTCCTGAACATTCACTTTCTTAATTCTATTGTTGTCATTTAAAAATATAACTTTTGATTTGGCTATATCCTTTAATCTTGACGACAAGTTTAGTGCATTGCTATCATAGAATTTCTGTGTGAAGTGGATCATTGATATTTAAATGTCTTGACTAATTGATGTTGAAGGCAATGTTATAGTTTGTCTATTTGGTGATGCTGAGCTTTTCGCCCTGATTATTTACATCTTTTTTTATATGTGCATCCTGTATCTCTAATTGAGTTGTATTGGTAGTTGAGACGTGACATTTTGTCATTGAGGTTCCTCAAGTAATGTGTTTGACTTATAGATTTCTTGAAAACCTTGATTATTTTCCAGTAACATAAAAATATTTTACTTTGCAGGGCTGCGTTAAAGCATTTGAAGATAGACCGGGTCAAAAAATATGAGTACTGCCTACCTTGTGAGTCACGGTTGCATTTAGTATTTTGTCCATTATTTCTTTTGGTCCCTCCTTGTTGGTCTATGGAAGATGATCATTGGTATACTAAGATGGAAGATCTTTTTCTGATATACAATTTTTCTTCATATGGAGCGATGGAACTAGCATCTCTCTTTTCTTTTGGGGTTTATATGGACATGGCAATGTGCTTTGTTGGTTGTGAATGTATACTAGAATTTGGAACAGAAGGGCAGATGGAGTGATTTTGCTTTTTTTTTTCTGTAAGGAGGAAAAACTGAACCCTTCAAATCTAAGTTTACTGAACCAGCTAGGATACAATTATGGAAATCCTCGGCAAGATTCATATAATGGGAATGATATGATATTGAGGCAGTATAATTGTTATAACTTGAATAAGTGTTAACTTGCTACAGCTATGTATTTAATTGATAGAACACAGAGGTAGAAAAAAGAAAAGGGAAGATGAAATTGTTTAGTTGTTGCTGACCGGTGATTGGTCAGTGACATGTGCCTGAGAGAGAGGCTGCAAATGTGAAAATTGCGGACCTGTGGGGACGACCCCTCTCGGTCAATAATAGACCGGGAATGGTTTTTAGGTCCTTGTGACTGACTTGGTTCTCAGATCCTGGTCGCCCAGTGAGAGGGGGAGGAGTTGCAACTGTGCATTGTTGATGACTTGCAAGGTCGATGCTGTGGCCGGTGACATATGTTAGCAATCATGGACCAGCAGCTGCAAGTCCCAATGTCTCTCACCCCTCTTTTGTCGAAGGCATTCATTTTTCTATAAAATATTCTTCCTGGATGGAGTATACCTATTTCTTCCATTCTTGGCCAGTCTATTATATTGCTAATGGAGGCTGTATCAGGCTTTATTCCATTTGATGTCCATTAAGAAAATCGGATGGGGCTAACATATTTTATGTACTGAGACGGAGAGCTATATAAATAATTCTATTTGGAGCTATATAATCTATGTAATGCATAACCTCAATGCGTGTGCTTATCAGATGGGCAGATATGTTAACTCTATTGAAGTTGTACAACAGTTCTCTTTCTGCATATGTCAACAAATTTTCTTCATGTATAACTAAGCTTTAGGGTTATTTTTCATGGCAACGTCTCCCTTAAAATAATTATATGTGCACTCCAAGCAGATTTCACAATATATCCTTTATAATTCATTTTCTTCTCTCTTTTAGATTTTTATCAGCCATTCAAGGAGGATGAGTTTGAACAGAGCACTGAGGTTACAATTATGTATCCAGTAGAACCACCACTAAGCAATTCCTGGATAGCAGTAGTCTCTATGTGAAGCTACTAGCTTCCGTTCATTTTAAATAGTAAATCATATCCGTGAAGTAAGTGATGTAGTTACTGTTAATGGATAAGTTTTCTGTAGCAGATCCTTGAACACTTTTTTCTTTTCTTTAGCTTTATGATTTGTGATGCTGCATATGTAGGTTAGGATGATTGTGCTGGCTATTCTGCATGGTATAAATATATGTGACTGTTCTCCTGTTCCACCCTGCAGGTTGTTTGTGAATTTGACTGGGAGTTGGATGAACTTGAGGTACTGATGTTAATCCTCCTTTATAGCCTTGACAATGCCGTAGTAGCTGCAATTTGATAGTATAAATAAGGTCGTGTTTTGATCGCTGTGAGATCTATTATTTTGGGTCCTGTGCAACCTTTTATTGATGCTGTGTTCTCTGTTAGTTTCTCAAAATTGCAAATACCACGATTAGAGTTTGTGAAACTAGGGCTATATGATAACGGAAAAGGTACCTTTGTATGGCAAACTTTTGAAACCCTAATGAAAGATGCTGATATTGGAACTTCTCTTGGCCAGGTGCTACTCCAAACCTTCCAAGTTTACTGATTGTTGACATATCAATGCTGTGTAATCAGTTAGATACTTGGCATTTTAGAGCATACACCTTTGGGATTAGGTTTATGGCAGTATATTCATTTAACTATAGTGAATGGAAGGTAAAACGTTTGCTCAGGTTGCAAAACATAAGTTCCTTAGAGAATTTGTCTCTTGACAAATTGAACCTTATGACAGGATCTCCAACTCATTAAGAACAACTAAGAGATGTTATTGCAGTTTCTTGTAAAGCTTCTCTCTTTCTTTGAAGCAACTATCAGGAAAAAAATATTCTTGGCAACTAAATCTATGTGTGCTATACATTTCCTTAGATATTGTAATTTTTGTGATTATCTCCTTCTGGCAGCAAAGCACAAGAGAATCTATACTTGATTTGTTCGAACATTGTTTTCAGGAATTTATTGATAATCTAATTAAAGAGGAGACTCTGACCGAAGATCAAAAGGATGATTTCAAGGTATGATATAGTATCTATGCATGCGCATGACGTGGGCTCGCAACGCTTAGCACCTGCAGATTGTGATTCAGTTCTTTTTCAGGAGCATGTGAAGAAGACTGTTAGAGAGGCAAAGAAAGCTAATAGAGAGGTATCTTATGGAATATGCTAAATTGACGTGTATGCAAGAGGTCCTGTCATATATTAAGAAAGCTTGCTATGTTTATTGTAGGCAAGGGAAGCTCGCAAAAAGGCCCTTGAAGAAATGAGTGAGGAAACTAAGTCTGCATTCCAATCAATGAAGTTCTATAAATTTTATCCTGTGCAAACACCAGATACCCCAGATATATCCAATTCTAAGGTACAACTCCTCCTTCACATTTTATATTTAGCATTGGTGAAGCTTGATGACCAGCCACTAGTGTAACATTTGCAGCTTGCAGCTATTCTTTCAAATGAAATTCTGTTTTATGATGATCATGCCCCAGATCTTTAAGTTTATAGTTATTGAGATCATCCCCAATGATTCAGTATGTGAAAAGGGAAATGGGCTCTTTACTTCAATTTAAGGAGTGGGCTTTATAGTTTCACTATAAAACTCTAATTGAAGTGTTAAACTTTTGTGATCTAGTCCTATAGTAAGCTTTGACATCAAATATTTGCTTGTGGAACGCTTCAAAACCTTCTTACTACCCACTTTCCAATGAATTTAGTAAGAGTAGAGTTCCTTAGAAAGTTGGAAACTTGGGATACTGCATCAAGTATCGGGTTCTGCAAGCCCTGATATAGATGGCTTAGTTTGTGAATTCACCAGTATGTGCCTATATGATCATATCAGTGCATCATTCTTTGCTCTGGGAAGATTTCACGCTATTCAAGTTAAAAAATCTGCCACCGCATAACCGAGAAAAAATGTTCCTTGGGTCCCAGCATAGATTTTATTTCGGTATTGTTATAAGATTGGGACTGAAGGGAATTATCCAGATTCTCACTGTCTTATTTGATTTGGTGGTAAATGCGTAAATAGCAATCTCAGCATCGTCTAGTACCTTTTGATTTGAATTAGCTTTAGATTTTTAAGGGGTATTATGCTTGAAGCCATGTGCTATTCGTGCAGTTTGAGTTCACGGCGGAGATTGAGGGTTCCTTATTTTTGTGATTCTCGCAGGTTCCTTTCATAAACAGATACTATGGAAAAGCGCATGAAGTTCTCTGATGCTATCTATCTGCAAAAGCGGTGATCTGGCCTGGAGACGTTCTGCGTTCCAATTTGCTGCTTAAGCAGTAAAATAGCGAGCTGCTTAAGCAGTAAAATAGGGAGTTGCTCGATAATTCTCGTGCACCAGTTGAGGTGGCAGCGCATTGTGCACTAATCTTTTTGATCAGTAGAGTAGTTGGTCTGATGTCTGATGGTGGAAAGAGACTGTATTTCTTAGTTGCCATTAGATCCTCATTTCTTCACATTGTTTTTGTTTTTTTGGCAGAAATCTTTAGTTTCTTTTAGTTCCCAGAGGAGTAGCTTGTACCATGTATCTCCGAGGCCTATGTACTTCTGAAGAACAGGGAGCTTTAGGAAATTCAAATCTTCATTTTGCTTTTCTTCCTCTCCTCTAAGATCCGTCTTGGATCTTTTATTGGCAATAAAACATTCATGTTCAATACTGCAACCTTTGAAAACATGGACATTATTTCATTGTACCAAGAGAAATCGTTAGGAACTTTATCTGAGCAATTTCATCTGTGCTTTATTTACATGCCGACCTGTGGTAACGTCTAATGAATCAGCGAATTGGATCTGTATTGCAGAGAAATGTGACATGACACATGCATTTGGGTGTTCTCACAAAGTTTTAAGTTGCTTTTGGAAGTCGGCTGATATTGTTCAACTATTGAGACAAAAAGCTTTCCTTTGTCGAACTCGACAAGTGATGGAAGTGGAAAAGAAGATTTTGTATTACTTAACAAATGATTTTGTGATCATTCCATCTCCATTCTTGTCTCATGTTACATGTTCATCTGCAAAAACATAATTGTCGCTATCTAAGGAACTACAGCTCATTCAATAAAATTGCAAGTGTTAGCCACCACTCATGTAAAAGTTTCTTCATGCCGGCGTGGCGTGGCGTGGCTATTTAGATTCAAGGGAAAATTACCAAAAAAGTCTTAAACCTATTGCAATTGTGCCAATTAAGTCCTAAAATTTTTGCAATTGTGCCAATTCAGTCTATCCGATCACTTTTGGCCTGTCGACGCTGACATGGACACCGGCTGGCGCCGGTCGGTGCTAACATGGACGTTGGCTGATGTGGCAATATTTTAATATATATTTTTATTTTTTTCCTTTCCTTCTTCCCCCTGGTCGGATTGGCCAGGGGGAGGCTCGCTAGCAAGGTCACCTCACCGGCCACTGGGGAGGCTTGCCCTTGCTAGCACTGGCAAGGGCGAGCATCGCTCAGCTCCAGCGAGGGCCAACGAGGGCGGAGCTCGCCATGGTTGGGCGAGCTCGACCTCGCCCAAATCTGGCGAGGTCGAGCTTCGCCATGGCTGTGGGCGAGGTCGAGCTCGGCCCTCGCCTCGCCCGGCGACGGCGAGCCTCCCTAGTGGCCGGCGAGCCGGTCCTAGCCCCTGGCCGATCGGGCCACCGGGGGAAGAAGGAAAGGCAAGAAAAAAAAAAAAGAGAGGAAAAAAATAAAAAAAATTTTCGAGCTCTGCCCTCGCAAGTGCCCACGAGGGCAAGCCTCGCCGTCGCACAGCCATAGCGAGCCTCGACCTCGCCAGATCTGGGCGAGGTTGAGCTCGCCCAGCGGCGGTGAGGGTGGAGCTCGCCATGGCTGGGTGAGCTCCGCCCTCACCGTCGTACAGCCATGGCGAGGCTCGACCTCGCTAGATCTGGGCGAGGTCGAGCTCACCCAGCGGCGGCGAGGGCGACTCGTCATGGCTGGGCGAGGCTTGCCCTTGCCAGTGCCGGCAAGGGCGAGCCTCCCCTTGGCCGGAAAGAAAAAAAAAAAGAGAAAGGAAAAAAATACAATAAAAATTTGGAAAAAATAAAAATATATTAAAATATTGCAACGTCAGCGGGCCGGCGACCACGTCAGCGCTGGCCGGCCAAAAATGGCCGGATGGATTGAATTGGCATGATTGCAAAAGATTTAGAACTGAATTGACAAAAAAAAGTTTATGACTGAATTTTGCACAATTGCAATAGGTTTAGGACTTTTTTGGTAATTTTCCCTAGATTAAAATACATAAAATTAATGTAGACTCTGCTCCGCAAGGGGCAATCGAGTAGTTTGATTACGTATGTTCTGGTTGTTTACGCAAGGATCTTTTCAGCCAATGCTTGTGCGTAATTCTGAACAAAACCTCCAATCTCCTCATCTGAAGAGTGCATTTGCTGCGATGTTTAGACTCTAGACTGAAAGCAAGATTATGGGAAGTTCTGGTTACTTCTCAATGTAAATCCACCATCTCTATTTCCAGTTTGCTACGCAGCACACCAGCCGCACTCATGAGATGATTCACGTCACTGAATTCTCATCATTTTTTACTTTATTCACCAAATAGACGATGTGAGAGAAAAGGAAATCGCAAATCAAATCTCTAAAAGAACAAGAAGAGATTGCACTACACACAGTTGAAAGGATTACACTCGTCATTGTAATAATACAGACCAAGACATAAGCTCTCTAAGCTTTTATCCTATGATACAACCCTCAACAGTCCCAGTTTTCCTTTAAGGACTTTCTGTCCCCTCCTAAATAAACTACAACACTGCCCATTACAGAAAGTTCCAAAAAAAACCCCAATGAGCCCTATAATAAATATGATTACCCTACTTGAACTTCTCTACACCCTCCAACTGCTTCTGCTAGCTCCAGTCACTATCGCTATTATGAGACAAACGGTCCACGATGAGCTGCGAGAAATGATCCTTCCATTCGACCGGACTTGCAAACGGAATAAGACCACATAACAAAGGTAGAAAGATTAAAACAGCAGCATAGAATGAAACCCGCCGAATCCAGTATGGAACCATCACCGCATTGCTCCTCATCCCTTGGGACATGGAAACGGGCCCATGGAGAATGACAAACAATCCTCGCGTCCATATATTCGACAAGAAATGCAGGAAGCAAAGCGTCTCCCAGAAGATGAGCCAATGAAATCCGCTGCCTCCCAAAGTGTCGACACAGAGCTTTCCTGCGAATCCACAAGCCACTCCTAACAGCAAAAGCAGGAAAGTGACCGGCATCGTTTGGTTTGAAGTTGCGGAGCGCTGAAGGAGCAAATAAGCGATTATGAGGATCATCAGGACACCGAACAGCATCCGGCTCAGAACTTGGACCTGACATCTGAGCATTTGAATTCCCGAACTAAAAGAAACCACAGGCTCCGGGATCCACCATGACCTGGATTGCTGAGGAGAGAGAAGTGGACATCATCAGGAAGCCTTTAGAGGACACGATAGTCCCTAAAATTCTTAAAATCACCATTCAAAAATTGCAGAATTTTGAGGAATAACCAAAGCAATAGAAGAATGAAACTCCTATGTCCTTCCTGACAGTCATATTAGCTACAGAAAAAGACAAATGACTTTTAGACCTCTAAATATTTTACATTAACCCTCTCAGTTTCAGATGAAGCGCAATGACACATCCTACATATTTCACCAATAACCACGTGAACTCCCTATATTTTATCCACAAATTTCTAACACCTTGTTAGAAACTGTTGGACCAAAAATAAATACAAAACATTCAAAATCGCTACAATTTAATTAAATACAGATTGTTGAACCAAAGAGTGCGACGATTTTGGACTTGGAAATCACTTTTAAGGTTCATTTAGACATACGATACAGTTACTCATCTCAAGCTAAGAAGTGTCCAGCCAAATCACTAACATACAAGGTTACAGTATCCATTGCCTCAATGAACTTCCCCTATGGTCTGAATCATCACTCCAAGATGTGTATGCTATCAATTCAAGCACGAGATACAATCAATAAACAGAAGAAAAAGCTCTTGCCTGGTTTGAAGGTGAGCAGGATTCTGTAGCTTCAGCGACTCGTTGGTAGGAAAAAACATAAGCTCCATATAAGAGGGAAAGTGACATTATAATCAAACCAGCAACAAGACAATCTATGCACTTTTTAAGTAGCTCCAAATGTCTCGCGTCTTCTAATTCATTCTTGAACTTTTCTGCCTTGAAGGACGCCTTTGATATGCCCATAGCCAACTTTGATCTCCCCAGATGATTCGCATCATAAGTGAGAGAGAGCTGCGCTTCTTTTAGCTTCATCTTTTTCACAGCAAGACCAAGTTCAAATTCCTTGAGGTCATTAGATCGAGTCTGTTCCACAACGGATTTCTCGAAGGTGCTTCTTATGGGCTGGCTGATAACAGGTCCAGATCTGCTACGAGAAATACAAGCAAGTTGATTTTCCTCTCTTTGTTGGCTAATCTGGCAATTTATATTATCTCTTAGAATATGTTGTTGTGCCTCCTCTGACATGTTTAGATGATCTGGACCATCAGAATGGCGCAAAACTGGTTCTTCTCTGCACTCTTTCAAAGAGCTCGAACAACTTCCTTTGTCCATAGACCCCCATGGACTCACATTGGATGTTGAAATTGTAACATCTTGCTGGTCCAACTGATACACTTCCTCTTGTGACGAGGATTCACTAATCAACCTAAGAGTCCGTAATGTGCTCCCGAAAGACATCTCAAAGTTGCTAGCAAAACGGGTAAATTTGTTGCCAAATCCCTGTTCCCACATCAATAAAACAGAATGCACGAACTTCAGTAACATGGAATCATGTGGGATTGGCCAGAACTAAACGAGGAAACTCAACTTGTGAGCCAGATCCAACTGACGAGACAGCAGCATAAAGTCTTGCTTACATTGGATAATGATTCTCTGACAGCAGAAGTACAAATCTGCAAATGACACAACTCTTACAGATCAACCAGCTAGTATAATGATCTTTCTAATGTCTACTAAAAGTGTTGGAGTACAAGGCACATATGCGGAGCAAAGAAACAGTGATGCATGTTTCCAGGTGATTTGGTGAATGGAATCAATGAGTATTGCGACTTTTTTCCCAGAATATTTGATGAATCATCCGTATTATTATACTTCAATCAATGTAATTTGCAAAAAAGAGTACATCAAATGCATATCATACTAGACTTGAAACATTTAAAAGACTTGTTCCGGCATTATCGCACCTGATAGCAAAAGCAAGTAACATCTACCCATGGTAAAGTGGGCTTCAACTCAGATTAACGATAATCAACGAATGCATGGCTGTCCATGACAAACAATCAAACGCAAAGCAAAACAAGCAAACCCGTGGACACAAATTACGAGGGAAAGAAGAAGAATACCTGTGAGAGATGATCGACAGACATCTTTTCTCGTGTCGTATATTCCCTTTCCAGAACCTACAGTAATGGTACCATAAAGTAGAAAGGTCAGCAGACCAAGAATTATACCAACAAGGGAACATCATATCCTTAAAACTTTCCGCATATTAATTCAGACGAATATATTAAACCCCTCCAATCATAACGTATGATTGCTCGATCAAGGGTAAGTCTATGTATTCTATCATGCATTTAATTCAGTTGACTAAGGCAAGGCCACATTAAATTTTCTATGTTACGAGAAAAGCATTAAAAAGCTTATATCTTGTGAAAGTTCGCAACTTTAAGGATGATGGAGACATATAATTCTGCATTCTTGCTTATAACTCCATCAAGCAAACTCAACTTGATAATATATACTTGTGTTGAATGCACCAAAAGTGCAAAAGCAATGGACTTTACCAAGTTTGATATTGGAAATGATCTCCAGAAGAGACAGTTTCTCTTAGAAAAGAACTAATGGCAGTTCAGAAGTAAAACAATAAACGATATTTCCCAATGTCTTCCCCAATGAACTACATACACGAAGAATTGCGGGCAGGATATCAGCTGCAACTATTAGACCGTCTTAATATCAACAGAAAATCCAACAATTCATTCTCCAGGACACCGAAAATAACACCATACATCGAAAATCATCACATCAATCAAGACCCCATAGCACAAAATAAGACTAAATTCCACATTCTTTTGTAACTTCGACAAAAAAGATCATAGCTTTATCGAACCTGAGCAACGACAGCAGCAAAAGACATTCCAAGAGGAAGCGCCATTGCCTCCACGTTGTCCCCCGCGGACTGCGCCGCGCCGAGCAGTACCCGAGGGCCCCGGCGTCGGCACAGAACGCGAGCGCCCCTCTCGGCAGGGCGCGGGGGAGGAGGACGAGCTGAAGACGACGCCGACGAAGACGCCGCAGCTGCTACATACGGAGAGACGCCCTTAAGTTTCTTCCTTTTCTTGATCTTGGTCTTCTCACCGACGGGCTTCGAGGACGGCGGGGAGGGAGTTCCGGCAGGCGGGCTCGCGCGGCCGGGGACGGAGGAATCGAGGGCGCCGATGGTGGAGACGGGCGGAGAGAGAGGCGGCGTGGGTTCGGCCGCGGGCGGCGGTGCAGGGACGGCGTCCATCGATGATCATCGAACAAGAAGAAGGAGAAGAGAGAGAGAAGGGAGAGCAATTCGATGGGTGGAATTGGGGCATTTTATGGCCTCTTTTTATTTTTATTTTTAATGGCCTTCCAAATTTCCTTCCTCATTTGATTCGTTCATTACCGTTGAAACTTGCAAGCCTAGGTGGGAATTCAAAGAGTCCTCCGCCGACTAAATTCACTCCAAAATTTAGGAAAAATAACGCAAATAGTTCCTGAAATTTGGCCGAATATGTAACGTGTGGTTCCCGAGTTTTTAATTTGTTCAATGTAATCCCTGAACTTTAACTAAACGTGCAATGTTCTCTCTGAATCTTTAATTTGTTCGATGTGGTCCCTGAACTTTTGGTTATCCCTGAACTTAAATTAATTGAAATACGACATTAGTTATCTTCATATTGTCTATGGACTAGTTTGAACATTTACAAAAAATTCGGGGACCAGATTTTTTTTTTTTGGGTCGTAAACTGATTTAACTTTTATTTAATTTGAAAACGCAGAGCCCATAAATTGGGCTTCCTTACAAAGTAAATCCAACAAGATTTGGGGAGGGGAAGAAATCCAGTCCCTCGGCAGAGTTTTATGGCGCTGAGCTTTTGCGGCCCAGTCCGCTATGGAGTTGGCTTCACGATGGCAATGGGTGATACGTAACTGTGAGAAGCTAGAGGACAGATCAAGGCATTGGGAGATAATTGCACGTGCATCCCATGGAATAAGGTCTGAGTTTTCCATAGCTTTAACCAAAGTCAGATTGTCTGACTCTAACTCAAGGGGATAGTGTCTTCGAGGGACTAAGAACTTTAGGGTTTCCAAGAGAGCTACAAATTCCGCTTGAGAGGCTAAGGAGACATGGATTTGTTTTGTAAAGCCATCCACAAGTGCGGGGACCAGATTGAACAAATTGACAGTTTACGACTGATATTGCACATTAGATTAAAGTTTAGAAATCGTATTGAATAAATTTAAACTTTAAGGATTATATTGTGTATTGGGCTAAAATACAGAGACCATTTGTGTAATTATCTAAAAAATTTACTACAAAAAAATGAATACATTTTTTTTTTAATTCGATTAAGATTTGATACAATGTCGAACTCGAATTCGAGATTGAAATTATGGTTCACAAATCGTGGTGTCGGTCCCGAGATCGGGAACCACGATGTTGGAATATAACGGGAAAACAACAGAATCTTGCAAATTAAGCCAATGCGAAAATGCCAGATAAATAAATAAGAAACGACAAATGACATTAGAGATTTACGTGGTTCGGTCCGAATGTCGGTACCTATATCCACGGAAAAAGCCAGCAACAAATAATCTACTATAATCGAGAGTCAAAGTTACAAATTGCTCAAACGCTCAAGTGTTTCCCACACCTAGGCTCCGTTCGTTTGGCAGAAAATATTCTCCTTTTGGAAAATATTTTCCCGGAAGTCATTTTCTTGGAAAATGTTTTTCCGGAACATAATTTTCCGGTGTTCGACGATCAATATGAAAAATTTTCGGAAAATATTTTTTCGCCGGGCGCGGCGATCAGCCCAGTGCCGGCGGCGACCGGTGGCGGCGGGCGGCGCGGGCGACGGCGGCGGCGGCGGCCGGCGAAGGCGGGCGGCGGCGACCGCAGCGCGGTGGCGGCGGCGGCGGCGGCGCGGGCGGCGGCCGCAGCGGGGGGTGACCGGCGGCCGACCAGCCGCGGCGGCGGCGGCGTCGACAACGGCGGCGGGCGACACGTGGCCGGTGGCGGCGAGGGTGACCGAGGGCCGGCGGCGACGATCGGCGGCGGCCGGGGGCTGGCGGAGGCTGGGGGCCGGCGGCGGCGATGACCGGCGATCAACTTCCTCTCCCACGGAAAACATTTTCCCTCCCATGGGCAATTTTACCTTCACTTTGGGGGAAAATGATTTCCTCTTTGTGAAAAGAGGAAATCATTTTCCTCAAAACAATGAAGGATTTGGGGGTGGGGAAGGAAAATGTTTTCCCACGGAAAACATTTTCCGCCCCCGAACACCGGAAAACGCGAAAAATATTTTTCGGAAAAATATTTTTCCGAAAACGAACACAACCCTAGATTTAAACCCAAACCTAAAGTCTTTACGAATAAACAATTCAATTGGACGAAATAAACTCGCTGCACAAATCACCGCGTGTTCAAACCCAAAGCAAAACACGCGCACGTTCAAGAGCGTCTTTGTACATTTTGCCTCCTTCGTGCGGCTTGAATATGAGTGTCTCTGAACGTCTTGCTTTGTACGGCTTTGGTCTTCGCTAAAGGAATGAAACCCTCAATTTCTTTTCTTTTTAGGGTTAATATCACTAAAAACCCCAAACTGGTACATCTATGATAAATTTACCCCAAACTAATTTTTTGATAATAAGAAACCCCAAACTGGTACACTTATGACAAATTTACCCTACGTTAGTTTCCGTTAATTTTTACCGTTAAATTACTTTGTTAAATAACACGCGACAGTTTACGGATGTACCAATTTTGAGTTTTACTTTCCATTTGTCACAAATGTACCATTTGTGTTTTTTTTATATTAATTTTTAACGGAAACTAATGGAGGGTAAATTTGTCACAAGTATACAAGTTTGAGATTTTTAGTGGTCAAAAAATTAGTTTGGGGTAAATTTATCACAGATGTACTAATTTGAAGTTTTTTATGATCAAAAAATTAATTTGAGATAAATTTATCATAAATATATTAATTTAAAGTTTTTTGCGGTATTAACCCTTCGTCTTATGTGCGGCAAAAACCCTTTGTTTTGCTTCCCTTTTATCTAACTTCCGTGGCCCTCACACGTCTCTTTTGTTCGTCCAAGAAAGGAAGTCCTTCACTGGTGAGGAGTCAACAAATTGACCTGGGCCCACCGAAATAGATATAATAAAATAAAGCGTGCCTCCTGTTTTGTCTTTTAGTGACATTCTTTATTCTCAATTTGTGCTGCCGGGAGCTCCTCATTCGAAATCAATCAAATAGGAAAGTAAATTTGTTACGCTTGAGACATAAATTCAACACACGATATGGGTCTCGAGTTCGCAAATCTCAGTTTGTGCGAAGTGCGATTCATTTTTAAAAATTTTTGTATAATTTTTGACAATATAAGGAGATTTTTTTCTTTCGCATACGTATCGTCTAAACGTTTAGTTCAATCGCTTTATTCGAAGACTTCAATTTTACTTGTGAGATGTAACAAGAGAGAATGCACATTACACGTATGTGATTCATGTAGGGCTGTCAATAAAGCCCGGCCCAACCTAGACCGGACCTGCCCGACTTGGCCCGGCTCGAAAATTTAGGACTTCTTCAGGGTGGGCCTCTTCTGGGTTGGGTAAGAGCTCTAAATTTCATATATTATCCCTGTTTTAGGCCAGGCCGGTCCGGGTCGGGCTTTTTTGACAGCCGGCCCGTGACGTAAAAAAACCCTAGATTGTCTCCCGCTCACCCCCTCTCTAGAAAAGTGGAGCGAAGCGAAGCACAGCGTATGAGAGAAAAACAAGTAAATTACTGGTTAAGATCTTCGAGCTGTTGAGCCCTGGTGTGAGGGTTGATCCCCTTGCGGAACATGTTCGCGTCAATCCTCTATCGCGAGACTCGCAGCCATTTTCTCTCTTTCTCTCTCTCTTTGTGCATTCCAAGCCACCGGTTGAGGTACGCTTTTTCCTGTTGAAGCTAGCTTCTGGAATCGCTTCTTCATAACCAAGATTTTTAGTTTTATGAAGCAAGAGCTGATCTTTTTGCCATTGAAGCTCGCTACCATTTTCGCACTCTCGCTCTCTCTGTGCATTCCAAGCCACCAAACGATCAAGACTATTGAGGTACGCTTTTTCCTGTTGGAGCTAGCTTCTGGAATCGCTTCTTCATAACCAAGATCACAATATGAGATGCATAAGACCATATCTGAATATTGTAAATGAAATGGCTATTGACGGCTGTAGTACCAAAGCTTCCTTTCCTCAGTATAAGTGAAGCCTATAGATTTACAAAAGCCAGTAATTTTCACATTGGTTTCATCGTGGGTAACACTTTCTGGTATGTTTTTGCATCTTTGTATTGCATTTTATATGCTATCACTGTCACTCATTGTCCAAATAAATACTTCATAATGAAGCTTTTGAGTGGTCATTTTGGATTGCTATGCTGCGGGAATGGTAATTTGATCTTCAGAGCCCAACCATGAAGAGACTAAATGTTACACTGCTCTAGTGTTTCCACTTACAAGTTCCGGACACCTACCTTTTCTATTGAAATTTACCACAATGTGAGATGCATAAGAGACTAAATGTTACACTACTCTAGTGTTTTATGAAGCAAGAACTGATCTTTTTGTTAGGCCAAGATTTTTGTTTGCAAATGATATGTCAGGTCGGCATGGGTTTGTGTTGGGATGTTCTTTACTCAAATGGGTGGCCGTTAGTGCTGTTGCATTACGTTTCTTTGCCTTGCTGTTACTTGGCTAATCTTTCGGTAATAGAGAGTGTGGACTGATTGTTTAAGCGGTTGCTAACTGCTGCTGTTTTTTCTTTTTTGTCTTGAACTGTTGCTATTTGAATGGCTAGATAGTTGTTTGATTGGGGATTTTTTGTTTCTGGTTGCTAACTTTATTACAACTTAAGGAGCTGGTTAGGCCTTCTCTACCTTGCATGCTAATTGTAGCAATAATTTGCAGGTTCTAAGTGTCATAAATAGAAGGATTACAAGATGTCCGAAACGAGTTCTACTAGTGTCACAGAAAGAAGGACAAGATCTGTAGTGTGGGAACACTTTAAACGGATTCCTGATCAAGATAAGGCTGAATGTTTATATTGTGGGGCCCAAATTCGTCGTGCTAGTAATCATGGGACTAGTTCGATGCATCATTATTTAGGTAGATGTAAGGAATACGCATATGCAAACGTTGAGAAAAGGCAAAAAAGTGCCTTGGATCAACTTCTTGGGGTCGGTAGTTCATCGGGTCCATGAAAATTTGATCAAGATGCTAGTCGAAAAGACCTAGCAAAAATGTTTATTATTGGTGAATTGCCTTTTAAGTTCGTAGAAAATGAGGGATTTCGGCTATTCGTGAATAGAATCCAGCCAAAGTTTCTAATCCCGTGTCAGAACACATTGAGGCATGATTGTTACAAGTTATACATGGGGGAAAGAAGTAAATTGAAGAAATATTTCTCGGAGACATCTCCAAGAGTGTGTCTTACGACCGACACATGGACTTCTTGTCAAAATTTGAGCTATATATGTCTTACTGCTCATTTTGTTGATGCCGATTGGAAGTTGCACAAGAAAATATTGAATTTTTGTCAAATTCCGGGTCATGCTGCTAAGATAATAGGAAAAGCAGTTGAGAAATGCTTGACTGATTGGGGGATTCAAAGCGTTTTTTCTATTACTATGGATAATGCAAGCTCAAATGACTTAGGAATTCAATATTTGAAAAAAAGACTTAACTCTCGGAATCCTCTAGTATTGAGAGGTGAGTTACTCCACGTAAGGTGTTGTGCTCATATATTGAGTTTGATTGTGAGAGAGTGGTTGAAAGATGTAAATGATTCAATTGTTAGAATACGTTAGGCTATGCGTTATGTGAGGTCTTCTCCTGCGAGGTTGAGACGGTTTAAGAGTTGTATTGATATCGAGTCTAAGAGTCTTGTATGTTTGGATGTGGAGACTCATTGGAACTCGACATACATGATGTTGGAAGCAGCTTTGAAGTTTCAAACAGCTTTTAGCTTGTTGGAATTTCAAGATAGCAAATATATTGAAGAGCTTTCCAAGGCGAAAAGGGTTGCCCACTAGTGATGATTGGGAGTATGCCCATCACTTTCTTCCTTTCCTAAAATTGTTCTTTGATACGACTTAAAAAGTTTCGGGTTTTTCTTATGTCACTAGTAATGATATGGCGAAGGATGTGTATGGGATTCATGGAATCATTGATGCATATTGTGAGAATGAGGATCAAAGTGTGCAGGAAATGGCTAAGAGAATGAAAACCAAATTCAATAAATATTTTGGCAATGTGAACAACATCAATCTTACTTTGTTCATTGCTTGCATACTTAACCCGTGACATAAGTGGGAATATGTGAAGTGGATGATTAATAATGTTTATGAAAGCAAGGAGGCGGAAACTTTACGAGATAAAGTAAAAACATCTATGACGTTATTGTGCGAGCAATATCGCACTGGTGTATGCCCTCAAAGCAACTTGAGGCTAAAGAGCACTAGGACGATAAGCATGTCAAAGTCTCCAGTGGTTGGTGCTTATTTTATGGCTGCAAAGTATCTTAGCCAAACTGGACAACAATATTTGGAAGGAAGGATGTGAATGTTATAACCCAAACTTTAATATCTTAAGTTGGTGGAAAGTAAATTCTTCAATATATCCTATCCTTTCTTCCATTGCTCGAGACATATTGGCCGCCCGTCTCAACTGTAGCATCAGAGGCCGCATTTAGCACAGGAGGTCGTGTGCTTGATGTGTTTCGTAGCTCTTTGACCCCAAGCATGGTGGAGGCTCTTATATGTGCTCAAGATTGGTTACGATCTACGCCACTTTCACGTTCGATTGAGGAGGACTTGGAAGAACTCGAAATCTTAGAGTCAGGTGAAAAAATATGGTTGTGGAATTTTGTACCCTTTTATACTTCGATGGATACATTAATTCTCATTTTCATCGTGAATTTAATGCAGAGTTACCAACTACAACCATGGAGCTAAACTCAATTTCTCTAGATGATTGATGAAGTTGGAGATTGGTACTTGTTAAACCAATTTATACTTTGTGTTAAAGTGATTTCGCATCATGAGGAAGTTACAGTTGCTCTTTGTTGCGCTTGCCAATGAATTTGCCAAACGTGATCTTAATGAATATTTACCATTGTTGTTATTGTTTTTCTGTTTTTGTTTTAAAGGCTTACAACTATTTAAACAGCATATGTCTCCATGTGGATTTGCAGGGTAGTGTTTCAGTCCTATCTTATCCACTTTGATTATGATGGTCTCTGTATTCAATTATATCCTTTTGTTATACTTTGATTATGATGGTTTCTAACATTGTTTTCCTGCAACTGGCTCTAGTTGCAAGTTTGTTTATCTTGCCTTTTACTGCTAGTGCAATCAAACAAGTTGATATGTTGTAGGTCGTACATGGTTTCTTCATCGTCCAACTTGGATGCTTTCTAATGCAAAAGATGTGCTAGGATTCTATTTGTAGACATTCGCTTCCTAAGTGTTATTCATTGTTTATCTAACTCCCAATTTGCAAATTGGAGACCTTCAAGAGGTTTTTGGTTTACTCATGGTCAATATGCAAATGTTGAGAGCAAAACTGAAAAAACTAGATGTTTCATATGGAATAGGGACAGGTAGAGTTTTTAAACTCTGAGACTTGTGCATTGCTCTGAAAATCTTTTAGTAACTTGAGGAGGACCTCTTAAGAGTGTTTTGTTAGCAGTTTTGAGCATGACACGATAAGCATTATATATTCATATGTGAAAAAGGTGCAATATGTGGTGGGCTTCTGTGCATATGTTAGTTGATTATTTCGGATGACTACTAATGCAATTTAATTCGATGTTGACTCTTTGAGACGTAGCAAAAGAAACTAGTTGAGGGTGTCCTAAGCACTCGAGCATGATATTTAGGGATGATTCATTGCAATAGATGACACGTTCTAACTTGTTGTCGGAGGTCTTCCCAGGTCTCAATTTAATTATATAGTTTGAATTCTAAGAAATGTTGTTAAATTCTGTTATGCATGCTTGAATCTCATGGACTTGCTTCCAAGAGACTGTTGTAAAGCGAGGACAATTAAACTTGATTTTACAGGAGTGTGCTGCACACTATTATAAGCAAGGACCACTGTTCTCTAATCTTTAGTAGAGATGCGAGATAAATTTTGATCTCTAATGGACTTCTTTCTTTTGTAAAGGCTTGTGAGATATGATTACGTGGAAACTTGTTGAAATGAGCTTTTTTAAGACTAAAGGTCCTGATGTTCTTGCAGATATCTTCCGACTGTCCTAGTTGCGTGTATCCGGATCTCCGTTATGAAGAGGATTTATCTGATGACATCCAATAGCCCATTTCATGAGTGTTTGACTTTGTCTTTCGCAATTCAAGTTAGAACCCACATGTTTTGTCTTCAAGTTTGGATATGACAATCTTGATAAGAAATTTAAGTATGCTATCTTTTTCCTATTTTTTTACCTTATATAGCCAGTTTGACAAAGATTATAAGCAGCTTGCAATTTTTACTATGGCTATTCGGGGTTCACACCTATTTTGTACTGGTTTATAGGTTTACCCAAAAAAAAAAAAACCCGAAAACCCGGCTTGGCCTGACCTGGATTTTCGCTTTGGGTTCTATGCGTTTTGGACTGGGCCAGGTCAGAGAGAGCATGCGCCCCTTGTGATTCGGGTTGGGTTGGGTATCATAGAAACCCGACCCAACCCGTTGACACCCCTAGATTCATGTATACCCTTCACATGATATTGAAATTTACGTGACAACAAAGTCGAATCAAAATTAATAAAGATTTAACCAAGCCTAACTCGAGTTCGAAAACTCAAAGCACAAATTGAAAATCGAGCTACACGGCATGATCAAGCTGTGCAACAACATTAAACCCTCACGACCTGACCCGATTTAGGTCCGCTCGTCTGGATGTTTCGATTGGGCCCAAAAAGTAGGAGTGTGCAACCGGATCGGGTTTACCCAGAAATTGGACCGATCCACCCGAAAAATAGGTTCGGGAACCAGTTCCATTTTTTGGGAACCGGTTGAAACCGGTCCGGTTCCCGGTTCCAAGTGAAGACCCACCCGGAAACCGGACCGATCGGACCAGTTTTGGGAACCAGTTTTTAGCTAGGGTTAAAAAAAAACCTAGCTGAGCAGTTGCTCCCAGTCGCCTCTCTCTCTCTCTCTTTGCCGTTCAATCAACCATCATTGTCTTCGGACTCTTTCCTCTTCCTCTCACGGCGCCGCAGGAATCGGCCCACCATTGTCACCCATCAGTCTCTGTCTCAGACTCTCCCTCTTCCTTGCATGCCCGTAGTCTTCAACTCTTCCTCTTCCTTGCACGGCGCCGCAGGAACCCATCGCCACCGGCCCACCATCGTCGCTCGTCACTCTCTTCGATTCTCTCTGACCTTTTGTCAAGTGCTATTAGAAATCAACGGTCATCTCTAGATATCGAGGTAAATTAATTTTTACTGTCCCTTGCTCTGTAAGGATTATATCCATCTTTAATTGAACATTGGGTCGCGTTTGATGGGTCAATTTCTTGCTTTGGGATTCTGAGTGTTTGATTTCTTGCGAGTGAGTCCCATCCCTTTAGTGGGACTTTGTCGAAGGGGTGTGCAACCAGACTGAAAAACGGAGGCTGTAAACGCTCCATCGAGAAACAACTTGGGGCCAGATGAAGAGAGAGATAGAGATTGATCATATGTAGACCTGTCAAAATGGGTCATAAACTCATTACTGAACCATATATTAGTAGATGGGTCATAAATGGATTAGTTATATTTAGTAAATGGGTCATAAATGTTTAATATTAGTGTTAAATGGATCCTAAATGAGTTGTAAATGGGTTATAAACGAGTTTACAACTGATTTAAACTCAACTCGTCTATCTCATCCTTACTCAATCTTGCGGTTACTCGCTTCGCACTCTCATCTCAGTTTGGGTATGAATTTTCTTAGATTTAATTAAATATGGAAGTGTTTTAGCAATATGAGTCTGATCGAGTATGGGTTGGGTATGGGTCGGGTCGGGTCAAGTATGGGTCAAGAAAATTGCATTGCGCATAAATGGGTCATAAACGGGTTAATGGGTCAATTTGGATCGGACCATTTATGACCCGACCCAAACTCGACCCGACCCATCCATTTAACAGGTCTAATCATAGGAGAGAATGAGAGAAAAGAAAAACGGAGGCGTTAAGTACTGTAATGCTCTAGGGATCAATCGGTATAGGGACACAGTGGGGGAAAGTGGGTCATTATGCTTATAAAAATGCCGGATTTTAATCAACAGTGAGTGATTTTACAATAGTGATTTTGGGTGGGGGAAACCAGACTTGGTGAGCAACACAAGCCCTCCTATGAGGTCAGTTGTTCTTGTGGATAGTCCAATTAACGGTGGAATTGATGCTTGGATTACTCTAAACCAAGATGAGAGGCTTGTACTTTCATCTTGTTCTGCTTATTTTCTGAATACTTCTGAGTTTGCATAAACATTTGAAAGATGATCTTTCTTTGTTACCGTAACATGTCCTATTATGTCGGCATAAATTTATGATTTGTAAGTTTTCGATATGTATTCTGAAACTCCGATTTTGTGGTGAGTAAATAGGCTTCATTAATCGGCACTTCTGCATTTGTCTCTAGAGCATGGTTTCTTGTTAATTTTTCTTTACGTATGAATTTCAGGTCTTTGTTAGAGATTTTGTACCAAGTGAATTTGGCTCGCGTGATTTCACTCTTAGAGGAGGAGTTAAGCCTGCAGCAAAGATTTAATGACCGTTTCAGATAATTGAACAGCTTCCTGAATTAACTCGGTCATATCTTGCCAATTCAGTCCATCCTCTAGCTGTGGGAATGGGACTGGTATGGGATCCATGTTTCTTGCAGTAGTTTCAGTTCATTTGTGGTGCAGTTCGATTCAAGCGATTTGATTCTTGTTTAAGGTTATAAAAGTAGCCTCTACACAATTTAGTATTTTAGGAAACGAAAGAGTAGTTTGCTCCCTCCAAGTCTATGGACCTTTTCTTTGGTATCCTTGTTAGCATGCCGTAAAATGATTGATTGCCTGGAAGCTTATTTATTTATTACATGTGCTTACTGTTTCAACATAGATTAGGAGGATTACGTAGTTGTTTCCTCACGTGTTTACGTAAAATCTGAATCCGTATAGGACATCGGACGGTTGCTTCCTGCTCGAGGTGTTTATGAAATCGGAAAAAGGAACAAAAAAAAAACAAGTTTTTGGGTAAACCCTGGAGGAAGAAGGAAGGGAAGAAGAAAAAGAAAAAAGAAACAAAAAGAAAAAAGAAGGGAAAATAAATAAATAAATCGAAAAATATTAAAATATTATTTAAAAGATTTTGCATCGACACCGGCGCCATGTAAGACAACCGCCAAAATTGGTCAAATAGACGAATTAGCACAAGTGCAAAGGTCTAGGATTCAATTATCAAAAAATTGTTTAGGCTAATTGGACAATTTAAATAGGATTGAGATTTGTTTGGTAATTGTCACCTTTAAAATCTCGCTCACGTCCAACCCTCCAACACACACTTCGAAAAATTTCAAACTTCTTCCCTACCCCCCAGAGAGTATTTTTCGGGGGCTCTAGGAGGCCTTCTCTATCTCCATTTGGGACGTACGACCTATGGTTGGAAATATCTTCAAGTGTACTTTTGCTCTCAAGTTGAAGGTTTTGGCTAGCTTTGTTGAAAGTTTGTGAAAATCGCGTTTTCTCTCAATGGGTCCGTCTGAAATTTCTGAGTTGAAGTTGTTTTTTTCAGTAGTTTTTGGGGGTAGCGGAGACCTCTGCCAAGTGCCTCTTGTCTCCAACCTTTAATGCCTTTAAAGAACGTGCTTCAGAGAGCTTAAGCCAGCTTTTAGTCGTTACTTGCCCACACACCAAGGATGCCAACTGAGTTGCTTCACCAACTCTTTAACTTGTACCGCTGCTGTGCTAGCCAATTTAGTTGAGAATTTCGCGCCCCTTCATCAGCTTATCCATAGCCAATTTTAGTCAATTTGCACACCTGGTGATTTTTCTTCCACCTCAACCAGATATAATGCTGATTGGGCAGCCGAGTAGGATGTGGTGGGGCCACAAATTTGCTTGCTCAGCAGCTTCAAATTGTTACCAAATCGTGGATTGGAGGTCTGGCAGCTGGTTTGAGTGCCTTAATCCATCACTTAGCTCGATTTTGCAAGAAAGTCTGTCAAAGTTGGCCATCTTCTTACCCGAAATGACCAATTTGATTCAATTTGGTCCTTTTGGCTTTATTTGATCAATGCGACCTGGCCTAATCTCAATTTCAACCTTAATTAGGGGTCAAAATGATAAAAATTATTATTCACGGGTTTGAGCAATTTTTGTAAAATTTGCAAATTGGTCGCCCAACTTATGAGAATTACATTTTGGCCCACACCTTGGGGTTCAATTGCAATCCGACCCCCAGGGCTTGGCTAGTCACATTCATATCCTCGGCCCCAACTCTCTCTTTTTTGGAAAGTAGAAATCAAGAAAAATAATTATATTTAAAAACTATATTAAATGCCTAGGTAATCTATATGCGAGAATTTGACATGAAATATTTTTATGGAAAACTAAGTTCTAGTTTTTCGAAAATACATAGAAACGATCTTTTGTGCAAAAATTTAGGTGACAACACGGTGGCACCACCACTGGAGTAGAACCGCAATGCACCTAGAGATCGTCGGGAGGACTGGAACCTTTGTGGAGATTCGCCTGAATTGTAGGCCCAGGCAGGTGGTCGTTGACCACTTGACCTTGGCAACAAAAAAAATAAATATATATATATATTTTTTTAAAGTAGCCGTTACCAACTTAAGCCATTTATTATTATTTTTTCCTAAATTTCTTTCTCATTTTTTTCTTATAAATTCTCTCAAATTTTCTCAATACTCTCAAATTCTCAATTCTCTCAAATTCTCTCAATACTCTCAATTCTCTCAAATTCCCTTAAATTCTTTCAATTTTCTCAATCCGAATTCTCTCAATTTTTTCAATCTGCGCAATTTTCTCTTAATTCTCCCAATCAATTTGCTCAATTCTCTCAATCCACTCGAAAAATGGCAAGTGGAAGTCAAGCGGCAACTGGCAAAGGTAAGAATAGAATGACGGAATCCGAACATTTTTTTGATCCTTATGATTATGCAGATTTTCAAGATGATGAAATCAACATTTTTCCCGATGTGGAGCGCGTCCCAACACAAGAAATTCTTCATGTCGAAATGTCAACAACAAAGGAGGCGGAGCAGGAACTTACATCCGACATTTGGGACCACTTCACGAGAACGGAAAGGTTTAATATTGGTCCAAAAATGTATGATATAATTTGCAAACATTGTGGGGGCAATATATAAATATACAGGTGGACAAGGATATAAAACATGCAAACGACATCTTAGGAGCAAACATCCAACCGAAGCGGGAATTGATACCAAGCAATAACAAATTTCCGGATACGTCAATCCTAACACTTCTCATTTATTTCGTTTTAATGAAAAAACTTGTAAGGAAGAATTAGGTAAATTTGTTTCCGTTGAGCATTTATCATTTAATTTTGGAGAAAGATTTGGTTTTAAGCAATTTGTACAAAAAGCTTGTGCTCCATAAGCAAAACGTGTTCCTAGAAATACATTTAAACGAGTAATTAAAGATCTTTACAAACATGGAAAAAAAGATTTACAAAACTTTTTTATGCAATTTAATGGATGTGTGCATATAGATGGTGATATTTGAAGTGATCATTGGCAAATTCATTCTTACATGGGCATAACATGTCATTGGATAGATGACAATTGGAATATTCAACAAAGAGTCCTCGCATTTAGAGTTTTCGATGGTAAGCATACGGCAAATAATATTTATAGAATAATTAGGCAAATTTTAGAAGAATATTGTTTGCTTAACAAAATTTTTTCAATTGGTTTTGATAATGCCGCGGCAAATACCGCTTCAATTGCCGATTTAGAAAATATCTGTAGACTCGCTTTTGGCGGAAAAAATTTTCACGTTAGATGTGCTTGTCATGTTTTAAATTTGTGTACAAAATGATTTAAAAACTCTTGATATTTTTCTTGAACCAATAAAAACAACCATTCAATTTTTATGGAAACATCTCGAAAAATGAAAGAATGGAGTAGATTTTGTAAAACAAATGGAAAAAGGCCAAGAAGATTTTCAAGAGATGTTCCAACTCGTTGAAATTCTACTTTCCAACTTGCTTAATGAATCTTTTGCATACGAAGATTTATTATGTTCATTCATTTATAATAATATACCTCAGATTAATTTATGCCTACGAGAGTGGGATATTTGCAAAATTTTTTAAGATATTTTAAAGGTTTTTAATTATGCAACTTATACTTTGTCCGGTGTTTATTATCCTACTATGCATTTATTTTTTATAAAGTGTATTAATATTGTCGGAGTTTTTGAGGAATATGAAAATGATGTTGAATTACAAAATGCTATAGTAACAATGAGAATGAAGTGGCTACATTATTATAGCGAAATTCCCATTATTTATTTAGTTGCTTGTGTTTTTTATCCACGTTGCACATTAGATGGTTTAGGTGATTATTTGCATATGTATTATCAATGTTTACATTATAATATGGTAGATGTTACAACCATACCAAGGGAGGTTAAAAACGTAGTAATAGAATTATATAATGAATTTTGTACTAAGCGAGGTGATATTAGATCTTCTCAATCTATCGAGACACAAAGTGAGAGTACATGTAAAATTAGTAGAGAGTACCAACTTTTATTACATAGACAAAAAAAGCAAAATGGAGTAATAGGAAACATTTCTGAATTAGAGATGTATCTAACCGTTTCCTTTGAGTTTTCTGAATCCGAAGGTAGTACATGTTTTTTAATTTTGGATTGGTGGAAGAGGCACGCAAGCCAATACCCAATCCTTTATCTTATTACAAAATAAATTTTTGTAACCCCATGTTTGACAGTTGCAGTCGAACAAGCATTCAATGCCGGAGGTAATATTTTGGATGAACAACGTTCAAGATTAGTTCCGGAATCAGTGGAGGCTCAAGCTTACAGACGAAGGCTCAATATCGACAACAAGAGATAGATCGGAATAATGAATCCAAATTCTTTGACGACGGAGATACCACCACTACCGGTACCGGTACCAAAACGTGTAGCGACGACTGAGGGTAAAAGAACTACATTAATTTTGATTCTTCTATGTAATGCGCTTAATGATAATTCATTAAGTTCAAGCCCCATCTCTTTCTTTTTTTCTCCAAATTTGATTATAATATACATTTTGATTATATTTTATATTAAATAATTCATTATTTTTTTATTTCATAATTTATTTTTTTAATTTTTCCTGGGTTCCGAACCTAGGGCGGAGCCGGAATCGCCGAATCGCGAATCGGCGGCGGTTCCAGGTTCGTCATACATGGCCACGAATCGAACTGCCATTGAATCGGAATCCGCCGGTTCCGAATCGTAACCATATCTAGATTTTGATTTCAAGTCTGAAATCGACCCACTTAGAAATCTATAGCCCCTATTAAAAAGTGGGTGCGGATCCGATCCGACTGCCAAAAAAGGGGCGGCCACGTAAGGCCGCATCCGGCCACGACATCCGGCGGGCGTCTCTCAGCCAATGAAACCCTCCGCCTCCATATTTCCCTCCCGCCAACGTGTCCTCTTCTCCTCCACCCCTTTCCCCCCCTCCCCTCCATTCCCCTCCCTCCCTCTCTGCGCGCACGCAAAAACAAAAACTTCACCACCAGACTCCCTCCCTCCCTCCCTATTTCTCTCTCTCTCTATCTCTACTGCAGCTGGAAGCACGATCTCCGATGGAATTCCCAGGCGCAGCCGCCGCCCGTTGACGACCGACCGATCGTCCGTCCTCCCTCCCTCCTGAATCGCGGCCCGACCCTCTCCGTCGCAAATGGCCGCCTCCCTCCTCTTCCCCGACCTCGCCTTCCTCTCCGCCCCCCGCGCGGCCGCTCCCACGCGCCGCCTCTCCTCCCTCTCGCCCCGCGCTCTCGCCGGAACCGTCGCCTCCTTCTCCTCCTCCCGGAGGAGGAGGAGCGGCAGCGGCTCCCGGCGCGCCGCCGGAATCGGAGTCCGGGCCCGAGTCGTGAAGGAGGAGGAGGGCGTGCTGGTCGAGAACCTGAACGGCTACCCCTCCAACGGCAACGGAGCCGCCTCCACGAGCTCGGGCGGAGGCGGCGGCGGCGGCGATGCCTCCTATTCGAACGGTTCCGCTGGTTATCATGCGGATGAGAGGGGGAGGAGCGCGGAGGACAATGGGAGCTTGGTGAAGTATGTGGAGGGGAACGGCTCGGCGGCGGCGGGGGCGTCGGCGTCGAGGTTGCTGAAGGAAGTGGAAGTGGTGGAGGCCACGGAGGAAGGGAGGAAGAGGAGGATTGAAGAGATTGGTAAGGAGGACGCTTGGTTCAAGCAAAGTGGACCACAAGTTGAGGTAAAAATAGAGAGAAAGGCTTAATTACAAGACACTGTTTTTGCTTAGGCTACCTTTCTCTGGATAAGTCTTGCTTCTAGTGTTAGTGCAGAGTCCTTTGTTCAAATTTAGAATTTTCTTCTCCAGAAGTACGGCGGGTTGCTACTGCGCTGCTGAATTCTTTTCCTAGTGACGCCTGTATCTAATGAAACTAGGAGGAATAATTACTAGTAGGAGCTGGCTTCAAAATTTTTTGGTTCATTCTTCATTGCATCAATAGAAGGATGTGGTGACCGGTCCCTTTTATCATCAAACGACTGCTTGGAATCTGTCGTGGCAGTTATGGATATAGCATCTTGGCCAAATGTAGGTCATCTTTTAATAGGGGAGCTTGTTAGATCTCTAGGTACTATTTGTTTTACTCTATAAAGCTGGAGGCATTAAAAGAATGGACTTGCCTTTAGACATTAGGTTTGCTTCACAAGTTCAGTCCCTCTATTTAAAGATGGTCGTTGTGGGTTTTGGTGATCTTTGGACCTAAGTCTTCCACCATCTACGAATTACCAGGGCCATTAAAATTATACTGTCGGCTTTGTGTAGAGAGGAGTCGGGCTTGATAAGAAATATCCCATCTGTTACTGGAGACAAAGGATTGGCAGCAGTAGACCAAAAGGATCTATAAAGCAATTACACACTTCTTATGGTCAGCTACATCAAAATTCTTGAAGTGCCTAATTTCGTGCTCTATAATGGAATTAACTTCCTTTGATTGCTATGAGAACATATAATTGAGTCGCTTCAATGACAGATAAGAGGTTTATTTAACCGTAGGCATTAAGATGGTGCTGGCTCATGTAACCACAAAAAGGATAGGTGCTGGATGGGTTCTGTGCTAGCTTCTACATTTCAAAATCCTGCCCGTGCCTGCATTTATAGCTATGAAAATTATGAATCGGATGTTGTGATATGATGCTTATGTATCTTGTGTGGCTTATCAGGTATCTGTTGCACCTGGTGGTCGGTGGAGTAGATTCAAAACATATTCAACCATTCAAAGGACACTGGAGATATGGGGATTTGTGTTGACATTTATTTTTAGGGTTTGGTTGAGCAATCAGAAGTTCTCTTATCGAGGTATCAAGTTCAACCACAATGCGTTATATCTCAAGGTTTGAGACATGAAAAGCATCAATGACAATACCACGGGCCTTCGTTCTGTTCCTCTAAATGTTTTTCCTTTTCCTGTTTGACGGCATTGTTTTCTACTGAGCTCACATGCTAACTTGAAAACCAGAAGTGTCACTATAGGTAGGGATACCTTCTAATACGTTGACAAGTGTTTTTATAGAAATCTTCCCACAATTGATTGAGCAATTAAAGGGTGATACTATTGTGTTCTCCTTTTGCACTTTGAGATACACTTCTGGCACAAAATAATGGATCTGCACATTATGATTTCCAAAGACCTTGTGTACATAGGATTTCTATTTTTAGATTCTTTAGCTTTAGCGATGCTTCGCAAGAGTTTTAAACCTCTGGTACTGAAGTTTGGCCTTGTTTTTTTGTCTAATTGAGACGAGATTGTGAATGCAGGAGGAATGACTGAACAGAAAAAGGTCTTACGGCGTAAGGTGCTTGCCAAATGGCTGAAAGAAAACATATTGAGACTGGGTCCGACATTTATCAAAATTGGACAGCAGTTCTCAACAAGGGTTGATATTCTTCCTCAAGAATATGTTGATCAGTTATCTGAACTTCAGGTTAGAATCGGTTATCATTAGTATGTTTCACAGTTTCTTGCCTAAGTGCCGGTACTCTCCATGACTGGGCTAGCTTGATGTGAAGCTTCCTAAAGTACTTATGCCTTCTGATTCTTATTCTATTTATGTGCCTTGGGTGTCTTATCTTCTCCTAACTGGGCAATTTCCTGGCTGAATGCTTCTATTTCTTCTTCAGGATCAAGTTCCTCCTTTTCCGTCTGAGACTGCTCTATCTATAGTCCAAGAAGAGCTTGGAGCTCCTTTGGAGAATATTTTCGACAGCTTTGACTATGAGCCCATAGCTGCTGCTAGTCTCGGTATCAGCCTCAATTATCCAAAATGCTCGTATGAGTCACCTGAGCTATCATTGCTTAGATTTACTTCCTGTCCTACTGACACCTTGGTTAAATAAAATATTGTGCAGGTCAGGTTCATCGAGCACGTTTGAAGGGACAGGAAGTTGTTGTTAAAGTACAAAGGCCTGGTCTCAAGGATCTTTTTGACGTTGATTTGAAAAACCTAAGGGTGAGGACCATCAATAGAAGATAATCAATATTCGGGGAAATCACCTTCTAGTTCACTGCGTTTTTCACTTTTCTTGCTATAGTTTAAAGGTCGACAGTTTAGTCCCCAAAATTATTCTTTTAGATAAACCTTCTTTCTGCAGCCTTATATGTGGCCATCGGATGCATGTAGGATGTGTGAAGAACGAAATCAATGCAATCTACTTTCTTTTGTTCTGTCTTCTTATGGAAAGGTCTTGACAAATAAACTTAGATTCCCCTAGAACAAGCCTCAAGGACTGACTCATATTCATATGATTGCTTGAGTGACTACCAGCTGCAAAAGTATACTTCATATTCCAAAGTTAATAAATTAGCTGGCAAAAGTTCATAACTACAGGGGAGGAATGCCATTTTAACTAAGAATTTGAATTCTGCTAAAGTATGGAGAGAATCTCTATAGATGGTACTTATGGTGCTGTCAAAATTTATGGTTTGCTGAATCTCATGTGAAGAGCAATTTTTTATCTTCCGCCTAGAGTCTTATTTAGCTGACTGGGAAAGATGAAACTTGAGAATTTTGACTGTATCTTTCTTGCTTGACTGACTTATGACTCCATGCTATCCTCTCGTTTATTTTGGAAATTTTTATTACACTTCTGATGTTCTGTATGATCATGAATACATGCATATTGCATGCTTAATAGTTTAAAATGCTCTTAATTTTTATAAAAGATACCACTATTACTTTTTGCCATCCTAATTTCTGTAGTCTCAGCTTATTTTCTGTCTATTCGCCTGTATTTTGGGAGCTTTTACTTGATATTTATTATTCAAATTGTATGTGCATGTTGGTCATTAAAATACTTTGGTCGTTATAGTCCTTTTATGTTCATATGTTGGACTTGATGGATCATCGAGAAATTGCATCAATCGACATTTTTGAAGGTTATTTTTTTGCCATTTCTTCTTGTAGGTGATTTCTGAATATCTTCAAAAGATCGATCCAAAGTCAGATGGTGCCAAAAGGGATTGGGTTGCGATTTATGATGAGTGTGCAAGTGTATTGTACCAGGTATTGTAATTCATCTATATGTTTTATTTGGTTTGACAAACCAATTATCTTGAATATTCAATCATAATTTGAAATTTAAGAAGCAAAAAGTATGAAATATTTTGGTATGCATTGGATTGTAATGTAGAATTGATGAAGAAGTTATACAAAAGCAGGAATGCATAGTCTAGAAAGTAACTCATAATTAAGGCAGGAAATAAGTGAAGGTAGAATGTTATCTAGCATAGGAAGGGCAGGAATGCATGTAACACTAGGTTGTGGAGGTAGATATGGTCGCTTACAATATTTTAGTTGATCCAGATTGTGGTTTGTCATTCATTTGTTACAGGAACATAATTCTGAGTTACTATGATATCTTATGGATGTAGCTCCTATTTACTTTTGAGAATGACTGATGACAGGAAATTGATTACACCAAAGAAGCTGCTAATGCGGAGTTGTTTGCTAGTAACTTCAAGGACATGGACTATGTAAAAGTCCCATCAATTTTCTGGGAGTACACGACGCCCCAGGTTCCACACTGAGAGTGTTCATGAAACTTAAATGCTTTTATATGCACCTTTGTTTATTTGTACCAAATCATACTTTACAACTGATGCCAATCTAATTATGTCTTCTGTACCTAAACAAATTTAGGTTTTGACCATGGAGTATGTTCCAGGGATTAAAATCAACAAAATACAAGCTCTTGATCAGCTGGGGGTAGATCGCAAAAGGTTTTATTTCTCTATCCTGAATTTTCGAAATTTCGTCTCCTGTGGTTGAGATGATGCTTCTTACTCTTGTGCTATTCATTTTTCTGTCTGATAAGCTATTTGCTAAGTGCTGGTTTATAAATTGCAGATTGGGCCGATATGCTGTTGAATCCTATTTGGAGCAAATTCTTTCTCATGGTTTTTTCCATGCTGATCCTGTGAGCGCTGTCAAATGTCTTTAGTTGCTTTCCTGAAGTGCGATCTTTAAGTTTGATGCTGCTAAAACCTTTCTTAGTTCTTGCATCTCCCATCTAAGTCATAATGGCCAGCATGTAAAGCTCAAAGCTGGTCATTCAATCTAACAATTCTCTATTCATTGTTTCAGCATCCGGGAAATATTGCCGTTGATGATGTCAATGGCGGACGGTTGATATTCTATGATTTTGGCATGATGGGAAGGTAAATAATGGACCTTGTGTGTAGCCATCTTTTCTTAGTAGGATCAGGAACTTAATAATTCAAGCTTGTGTGAATGTGTCTTGGGACATTATTGGTTGTGTTGCTGACCTGCAGTATAAGCTCGAACATCCGAGAAGGTTTGTTGGAAACATTCTATGGTGTCTATGAAAAGGACCCAGACAAGGTGATTAAGTCAAAAAGTGGCAGAAGTTGTTCACTTCCCAAATTTAGTATGTTGCCTGCAGTAATGAATTTACTACTTATAAGTTTCTTTCTGGGTGCAGGTCCTTCAGGCAATGATTCAAATGGGCGTTCTTGTGCCAACAGGGGACATGACAGCTGTCAGAAGGACTGCGCAGTTCTTTCTTAACAGGTGTGCTGATGAGGTTATCCTTTTGTTTAACTCCCTATCTTTCTGCAATCTGCTTGAAAGTATGGTGATGCTGATGCTGAGAGTGCTGTTTTCAGTAACAATTCTTACCTGTGAATATTTAAAAAGAAAGGGTTTGCTCCATGTTTCTCATCCTTCTGTTTCTCTGGTTGTTATATGTGAAATGTCTATTATTGGGACTTTCATTTGAGTTTTTAGGTATCAATTTGTCCGCTGGGGATTGTAAAGCAACTGTTGCATGATGGAGAACTCAAATGATTTCATTTGTTAACTTTACTGAAGCTTTATCTTGCAAGTGTTTGTTGACTTCAGTTTTGAGAAGTGAGCATGTGTAGAGCGTCAGGCTTGGATAACAGATGGAAAAGATAGAATTAGTATCCTTGCTGGTCCAGAAGCTGCTCGCCTGCATATCCTAAAAAGGCAATAAGAATTGTATTCATTTTTCACGTGTTATGTGGTCTGTCAAAGTATCCCCTAGAATAAGATTTCAAGTACTCTTCTCAATTTGCCAGATACATGGATTACTTTGTACGGGAGTCTTCCAAGTGGCAGGAATATGTGGCTTTAGGTTAAATAGAAATGCCAATCGAAGAACTTGAGAACTTTGTCGTTTTTGAACTCCTTGTGGTCCGCAGAGATTTCAATCCTACATTCGTAAACGATGTCTTCTCTGGAGCTTGGGTTAAAGGCACGTTTTTCTGTTAAGCTTCCACTTAGACGTCTTTGTGAGTAAAGAGGTGTTGCAGAAGTGCAACATCATGTGGAGATGAGATATGTCTCCCAAGGTTGCGCATTTCTGCTAGGGCCAAAAGGCATGATATCCTCACTGTCAACATCCTCATATGGAAGACCTATGGTGGTTAGCTGATGCTTTCTATGTGAGGAAGTGGCTGAATCTGCAGGAAGTTTATTTGTTTCTTTTTCATGGACAAGATATGTTAGGGAGTTGGTCTGCTCTTGCTTAATGACTTTGGTCACAGAAAGGTTTATCTGGCATTAAGGTTGAGAATCAATTATATGTCTTATACCTCTTGCCATCTTTTGGATCGTAGTGACAGAAAAGTATAACTATATGAGGGTACTTGAAGGAAAGGAACTCATCATAATATTGGCTGGTGAACAGTCGGTGTTGTGTTGATAGACCAGCTTTTATTGCATATATTGTACTGTAAATTAGTTGGTAGGGGTTGCCAGTTCTTGGTCTCTGTTAAACTATCCTGCATTGTTTATCTATGTGTTTCAACGGGTCTCATTTTCATGCAATCTCCCTCCACCTACCAGTTTAAGTTTGTGGGTTAAACTTATTTGACATAGTATCAGAGCCAGGTTTTTCTCCAAATTTATTTCCTGTGTGAGGCTACCTGTTAGGCAATTCCACATGACGTACTCAGTTCAGTTTGCTCGCGAGAGGGGCTATTAAAGTATCCTAAATCGCTTTGTTATGGGATTTTGGTGGGTCTTATATTCATGTAGTCTGCCTCCATTAATTGGCTTAAGTTTTTGGTTGGACTTTCTAATAGTGTTATTCAGAAATTTTATGGTCTGAGAATCACATTAATTTCACCTTTTGTAGTTTCGAAGAGCGTCTCGCTGCACAAAGAAGAGAAGCAGAGATGGCAACGACAGAACTAGGCTTCAAAAAGCCCTTGAGCAAGGAGGAAATGATTGAGAAAAAGAAGCAAAGGCTTGCTGCAATAGGTACTTCCCACATGTTGATCTTACATGTTCTCTTAGAGTACTTGCTTTATTACCTAAACGAAATGGATGTGCCAACTGAACTGTAGGAAGTGGGAATTTCGTTCTATATTCCGGTCTCACTGAAGTGTTTTGGCTTTGTAGTATGTACAGTAGAAAACAAGCATGAAATCTATATCGAAACTAGCACTTCTAGAGCCGCTTCAGTTATTCCCCTCAATGTAGCATATGCTAATAATTAGTTGTCATTCACAGTTATCTTTCACTTTAGCTGATGTAAAAATTGTTCTGCCGTTGGAACCTCCCATTTCTATTTTTATTCATAAAAAAGAATAAAAATCTGTTCTTGCCAATTCTCTGCTGGTTCTCCGGGTTATTGGAATGGCTGTATATTTCATTCATGTGCAAAGTAGATTATATAGTTCAGTCTCCCACTTACTTCCGGGATTTGTTCAATAAGCAAAAGAATTTCAAAATTTGAATAAATCTAATTAAGAAGAAATAAATGGTCTAGAAGAATTGAATATGGTTTATGGAGTATAGACTACTTAAAAGGTCTGAATTATGGTATCACATTGCGTGATTTATTAATATCTTTGAATTATGTACCATAATTATTGTTTACACTAAAGCAATCTCTTATCTATCTGCAAGAAGCTAAGAATCACTGCATTGCAGTGGACTGAGATGGGTAACAAGTACCATGATAATGTCTAAGGCAACATGGCTTTTTTTTATTAGATTTAATGTATAACTTGTACAGTAACCTGATAGCATTTTACATGTGTGGTATGAGGTGAAACACATGTTGCTAATAGCTACTGTTACTTTGATCAGGAGAAGATTTGTTATCCATTGCTGCAGATCAGCCCTTCCGATTTCCTGCAACATTTACATTTGTTGTGAGAGCATTTTCAGGTACTGTGCCAATGAACTATGATTGAGCTGTTGCGCTATGAAAAAACTGGACTGAGAAGCTGTGTTATCTCCCCAGTGTTGGATGGCATTGGGAAGGGCCTGGATCCTCGATTCGATATAACTGAGATTGCTAAACCGTGAGTATCCTTTTTGGTTTTTGATCTATGTTAAAAAAGAGTATCCTTTTTGGCAGAGATTCATTTCTGGAGCGTTTGTATTTCTTTCTCAAGATGTTCGAATCGGCAATTCTTTCTGCCTGTAATGTTTTCATATTTCAATATGTAGTTATGCACTGGAGTTGCTAAAATTTCGTGAAGCTGGTGTTGAAGTCATCCTGAAGGCAAGTTTGGGTAGCTTCCTTTGTGATATTTAGTAATGCTGCTCTTTGAATCCTACATGACAGTCTTAAATGGCATTTCAGGACTTTAGGAAGCGGTGGGAGCGCCAATCTCGTGCATTTTACAACTTATTTAGACAGGCTGACCGAGTTGAAAAGCTTGCAGAAATCATCCAGCGACTGGTAATTTCAGGGCTGTCCCTCCTCGTTGTATACTAAATCTTTTGGATCTTAGGTTACATTGCTTCGAAATTACGATGCAGGAACAAGGTGACCTCAAGCTCAGGGTTCGGACTTTAGAATCCGAAAGGGCCTTTCAACGAGTTGCAGCTGTCCAGAAGACAGTTGGCAATGTGAGTTTGACTAGTAGTCCCATTCTGTACTTAGTTGTTAACTCTGCGAAAGAACCACAGCAATGAAAGATGTCTTGAAAGGGCACAGTCGTTTCCTTTGTCTAACTCTAAACTTTCCGGCAAAACATGTATCATCAATGGAGATCTATCATTCCATCAATGTCTTGTGATTTGTGAGATTAAACCTGATAATCATGAAAATATAAGGTTTTCTAGTCCTTGTGGTAACTTCAGATAAAAAAATATCCATGCCCTTTACTGAGAGTTATTATGAGAAAGCCTTTATTAACAACTGCTTCAACTGGGTGCACATGCAAACTAGAAACAATGCACATCGTGTTAAGATGATTACTGGCAAAAGCCACATACTCCAGGAATCATTTGAAGTCAATTTATTTGGCACCAGAACCTTGTTTAAAATTTGTACTCAGGATGGATGCTAAAATCCCTTATTGTGACTATCTTGGCCAATCGCCAGGCTGTGGCTGCTGGAAGCCTGATGAACCTTGCAACAATTTTGTATCTCAATTCGATTCGCGTAAGCTACCGGTTATCTTTTACCTTTTAAGCAACTTATTCTCTCTTTTATGCTATTTTGTACTCATGTTTGTCCTGAACTTGCTCTTATAGGCGCCTGCACTAGCAGCATCTGTTTTATGTGCATTTTTCGGTTTCCAAGTTCTCTTCGGTCTTATAAAGGTGAAAAAGTTGGATCAAAGGGAGAGATTGATCACAGGAACTGCTTAGACATTGGGTGTGTAAAATCTTGTTCATATACAATTATTTTTCTGCGATGAATTTGGTCCAATGAGTTCCTATTCTTATTGCTTCGTGAATTCTGCTGCAGATGTATAGGATTATTGATACGTGAGAAGCTGCTCCCAAGTACACACGTTCAGCTTACAAACATTTCAAGGGGAGCCAAATATCTGTTGGGGAGTTATTATAATTCACCTCTTCAATTCAACTGAATAATCAGCATGCATCTGATTCTTTAACTGTACATGCAAGGGATATTATTCAAATGCAGAATGCACAACCAATCTTTTGGGCCATTCTGTGAAGTTTATCTGCTTCAGTAGCCCACTATCAGGTTTGCCCGTCTGCTACTTATTCAGAATAATCCCCCGCCTTTTGATAGATAGGCCCGTGCCATAGTAAGCAAGTTTAGTACCAGAAACTTCTAGTTGTACTTAGAGCAGTCTTGAAGTTGTAATTGTCATTTGGTCAAGTTTTGGTTAGTTTGACCTCGCGAACATGTGGCTGGTGACATGTAACAGAACTCGTATAATTCTGTAACATATAGAGGGCTATTTAGTGACAACATTCGTATACTGTTTGTAATTGCCCGCGATCCTGGTTGTCTACTAGTTACCCATGCAATCTCTCTCTCTCTCTCTAGTGCACACTGATATCAGTCATGTTAGGAGGTTTCATTATGGGAATTTCAGGCAGTCCATTCCAGCAGTAGTAGGTCTCTGCTACGTAAGCGTGGAATAGCCTTTGCGGTACAGATGGTTGAGGAATAAATGAGGTATTTCTTGAGCAACCTAGGGCCTCTAGTTCCACAAATTCTCAATCATCTTCTAAGGTCAGCGCTGTGGGCTTACTGATTCCTGCATCTGCATGACGATAGGCTTGTTGAGATCGAGAAGGGTCATAACTAGTGAAGGCACATGCTTTGCACAATAATCTACTTATAAAAGTTACCATCACCATTCAAGTATTATTGGTAGGAGCACCACTAGGTTTGCTGTAAATGTATTAAATTGTATAATGTATTGCATATAATGTTTGTTAAGATTGATTTCTATGTTTTTCATTGTGTTTGTTAAATACATTTTATTTTGGAGGAGAGGAAAGAAAAGGAAATAAATAAAAAAGTGGGTTGGTCAAACTTGGATCAATGAATCGATTAGCCGTGAAAGCGAAATGATAATATAGGTACATGAAATGGCGAAAGGGACAATTTCGTTCCAAAAGGTATGATGCACCAAAAAAGCTAGGGGTGAGCGGTTCCTGGTCCGGTTCGGTTCAATCCAGGAATCGGATCGGGAGGACCGGTTCCTAATTTCTAGGACTGGGGACCGGATCGGGAGGACTGGTTCCCAATTTTTAGGACTGGGGACCGGACCGGCTAGTTTTGGGACCATGGACCGGATTGGACCGATGGTCCGGTCCGGTTCGGTTTCAATGGGACCAATCACTTATTGGTAAAGGCAAGAGAGAATTGGAGAAATTAGATTAGGCTTTTTATTTTTTTCAAAAATTTTAAAAAGTAAATAAATATATATATATAAAAATTGGAAAAATATATATATTTATTGATTCGGTCCGGTCCGGTTCCCACCCTAGAACTAGGAACCGGACCATTCGGGAACCGATTCTACTTTTAAGAACCGGGAACCGGACCGACATTCCCGAGAAACTGACCAAACCGGTTGGTCTGGTCTCAGTTTGGACTGTTTATCTTGCTCATCCTTAAAAAAAAGCTGTGCTTGCCCTTTCGTTCCAAAAGGTATGATGTACCAAAAAAGTTGTACTTGCGACTTTTAGGGGATATGCAACATTTCAAATTATGTTTTGAAGGGTTACAATTTTTCAAAATTATTATACAGATGCTAACTTAGTTCATCCCGAATGAAGTCGGTGATCTTCAATTTAGATACCTGTCCGTACGGTACAGGCAAAGGCAAAAGTCAACATTTTGGCAACGGCCAGTACTTCACGACATTCTTCTTTTGCTATTTGCTCAAAGGTAGAAAATGAGGTGCTTGGCGGAATCTTTGGCATACCTCCTCATCCTCCTTAATCTATACAATCTCTATTGCCTTATTCACTTGGTTCGCACCACCGGGAAGAGGATGTTCTAGACAAAGCAAAATGAAAGAAAAGTCCATTCAAGTCGAACGACTCTTCTCCCAAACTAATTTAAATTTAGGACAGACGAACTTTAAAAGTCCCACGTGCTTGCCGGATATATCCAATATTTGAGAGTGCAATTCTTCACTAAAAGATCCTTTGGACCCTTGAGCCGGAGATATTCCCCGCAACATCTTGTGCTACTTGTGCCATGCAATGCTTTTCAGAAGCTGCAACTAATATTTCAGCGGATGCATCTTGAGAACCTAAGGCTATGGATGAGAAAATGGCGGTCAATGCGAGACCAAATCGGTCAAACCACATGACCGTTACTCACGTGGTTGTTTCAATAGATGTGTTCTGAATACAATATGTCTCTCAACTTAGCTATTTGTTCACACAGTAGGAAGACAATATATCATGAAAAGCACATTTGGTTTGGATGCTTAAGTAGGCAGGGTATTCAAGCTAAAGCCTCTCAACTCGGTTACTAAATTGCATGATTTAAAAAATAGTTTCCTAAAAAATTGATTGTTTGTGTTGCTTACAAAAATGAGGAGAATTACCGAAACAATACTAAACTTATTGCAATTATGTCAATTCAATCATAAACCTTCTTTTTAGTGCCAATTGAGTCTTAAAATTTTTGCATTTGTGTCAATTCAGTCCATCCGATTAATTTTGGCCGGCCGGCGTCCATGTCAGCGCCGGCCGGCCGGCCAAAATTGTTATCTACTGTGTTATCTACAATTTTGTATCTCAATTCAATCCGAGTAAGCTACTGTGTTATCTTTTTGCCTTTATGCAACTTGTTATCTCTTTTATACTATTTTGTACTCATGTTTGTTCTCAACTTGCTTTGATAGGCGCTAACAGTAGTGACATATGTTTTATGTGCATATTTCGGTTTCCAAGTTCTTTTCGACCTTATAAAGGTGAAAATTTGGATTAAAGGAAGAGATTGATGACATGAACTATTAGACATTGAGGGGAGGAAGAATACTAGAAGTGCCAAAACTTATGTATGGCGCTCATTTTAGTGTCAAAAATTTTCGCCGGATCACTTAAGTGCCAAATCGGAAAAAAAACGATTACTTAAGTGCCAACGGTGAGAAATTCTGGCCAAATTAATACGTGGCTATTATAATTAAAATTTTAATTTGAGTTGGGTTTTTTTTTTTAAAAAAATTAGTCTATATGGCATTTCCATGTGTATATTTTGATTTTTTAAATATCTTTTTTGATTTTTTTCCTTTTTTTCTTTTTTTCTTTTCTTTCTTCTTCTTCTACCTTTGGCCAGTGATCGGACACCGGCCACCGGCCATGACCGGCCGTTTGGCCTCGCCCGAACGAGGTCATCGTTGCCAGCCACAGGCGAGGCCCGGCTGACCCTCGCCTGTGGCTTTCGAGGGTGGCCTCGCCCAGGGTGAGGGTCGCCTTGCCAGCTGCCGAAGAGGATGCCGTGGCTTGGGCGAGGGCGGGCGAGCCTGGGCGAGGCCGGCCCTCGCCCAGGCTACGGCGGCCTCGTCGGATCTGGCGAGGGGAGCCCTTGCCACGGCTCGCTCGCCCTCGCCCAGGCGAGGGTCGACTGGGCATCACCTGTGGCGGGCGAGGCCAAGCAGCCGGTGGCAGGTGTCCGGTCACCGGCCAAAGGTAGAATAAGAAGAAAGAAAAGAAAAAAAGAAAAGAAGGAAAAAAAGAAAAAATCAGAAAAAATATTTAAAAAATTGAAGTGTACATGCTAAATTACGTCGTTTTGAAGTGTACATGCTGACAGTACATGTTGACTAAACCTCTAGCGAGCCACATCGGCTTCGGAAATTAATAAAAAAATACCACGTCGGATTTCCGGCCAAACTAACTGGAGTTGGCACTTAAGTGATCGTTTTTCAAAAAGTTTGGCATTTAAGTGATCCGGCGGAAACTTTTGGCACTAAAGTGAGCGCCGTACACAAGTTTTGGCACTTCCAGTGTTCTTCCCCCGACATTGGGAGTGTAAAAACTTTTTCAGATACAATTCTTTTTCTGCGATGAATCTGGTTTAATGAGTTCATCTTCTTAGTGCCTCATGAATTCTGCTGCAGATGTATAAGATTATTGATATATATGAAGCTCCTGAGTGCACACGTTTTACTTACAAACATTTCAAGGGGAGCCATTATGAAGCTCCCCTTCAATTCAACTGGATAATCATCATGCGTATGATTCTTTTAACTGTACATGTGAGTTGTGCCGTTCCAGTAGTGTTTGTGAATTAGTAGTTTTGAGGGGGGAGTGCGGATATTATTCAAATGCAAAATGCACAACCAATCATTTTCTCACTACAAAAAGGAAAGTAGAGGGAAAGTCAAAAAAATGTAGGTTTCTTCTTAAAATGGAACTGTCAACATAGATTTGAGGCTGTTTGAATTGGAAAAAGGGTGGATCTGCAGTATTCCAAATAAATTGGCTTATTCGAAATCAATTCATTTGGAATCCAAACATTATTTAAGATTTGGACTCAGGAGAGATGCTAAGATTCCTGATTGCGACTATCTTGGCCAATCACCAGGATGTGGCTGCTAGAGGCCAATGAATGTTGCAACAATTTTGTATCTTCTTTTCCCCTTTACGCAACTTGTTACCTCCTTTCTCCTATTTTGTATTCATGTTTGTTCTGAACTTGCTCTTATAGGCGCCTGCAGTTGTAGCATCTGTTTTTCATGTGCATTTTTCGGTTTCCAAGTTCTCTTCGGCCTTATAAAGGTGAAAAAGTTGGATCAAAGATTGATCAGAGGAACTGCTTAGACATTTGGTTTGTATAATCTTTTTCAGATATAATTCTATTTTTGCAATGAATATGGTCCAATGTGTTCCTGCCTCATGAATTCTACTACAGATGTATAGGATTATTGATACATATGAAGCTGCTCCTGATTGCACCCGTTTTCAGGGGAGTCAAATGTCTGTTGGGAGCCATTATAATTCACCTCTTCAATTCAACTAGATAATCCGCATGCGTCTATTCTTTTAACCGTACATGTGAGGGATATTATTCAAATGCAGAATGTACGACCAATCATTTTCTTATTGAAAAAAGGAAGCAGGGGGAAAGTTAAGAGAAAGTAGGTTTCTGCTTAAAATGGAACTGTCGATTCAGATTGGGATAATGACACAAACAGTCTCTGATCTTTAGCTCAATATGCAATTTGGTCCCTGAATTTTTAATTTGTTCAATGTAGTCCCTGAACTTTAACCCAATGTTCAATGTGGTCTCTGAACTTTTAGTAAATGTTCAATTTAGTCCCTGAACTATATGAAAATATACAATATAGTCCTTGAACTTGAATTAATGGAAGGACTACACTGAACATTTTTATAAAGTTCAGGGACTATATTGAACACGTACCAAAAGTTTAGGGACCACATTGAACAAATTGAAAGTTCATGGACCATATTGAACATTGGGTTAAAGTTCAGGGACTACATTGAACAAATTAAAAGTTTATGGATCAAATTGCACATTGAGTCAAAGTTCAGGGACTGTTTGTGTCATTTTCCCATTCAGATTTGAGGATCTTTGAATTGGAAAAACGAGTGGATGTGCGGGTCCCAAATAAATTGGCTTATTTGAAAAAAGCTTTGCTCTTCGGAAAGGCGGAATGATTTCCATGAAAATGCAAGTTTGTAAAGTGGTGCAAAGTGGGCAATAGGTATGTGGCCCTCTTAGTAAATGGATTGGAGGTGGAGACGCTAGTATCACATGTGCGGAGTTTGACACAGCGAATGCAAAGTAAAAGTCAAGGAATAAGGAGAGTTAGAAATAGAACAGACAACAAAAAATAGTGAAAAGTGTAGGTGAAGGCATTAAATAAGGGAGTTGTAGAGAAGATATATGAACAAAATCGGTACGATGCACGATTAACATCAACAAATGAAAACCCTTCATGCATACATGCAGGCCTCTCGCTTTTTTGTTGAAAGAGTTTGTTATCGTGAAAGAAGTGACACTTGATCACGAAAAGAGGTAATTGTTGAATATGAAAAAGATGTGATTGTTGCGGGCCAAACTATATCCTAATCTTTCTCCTCAATCTTTAATCCTTTCCAATTACAAATACTTTTCCAACAGGAACCACCGAAGTGCCTCGACTCATCAATTCCTCATTCAAGATTTCTGTGAGCTCCCCATGAAGCTTAACCCTTTTCGCTCAAATTGTTTTTTCATGTGTCATGAGAGGCTGCAGACCTCGATACCAGCCAATGGCACCGGATCCCGTGACAAGCCACTACCTTCCGGGTTCATTTATCTTATCAACAATCAACGCATCCATTATCTGGAAAAATTTCTTAAACCACCTAGTTCTTCTTTGTTCCATTGCTCTTTTGACTTGCGGCCCCATAATCAGATTGATCACTCATCAAGTCATCATTTGAATCATCCATCGGATTAGATTAATCATCCATGGCTCTTTTTTTTCCATCGTTTGAAAAGAAAAAACTAACTTTCATTTTCCTAGAGAAACGTGCATTATCCGTGCGATATAAGAGCAACATATGCTATAGAAATGCCGGTACGTGGAGATGTGATCATCTGAACGCCTAACAATATAAACAAGTTAAATTTAACATATATGTGTACTAATTATAAAAGCTGGTCCAATCCTAGCATATCACGTGAATGTGTATAAAGAGGTGATAGGAGGTCACTCTCAATCATCCGCAAGATGGCAGTATATTGTGGCACCTTCATTTTTCTTGGTGACCTTGTCAAACGAAGGTGATCGGAAGAGTAGGTTCGCGTGACTGTCAATCAGCTTATATGTGGATGTGTGATGTGTGATGTGTGATGTGTAGAGAGAGAGAGGAGTTTAAAAATGTCTTGCGTAACCATTTCCGGGACTGAGGCACGAGAACACAAATTAAGAAAACTGCACCTTATGGTGCAAGTGCTATTAAGAAACGGGGAGAGAGAGAGAGATGGAAATTTTTGCATATTTATAAAAAAAATTTCCTTTTTTTTCTTTTTTTTCCCTTTTGCGTGTGGCTAGGGTCGCCATCACCGAATCTGGTGATGGCGACCCTCACCTGTGGCCGGTCCAAGTACTGGTATGGCCGACGTCAAGCCACATGCCAAAGGGAAAGAAAATGGAAAAAATAATTTTAAAAAATGCAAAAATTATCCACTTCAGTGCCGGCCACGTTAGAGATTTCCGGCCAAAATTGATCGGAAATATTAAATTGGCAAATTTTCAAAAGGTTTATGACTAAATTGATACAAGTGAAATGTTTGGGACTGATTGGCAAGTTATCAAAAGATTTAGGATAAATTAGCACAATTTAATGTTTAGGACCGAATAGCTGTCTTACAATAGGTTTAGTACTTTTTGGATAATTTTGTCTCTCGAAAGATTCTTAAGCCGGGTATGATTCGAACTCGAAAGTTGTCGTGTTGCAAAGGTCGAGTAGTTTCTTGGTCTCGCTAAAACAACAATAAATTGGAAATACTAAACATTAACCCACTCAATGTTTGCTAACTGGTATGTGGTTACCTAGAAAAGTATAAAAAAGATCTATAGACAATGTCAATTAAAAGAAAATTGATCATCAGAATAGGAGTTACATCAATCTTTATGGAATCATATCCTTCATTATAATTGCAAGACTCGATAAGATTAGAATGAAATCATTGTTTCTACGTCTCAAACACACACTCATGCACACCCAAAAGAGTCAGGTGAATATGAAGAAAGCACCGCCTTCTCACTGTTTCATTAAACTGTACTAATTCATATTGTCTTTGCCAAATCTATACGATGCTGTAGCAATTACTTGTCATATCACAGCCATACTCAGAAGCATGTGCGTTACAGTGATGTGTGATTAAAGAATGGCCAGGTAAAGTAAAAAGTCCTTAACAAGGATTGACTTCTCAGCCAAAAAGGTCAACTAGTTAATGGCCTTGCAAGCACCAACATACAAGGAAACCTGTTGTAAATGCCCCTTTAACGTCGCCAACTAGTGATAGAAAGTTGTCGCACTAAGGTGACATTAAGAGGATGAGATATCATAACCTATGAATCTCCACTCCAATCCCATGATGTAATGTTGAGAAATGGCTTGGCCAAAACTCATTAATTTGAGTAATCTCGGCCAGCTTGGACATTGAAATTTTGCATACCGAACTCTCTATATAAACTCTCTTTTGAGTCACTTCAAGGACTACAGTCTTCTCTGCCTTCTAAGTCTACCTTGGATTGTCTTGCTTGATTCTTATCCTACCCCATGGCAAAGAAACCGAGCTTGGGTCGCCAGAAAATCGCCATCTCAAAAATTCCCAAGAAAAATCATCTCCAGGTGACATTCTCGAAACGGAGATCCGGGCTTTTCAAGAAAGCGAGCGAGCTCTGCACTCTATGCGGGGTCAACATCGGAATCATAGTCTTCTCTCCCGCCAGTAAGGTCTTCTCCTTCGGTCACCCGGAAGTCGAGTTCATCGTCGATCGGTTCCTCGCCCAGGACCCGGCGCCGCCCCCCGACTCGGGTGACTGCCGGCTCATCGAAGCTCACCGGAACGCGAACCTGCGCGACCTCAACGCGATATTGACTCGAGTTCTTGACGAGCTGGAGGCGGAGAGGAAGCGCGGGGAGGCGCTGGATGAGATGAGGAGAGCGAGCCAAAGGCAACGCTGGTGGGAGGCACCGATTGATGAGCTTGGATTATGTGAGCTCGAGCAGTTGGGAGGGTCAATGGAGGATCTCAAGAAGAACGTGATGAGATGGATCAACGAGCTGATGGTGGACTCCTGCTCCACAAACGGAGAAATCGCCTTCGAGAGCAAGCCTCTTGAAGTGAATGGTGCATACAATCTTGGGCACGTGTACAATTTCCATGACCAAAATGGACTCTTCTGATGCACTTATTGTGCTCTTTTCCTTTTAGGGTGTTTTTTGTCCAGTGTCTCCCTGGACATGCCTGTCTATCCTTTTTGCTTTTGCCTTCTGGATTTCTTGTGTTTCGTGATTCGGGTGTTGTGTAAATAACATTGGACTGATCAAATTTGAGAAATTTGTTCATGTTGGTGTTAGTAGAATTTGCTAGTGTTGAATGTTTACTTGATTTATTCATGTTCTGAGGCCCTCTTCATGGGTTCAGATGTTTTATCTTTGAGACATAAAGAAAACTTTGATGTTGACCTAAATAAAAAAGTGCCCACTTACCTTACCAAAAAAAAAAAAAAAAAAAGTGCCCACTTGATTTCAGAGTTGTAGTATGTGAAAGGGTTGATGCCTAGTTATTGCTGCAATTATTCCTATTTGGTGAACGTCATATAGCTCTAGCCAATTATGTCCCTTTTCAGTATTTAAGACCATATAAATTTACGTTTTATCCGCAAGAGAAAAATATCAATCCTTCTTTGATTTGCTTGATAGTGAAGCAATCAAGAGAGCGGATGCTTCTTCTGACAGGAATTGAATTAAATCAACATCTAAGATAACATTTTTTATTGTTGGCAGTAGCATTAAAATGATCCTGATTGGGACAAACGATTGAAGTCCTCTAAATCTCAACACTCGCCATCTTTCAAGGGGCTGTGTTTATGACAGAAATAAAGATCTTCTACCATAGTATATTTCTCGACAATTACTATTCGCCTGATTCTTTTGCAACTTTCTTCTTTGGTGATGAATGATGATACCTTTACTTCATCAATAACTCTCCAAACGTCCCTAATTGAGGAAATAATTAAGACATAAAGTGAGTTAAGATCAGCCATTCATCTTGTAAAATTGACCTTTTCAGCTGCAATAGCCAAATTACTTTCTGAAAAAATGTGGGTGCTTGTGTTTGGAAGTTTGTTCACAAGGCAAAAGCAGGGGCATTTGTTTTGGAAAATCATGGAGTTGAGAGCTCATTTTTGGGGCATAGCAACGGCTCGCCAAGAATTTGATTGAAAAAAGATCGATAAATTAAAGGCACAAACTCTAAATACCACAATTCTGAAGCAAACCCAAGTCTTGAGCACGCGTTAGATTGATAGGCGGGATTATCTTGTGAGAATAGATCTCTACCGTTAGATGAGAGGTGAAATCAATGATTGTAATTAGAATGATTCTTATATAAATAGGGGTACTCTCCCATCATTTATATCATCCAACATTTGAGTAATAGAAGTTCATTCTCTCATTGAGCTCTCTCTAAACACTTTCTCTTTCTACTATTTGAGTCAACGTTGAGCTTCCAATTCGCTATTTCAAGTATCGGCCTGTGATAGGTCACCAGTGAAGGGCTCAACCGCTAGGAGGCCATCGGCGAGGCGAGATATAGTTGCCAGCAAGCCAGATTGACCTTAGGCAAGGCGAACCATTGCCTTGGGTCATGCAACCCAAGGCGACGATCGCCTAGGTCGCGTGACCTTAAGTCACCTTGCCGAGGTTGCCGATGCCAGATTTAGCCTCACCGGCCACCGAATTCTTTGTTGGTTTTGAGATTTTTTTTTTGAATTTTTTTTAAACAAAAGTCATTTATAAAGTATGATTTTTCAAACAGCATTTAAACCAATGATTCAAAGCCCAATCTAGATCAAAGCCGTCCTCGCCACAGTACGCACTTACCCAGCGTCCTCGTTTGGGCTGAGAATAGAAAAGAACATTGACATTAAGAGAAAAAAAAATTGATTGACTTTACCCCGCTCAATGTTTGCTAAATGGTGCGTGGTTACCTACGAAAGTATGAAAAGGAAATAGCCAATGCCAATTAAAAGAAAATTGATCATCAGAATAGCAGTTACATCAATCTTTAAGGAATCATATCCTTCGCTATAATTGCAAGACTTGAAGATTAGAAAGATATCCTCGTTTCTATGACTCAAACACATGCTCATACACACCCAAAAGAATCCGGTAAATATGAAGAAAGCACCGGCTTCTCATTTTTTCATGAAATTGTACTATTTCATAATGTCTTTGCCAAATCTACACATAAGACAGATACGATGCTTAGTAATTACTTGTCATATTGTGTGATTAAAGAATGGCCATCCCCATGAACTTTCTCACCTAAAAAGGTCAACTAGTTAGTGGCCTTGCAAGCACCAGCATACAAGGAAACCTGTTGTTTATGTTCTTTAATGTCGCCAACCAGTAAAAGAAAGTTGTAGTAATAAGGTGACATTACGACGAGATATCATAACCTATGAATCACCACTCCAATCCCATGCTGTAATGCTTAGAAATGACATGGCCAAAACTGAGGAATCTTGGCTAGTTTGGACATTGAAACTTTGCATATCAAACTCTCTATATAAACTCCCTTTGAGTCAAGGACTACAGTCTTCTCTACCTTCTAAGTCTACCTTGGATTGTCTTGCTTGATTCTTGTCATACCCCGTGGCAAAGAAACCGAGCCTGGGTCGCCAGAAAATCGCCATCTTGAAAATTCCCAAGAAAAACCATCTCCAAGTGACATTCTCAAAACGGAGATCCGGGCTTTTCAAGAAAGCGAGCGAGCTCTGCACTCTTTGCGGGGTTGATATCGGAATCATAGTCTTCTCTCCCGCCAGCAAGGTCTTCTCCTTTGGTCATCCGGGAGTTCGTCGTCGACCGGTTCCTCGCCCAGGACCCGCGCCGCTCCCCACTTGATTTCGCGGAGTTTAGTATGTGAAAGGGTCAATGCTTAGTAATTGCTGCAATTATTCCTATTTGGTGAACTCTAGCCAATTATGTCCATTTTCAGTATTTCGTTTTAGCCACAAGTGAAAAAATATCAATCCTTCTTTGATTTGCTTGATAGCGAAGCAATCAAGAGAGCGGATGCTTCTTCCGACAGGAATTGAATTAAATCAACAGAAATTAGAAATCCCAGAATTCATACTAAGATAACATTTTTTATTGTTGACAATAGCACCAAAATGATCCTGATTGGGACAGAAATTTGAAGTCCTCTAACTCTCAGCATTCGCCATCTTTCAAGGGGTTGTGTTTATGACAGAAATGAAGATCTTCTACCATAGCATATTTCACGACAGTTACTAATCGCCTAATTCACTTGCAAATTTCTTCTTTTGGTGATGATACCTTCACTTCATCAATAACTTTCCAAACGTCCCTAATTGAGGGAATAATTAAGACAGAAAGTGAGTTAAGATCAACCATTCATCTTCTAAAATTGAACTTTTCAGTTGGAATGGCCAAATAACTTCCTGAAAAAATGTGTGCGCTTGTGTTTGGAAGTTTGTTCACAAGGCAAAAGCAAGGGCATTTGTTCTGGAAAATCATGGAGTTGAGAGCTCAGTTTTGGAGCATAGTAACGATTTGCCGAAAATTTGATCGAAAAATAATCGAAGATCGATAAGTTCAAGGCACAAACTCTTACTACCACAATCCTGAAGCAAGCCCATGCCTTGATCTACAGAGAAATTACAAGATTTAAGGGAGAGAGTTGGTGTATATGTAGTCTGCATTCTCAACAAGCTCCTCTTCAGCCTCCTTGCCATGTCTGGCTTCCGAATCACCTCTTGCTTTGCCACTCTCTGCGCTTCGTCTCTGCACAGTTCAGGTACTACAGGTTGTTAAGAGAGAGAGAGAGAGTAATCATGAGAACCACCATGTTGCTGGAGTCTGAGGAAGCTCCAACTTCATTATACATCTGCCACAAACAGTAGACACCACGCCCAAGAAGGAAGCCAGAAGCAAGAGACAGAAAGCTACTGATTGAACACCTCATTTCTGGTTGTTTATGGAAACAAGACCTTTCTGTTGCACTTTCTATGTACACGCACATATATAAAGAGAGAGAGAGAGAGGGAGAGAGGGAGGAAGGAGGGAGAGAGAGGATCAGAGAACCATCTTGTTGTGTTATTTTGACTGCTTTGAATCAAGGAGCAACACCCTTAACAAAACTTTAATATTACCTAATCTGATCTTGTTGTCCCATGAGATGGTGGGTTAAAAGTTTCTGGTTCCTTTGACCTGTCTCCTGATTCCCGAGCATGTAGCGCTATCTTCAAGATCATCGGGCTGGCTCTGCCCTGGTGTTTGTGCAGTAAAATACGTGCAATCTGCATAAACAAGGCAGCAAAATGGATTTTCTTCGGCAAAAAGACACTACAAGTGCCATAAGTTGTATACGGAGGTCACTTTGGTCCATAACTTTTTTTCAGATTACTTTGGTGCCAAGTCGGAGGAAAATATATCATTTAAGTGCCAACTCCGGTAAGTTTGGTTGGAAATCCGACCTGGCATTTTTTATTAATTTTTGACGCCAACGTGGCTCGCCGGAGGATGAGTCAGCGTGTACAGTCAGTATTTTTTATTTTAAATAAATTTTTTCTTTTTTTTCTTTTTTTTTTCCTCTTCTTTCCTTTTTCCTTTCTTCTGGCGAGGGGTGGCCTCGCCCATGGCCGGCGAGGGGCGGCCTCGCCTGTCGCCGGCGAGGAGAGAAAAAAAAAAGAAAAGAAAGGAAAAAGAAAAGAAAAAAAGGAAAAAAATTATTTAAAATAAAAAATGCTGACTGTACACGCTGACTCATCCTTCGGCGAGCCACGTCGGCGTCAGAAATTAATAAAAAAATGCTACGTCGGATTTCCGGCCAAACTTACCGGAGTTGGCACTTAAATGATCTCTTTTCCTCCGACTTGGCACCAAAGTGATTCGAAAAAAAGTTATGGCACCAAAGTGACCTCCGTACACAACTTATGGCACTTGTAATATCCTTTTGCCGATTTTTTTCTGATTCAGTCATCTCAAGATTAACTGCCCCATGTGTTTAGATTCTTTACGACTTTTTACTCTGTACACGGTACATTTGATCTGAAATCGTATGTGTAACCATCAATGTTGTCCCTTCATATGCATAATAGCCGAGCCGAAAGGTTTGCATACTCCAAGTCATGATAAGATAAAAATAGGGTAACTTAGGATATGATGTTTCAAAACCTAGAGCTAGAGTTACATAAAGAAGCATGTCGTTTTATCTCTTGAATCCAAGTAAGCACTATATGGTACATTCGTATGGTAAGCTAAACTTTGGTGAACTTTTCTCATTGTGAGTCGCTTAACTTTCCTAAGGTTTTAGGAAGGGATAAAGGCACCAAAGGTCCTAAAACTTATCACAAATATGTAATCGAGTGCTAAAACTTTTAAAAAGTATAATCAAGTCTTAAAACTTATCATGAAAGTACAATCGAGTCTTAAAACTTTCGAAAAGTGTAATCAAGTCCTAAAACTTGTCATGAAAGTGCACTCAAGTCTTACAATATACAAAAAGTGCAATTAACGAAAAAAACTTGATTTGACCAATTTGACAAGTTATAAGACTTGATTGCACTTTTTGAAAGTTTTATGACTTAATTGCACTTTTTGAAAGTTTTAAGACTCAATTGCATATTGTGACAAGTTTTAGAACTTCCAATATACTTATCCCTTAAAGGAAATATCACTTCAGTTAAGCTATTATGGGTGCTTTTGGTTCAGCATTACTAAGGGACTTTAGGGGAATGCAAATACCTTTAACTTAAAGTTTCTTAGGGAATGCAAATTGCATTTGGTAAAAAATCCTTTGTAAAGCTACTTTGGCCCCAGTAGTGTTTGGCAAATTTTATTTTGCAAAGGGCTTTGAGATTTTTTTTATTAAAAAAAAATCTTACCCTTCACTGGAGCTGGTGAGGGGCTATGGTCACCGGCGCCAGATTTGGCTCGCCGGTGGCCGTAGCCCATCGTTGGACCTCAGGCGACCGTCGCCGGGGTCGGGCAACCTCGCTGGCCTCTCGCCCAAGCTTCGTTGTCTCAATCTGGCCTCGAGCGGCTCTGGCCGGCCTCCTTCGGCCCAAAGAAGATGAACAATCACGAGGGGCAAAATTGGAATATTAAAGAATTAGTAAGGGTAGTTTGGAAAAAAAAATTGGTTTCAGCATTCCTAATGCTGGCTTTCGGCCAAAAGCCCATTAGAAATGCTCGCCAAATGCCTCGGTATTTTTCCTAGAGTTGGGAATGCTGAACCAAACGCATCCTATATATTAGAACATGTTAAATAAACTTTATTCACGTAAGTTGCCCCATCTCCTATAAATTGAATTTGTTCAGAATATCCTATCAAAACATCATATTTGCTATGTCCTCTTATCTCTTGAATCTAAGCATTATATAGTACATTATTATGGTAAACTAAACTTTTGGGAACTTATCTTATTGTGATGCGCTCAACTTTCCTCACGTTTAAGGAAATATCACTTCAGTTAAGCTATTATATGTTAGAACATGTAAAATAAACTTTATCCATGTCAATTGCCCCATCACCTATAAATTGAATTCGTTCAAAATATCCTATCAAAACATCATATTTACTATGTTCTTAATTTTTTATAATCATGGGAAGAATATTATTTTTCATTGGCTTTACATGGGTGTTTGGAACTTCCACTATGTAACAACAGATATTCATGATGTCAAACTGAGAGTGACAACTTCATCCCTAAGATTTCTGATTCCCTCCATTTTTCTCTCACCAAACTTCCAGCTCTCTGGACTTGACTTAGTAAATACTTGTGAAAGTAGAGAGAGAGAGAGGCATGAACAACACATGCAACAAAAACTGCAATTTATACGCATCTCCTACACAAGCCTAATTTCTCACATGAAAAACCAAACTTGTTTCCATTAATAAGATGGCTGAGAACACCAATAACCTCACCACTGCCGCCACTGCTGCCGAAGCCGTGACCACCAGGGTAGCCGCAGTCCAAGAAGAGATGAAGCCACCGCAAGAAGCTTCTAAAGAAGCTCCAATCATGGTGGACAAGACCAGGCTAGCGAGGATCATTGTCGGCGCAATAGCCATCCTCACCTTCCTTCTCTCACTACCCGTTTTAGCCTCGATCATATGGCTTCTCTACATGAAGGGCTATGACTGCGAGAGCCTCTTGAGGCTGCCGAAGCTCCAAATCGGGATCGGCATCGCACTGGTATTCGTGTTCCTGATCAGCAACGTTGTGTTGTTCTTGAGGGCCAAGGTGCATGCCCTAGGCCTCCTCGTGGTCATGGTGTTTCTGATCTTGATGCTCACCATGGGCCTTGCTTTGGTGGGTGCTTACAAGAATGAGAGCAAGGCTGTGATAGGGTCCGCAACGTGGCTCAAGGACAAGGTCTACAATGACAACAACTGGAATTACATCAAGTCGTGCATCTACGACTCGAGGATGTGTGACGATCTGGTGGCCCGATCTCTCAGCCTCAAGTCGTTCGACTTTAGCGCGAGGAAGTTGTCCCCGATCGAGGTATAGGGTCGTTATTTTCGTTTACTTCAGCCAAAACTAGGTTTAACAATTATGTTTCACTCAGTCAATTATGTGTTCTGCATTTAGTGCTCAATCTATGTAATGTTTCATGTTTCCGCTGCGAAGTTCGGCTGCTGCAGACCTCCCGTGATCTGCGAAATGGATTGCGTCAATGCCACGTACTGGAAAAGAAACGACCACCTTGGTGCCGGTTCTGACGAGGTGGACGACGAGGACTGCGACGCGTGGCAAAACGACGAGGACGTCTTGTGCTACGATTGCATGGCGTGCAAGGATGGGTTCTTGAAAGTAATAAGGAACAAATGGTGGAGACTGGGGCTGTTCCTGGTGTTGATGTCGCTTTTGCTCATCGTTGCTCACTTGCTACTGTTCATCGCCACCGTATGGGAGCGATTTGGAGGAATGTGACCCCCATAGAAGTTCTTGTCATTTCTCTCCTTTCTAAAGTTGAGATTTTATATTTCTTTTTTTCATGTTATTTTTTCATTAGTTTGACTATGTGGTGTACATTGTTGGACGTAGCGGGGCATGGAATTCCCTCTTTTTCATTTTTGGACAGTACTTGCTTGTCTCACACATTTTCAATTTAGGCTTCTCAATATTTCACAATATTATTTATATCATGAAAACTTTCGATCATATAAATTTCACGTGAAATCCATTAAAATCAAAGGGTGAGATGCACGTGTCCTCAATGTACTATAGATTTTGAAGTGTGAGCTTGGAAGTAGAGATAATCGTGCCGGCCAAGTTGTATAACTAAAAACCCTTGTCCAGGCCCTTCGAATTTGTCTTCGAGTCCCGATGGTGCGAGAGGGCTCAGGCCCCCCCGCAGTCTATTAGGCTCGTGACTAGGTAGGTTACTTGTCATTTCTCTCTTTTCTAAAGTTGAGATTTTATATTTCTTTTTTTGATGTTATTTTTTCATTAGTTTGACTATGAAAAAGATTTATGTGGTGTACATTGTTGATCGTTGCGGGGCATGGAATTCCCTCTTTTTCATTTTGGAAAGTATTTGCTTATCTCACACATTGCAAATTCTACATTTCTAATCTGCGCTTCTCAAGATTTCACAACAATATCTACTTCGTGAAAACCGTCGATAATATAAATTTCACACAGGACCCATTGAAATTGAGATGCACGTGTCCTCGATCAATGCACTTCGAACAAAATGTTAGGAGAATTGGGAGCTAAATCGGGATAGCTTTTGAAGTATGAGCTTGGAAGCAGAGGTAAAGATTGGGGTAAGGTCGAGCTGGGTCGGACCTAACTTATCACCTAGTCCCACCTATCAACGAATAATAATAATAATTTTCAGGGTATGGGGGCTCATCTTGGGTCTCAATCGTGCCGGCACAAGTCGTATAACTAAAAGCCCTTGTCCAGGCCCTTCGCACCTGTCTTCGAGTCCCGATGATGCGAGAGGGATCGGGCCACCCCCCCGGTCTATCAGGCTCGTGATTAGGTACATTTCTTTTGCTATCTAGGCCAAGACGATCGAGTCTACGTAGAAGTAAGATTCGGCTCTACTTGATACCGGCACTCGAACCTTCTGCATGATATTGCCATCAGATTTGCAACAATTGTCATCTACGATCCACACGGTACGTCTCTTTCTACATCGATTGACGAACTGGATATGTTAGGGGGCTCTTTAGCCGATTGAAACAGGAAAGAACTCGAATATTTGGCATGGCATGAATGGGAATTGTCCGTGGGGCCAATTGGTCAAAGTCTAGCGTTAAGATAAGATAAGAGAAAGAAGCAAAATTGCACTTGTTCTTTTGGCATTAGACATTGACACGGGATTCGTTGATCGAATTCATTCGTTATAGGAAATTCTTAATTAGTAGGGCTAGACTGCTAGTTAATAAAACTACACCTTGGGGTTGAAGTGTAGGGTGCGCATGGGAGAGCATTCTCAAAGTCCTTTAGGCCTATGAAGGCCCTTGTGTGTAGAAAATTACTTAATCAATCTTAAATTTATTGTGCGGATACCAATTAAGTTCTACACTTTTCAATTTTGCCAATTAAATCCTAAATCTTTATGCGAAATTCCAATATAGTACTTTCGATCAATTTTCGTTAGAAATCACTAAGGGCTGACGGTGGTCAAAGGTTGCAAGGCTCACCAAGGATCGATGGTTGCTCTAAAATTGTTCGTTGCGAGGCTCGTCGAGGGTCGTGCGAGCCTCATCGTGGGTTGTCGAGGCTTGTTGACAGTCGCCTTCGATCGCCTAGCATGGACGCTTGCCTCTCATCACCTGCCGCGGTGCCCGCAGATCTCGCGGCCTCGTTTTACAAAAAAAATACCAAAATCAATTATCCAAACACTATTTGATTTAGGCACATACACATTGAGTCAAAGACTTTTGAGAAAATGCGAGCTCTTCCAAACGCACCTTAAGAGGGAACCGAGAGCGCTTACACCGAAAAAACATCAATCTTAATTCTTACTCGTGATAGATGAAACGGGTATCTTCTATAATAACGCATTTGGTACAATCAATGAAATTCTTGAATCGACCACATACCATCTTCAATTCTTGCTTTGGGCATCCACCTTTCGAATGTCGTGATGTTACAAAGGTACATATGATCACTAGACTCGCTGTTAGTTCGTTAATTAAAAGAATTCGAAACAATTCTATGGACACAACATATGTTAAGAATTGACCGGCACAAAGCCAATCGAATCTCTTGACGATCATAGTCATTACATATTTTAGTCTTAGCGACCATGTTACGCCCATGCATTTAAGAAAGGTGCAACTAGCTAGCTATTGTATGATTCAATCTAGCTTAGGTTACTTACGTTCCAAGGAACTTTAAAAAAAAAAAAGAGAGGAGAGTATTCAAGGGATTTTGTAACTTTCAAAGGATAAAAGCTACACGACGAGCGAAACGACGTAGCCGGATAAATGATAACGCCGTTTTGCTTCCAGTGCACTGTAGCCTGGCCCAATAATATCTCACGTGGGGTTTTGATTGCGTGGATCGCATCCTACCATCCGTGAGTCGTGAAATGATCATCACGTGTTTCGTGACTTTATGGCATCACATGTAACAAAATTAGTTGTTCTTGAGCTGATTTAGAAAAAAAAAATAATTGTAATCGCTTGAAATAATTAGTTAATGAAAAATTTCATTATCGATAATAATTTATGTATAACTAGTTTTGAGAACGATAAAAATATAATTCATTAATTTATTTTATAAGCGATTATTTAAAAAAAAAATTCTTCGAAGTATATATGTTTCGTGAAACAAATGTACCCTTAAGTTTGGCTTCTGTTCTTGCTCTAAACAATCGATGGCAAGGAATTTGGAAGTTGGCCTTCCTTATCTGCATTTCAATTTCAATCAATAATAACAATAATAATAATAAAGAAATTTTCTTGTTGCTTTAAATTTGTTTCTCTAAAATATTTCTATTTCTGAATTTTCTCCTCAATTCAATTGAAATGTACTTCTTTTTACGCATGTTTTACATTTGCATGCAGGAAATCACTGAAAATACATCGAATCGTTGGGGTTTGTGTTGGAGTTTGAGCTTGATCCAGCTCAAGTTCATTGCATCATTAGATTCCGGATATTGATTGGAGTCTCGCTATATTAGAACATATCCTGTGCTTATTAAGCTGAACTTGAATCTGAAAAATCAGAACTTGGTCCGAACATTATGCCTAGCGATACATATTTAATACTTAAATCGCATCAACTCGAAATTGATCGTGTTGTATAAGATGTGCGGGAACCTATATATTTCTCTAATAATATTTAGATATATATATATATATCCTGTTATCTCTTTATATGGAGGGAAAAAAAGAAGCTAATATAATAAATCTAGATATTTTTTTAAATTTTTTTCTAGCAAAAAAAAATCTAGATACTTTTCCAGTCTTCCATGTCAAACACCTTTTTTCGTTTTCCGGATAAACCGTTATCAACTGGGGCTTTGAATTTTGAGAAAAAAGCGCACGAGAGGAGGGACGAGCGAGCGCCACGTGGAGGCCCGAATGGAGCGCAGCTTTTTACCCAACGCCATTGACCCGGCAACAGCTGACGCCACCACCGTCGGCGTGCGCTCTCAGCTCGCGCTTCGGTGGCCTCCGTTGACCACACGTCCCCACCTCCCACCAAAACAAAAAATAGAAAAAAAAAATCACATTATGTTAATTATTGCCAAAAAAAAGAAGAAGAAGAAGAAGAAAAATCGAGTTAATTGACAGGATGACACTCCCTTTTTTATGGATGAGAATGAAATTATGTAAATTCATATTTGAGACATCAAATGATTCGTTTCATGTCATTATTATCCCACTTAGAGCCATGTCTTCTACTTTAAGTGTAGAGAGCTATTTGTGGGTATCTGTCGAAATCAATCGAATTGAATGTATGGATACGGAGAGAATACCGTGCGAAAAATAAACTCAATGGGTGCTCTCTCGTGAATACAGACGCGTGATGTCCGAAATTCCTATATCTCGCCCATATTGCCATAATGAGCAATGAAAAAGCATTACGCTTTGCAACGCTGAGTCCCGAAATTGATTGGTGGGGGGGGGTCTCTGCATTTCGAGCCGGGCGGTAGAATCTGTGGAGGTCTAAAAAGAGGGCCTCCACTGCTTAGACTTAGAGTCTCGATCGCACCGTTAAATTCTGGAAATGCATATTTTTTTTCATGAGCCGTATCGAGTTATAACTACTCCATGCCTCCACCGAGATTCCGACCGTGAGGAAGCAGCGCGCGTTCATTTTTTTTTTCTTCAGCAAATAATAATAATCAATACGAATGAAGGTCCAAACTAGAAGAGCGAAGGATCCGGTGAAAATGAAAGGACCAAAAAAAAAAACAAAGAAGGAAGAAGGAGGCAGAAGAGCCATCCATGTTGGAGGAGTGTTGAGAGAATATTCGGAAGAGGAAAAGGCGAAATTTCCCGAAAATCGGGGGGGGGCGGGGCGGGGATCGGAAACGGGCGTGCGTATTGGAACGTAGCTGCAACCGGGTGTGTGTGGGGTGGTGTGTCCCTTTGGGTGCTTCAATTTGTTATTTCGTTCTTCCCCCATTTTTTCTCCCCCAAACGACACTGGGCCGGGGGCGGTCTCCTTCTCCATCTTCCGTAGAACCCCACGCCACCTTCTCCCCCCTCTTTCTCTCTGTCTCTCTCTCTCTCTCTCTCTCTACAGGTTCCGTTTTCTCTCTCTACCGAAGCTCGGTCGAATTTCGATTCCCTCCGTCGAGTTGCCGCCGCCGCCGCTCCTCCATCGGCGCCCCCCCGCGAAACCCTAGCGGTCGGCCTCCCCGCCGCCGCCGCCTTCTCGCTGCTTCGCGAAGGCGTCTTGGTGGAATTTCGATTGCCGAGGCCGTAAGTTTCGATTCGGTTCGTTAATTCTCCCTTCGCGGATGTTTCGATTTGCTGAGAGAAGAGAGAGAGAAGAGAGAGAGAGAGAGAGTGTGTGTGTGTGTCCCCGTGCGTGAGTATTGAGGAGTTGTTGTTTGCTTTTTGATGCGATGGAGAGATTTGAGTTTGAGGAGAATTTTGGGGGAGGAG